GTCGTAGAGCTTCAAAAATGTTTTCATTAAGGGGAATCGTATGCGTAGATTCCGAATTTCGACAAATCAGACCTCGCTGACACGTCAAATTTCGGACTAAAAGGCAAAAACTACGCCACTTAACACTTTTCCGCAGTTTTTGCCTTTTAGCCCAAATTTGACGTGTCAGCGAGGTTTGATTTGTCGAAATTCGGAATCTACGCATACGTTTCCCTTCTACGAAAACATTTTTGAAGCTCTACGACCTTTCCTAAGGCCTTTTCCAGCAAAAAAAGGTGCGGAAATGTCCAGGTGCGCAAAAAAAGGTAGCATTTGTCCCACCCCCGATTTCTACTGTTCAAATGCATTTTTGGTCAATACTAAGCCTAACTTTATCCCAATTTTTGAGTCAAAAACTTTAAATTTTGATTTTTATACTCATTTTTGTACATTTTGTACCTTTATTTTTGTAATAATTGTATTTTTAAAACAATTTTTAAAGCGCTTTCATTTTGTGCTTTATGCTTTCATAAACTCTCGCACATTTAGCACATTTAATTCTTAATTATCTCATGAAATCGTTACAGAATCGTTGAAAAATGAGAAATCCAGTGTACCAAAAAGTTTTAAAGACAATGGGCTATTGATTTTCTAAAAAAAAAGTCAACTTTCAAACCAGAAACTCTCTATTTGTAAAATCTTTTTCAAAAATCTCTCTATTTGTAAAATAAATAACTTTTCAGCTAACTTTTCATCAAACTTTTCAGCTAACTTTGATCAAACTTTGATCAAACTTTTCATCAAACATCAAACGAGAGTCCAATAGCCTCGAAACCTTTAAATTATCTGTAGATGATCTTGATCTTGATCTTGAAGCTCTAGTGGATCCTTGACGTTATCTGTGCTACCCATATATTACATGTATTATATCGTGTTGCTTTTTATCGGCCCTTTTCGTGTTATTTGTATGTATGAATTGACTGCTCGTTTTGTATGCGAGTATTGTATTTTTTTATCCACTAGACCATCAAATCACGCTTCAGACTCGTGAGAGAGCCGTTATAAAGGCATCTCCATTTGCAAATTTTAATCTTAAATCTAGCGCACTTTATCTCAGGTCCTGAATAAAGTATCTATATATAAAAAAAAGCTTTCATTTTTTCCTATTTGTCATTGTCAATTCTTTTCCCTATTTGCATTCAGCTTTTCACCTTTTTTAAACCAAAAAAAGCTCTAGACTGAATTGGAAAAGGCGGAAAAAAAAAGCACTCAATTCATTCATCTTTCTATCATTTTTCTATCATTTTTCTATCATTTTTCTTACATTCATTTTACCTATTTTTACGCATCTTTTCTATTATTTCTCTATCATTTTATTATTTCCCTCAATTTCACACCCTTTCCCCCCTGATCTATTCAGAAAAATCGCCCACGAAATGGGTTACGATCTATTTTTTGTTTTGTTTGTGAATAGAATCATTGATAACAAAATCGGCATCACTTTTTTGAGCTACAATCTGGGAATATTACTTTCTTATTTCTTGGCTTTATTTATTAAATCGTCCATAATTTGCGTCTTAAATCGTCTAATCGCAAACGCGCACCTCCTCGCGCACTTGGGCACTTCTGGCGCACTTTAGCACTTCTGGCGTAGAAAGTGACTGATTACCTTTCGGCTGATCCAGCGTTCTTTATGCTCGCTTAAACGCTCCATTTCTGGCACACTGAAACTTCGATTCTCTCAGAATCATTTACGAAAAGCCAAAGAACCGAGTGTGCCAGATAGCAAACGTTTCCGGGGGAGGGGGCAGAAAGTATCTCTCTGGATTACTTGTTCAACGATTTTCCTTTTAACCTAAACTTTTTCAATTTCAAAACTTCTATTGATCCATTAAAAATGTCATTAATTTCATTAAAGCCCAAATTCTCATTTTTTCTTTAATCCTTGAATATTGATCTGTCGTTTTCTAGAAATTTTTTCGAAAAAAAAACGTTTCCTAGTCACCGTAGTCAAGCAAATTCAAAGAAATCCAAAAAAAAAGGTAAAATTTGAAAAATAAATTTATCTAATTTCCTTTACAGTATAAATTTTATATATTTTTGCATTTTGAAGATACTTTTTTTTGCTTCTGTAAAGCCATTAAAAGCTTCTTAAAGCTTCTTAGCCGGGAAAATCCTGGGATTTCCCGGGATTTCTCGAAATTCCATGGCGATAAGTCTCTCCGATGAATATTGAATACTTTTCTGACTACAAATTTTTGATAAAATCTTGTTTTATAGATATTTTATGAACTACGAATTGAGGGTATAACATAGCAATATAAATTGAACATTTAAAGCAATATAAATTGAACAAAGCATAGCCCAAATTTCCCTTTGTGTAAGTTTTGCTGTGTTGTGCTTGCTGAAACGCACCGTTTCTGGTGCAAAATCTTCATTTTTCTTGCTTTAATGAATTCTTATAGCAAAATAATAAAGCATTCAGTGTGCTAGAAGGGTTGGGTTTCAAATTTAGGCCACAAAGTGTAGAATAAAGAAGATGAATGGTCAATTGGTAGCGAGCTCGTCCCTTTTTTTCAACCTTAGTTTAATCCCTAGCTTTTTTGAGTTATTTAAATGTTTAAACTATGCAAAACTTTCCTCTCGATCAATTAGAAAAGAAAAATGAGTTGATTTTTCGAATAAAAGATAGTTATTATTGAAAAAGTGAACTCATTTTTCTATTCTTGACCTGTTCAACGGAAGATTTCTTTAGTTTGATTGAGCTTTATTGAGAGAAATGACCTTTATTTTGAAATAAGAAAACCTTTTTCTTTAGAATAATCAGAAGACATCGATTTTTATCAATTTTCTCTCTTTTCCCTATCCCATTCAAATTTGCATAAATCATTCGTTTTCAAGTGTTCTTTGTTCAGCCTTTTTTTCGAAACCAGTTTTTCTTTTTCCTTGAACAATGAGATTGATTCGGACAATTGAGGAAATTGAAATGATAACGAAATAAGAAAAATCATTAGATTAAATACCTTGACTGATCAGTTTAAATCTTGATTTTTAAATAGATCTTATTAAATAGATGACTTATTTGATGGCTAAATGATCCAGCTCAAATTACTATTAGTTTTTCAACTTGAAAGTTGATACACTTATTCATTGCACTTTTTAGAAATAACTAGTGCACCAATTAATCTACAGTTATTTGCCAATAAAAAAGCGCATTTATTCTCTAAAACAGGCTTTTGACAGTTTTAAAAAAGCTTTAGTTTTGCAGGTTTCTTGGGGGAAAGAAGTTGAGGAACCAAAAATGATGAACACTCGATCAAACGATTTAAGCATTTTCTTTCACATAAACCTATTTTGATGTCAATAGAAAAAAGATAGAGCATGAAAAATTAGGCATATAGTTTTCTCAACTATACTTTTGATATCAAAAAATACTAGATTTCAAGAGCTATCATTTGATACCCAAGCGCACACTGTAGCTTAAAGCAGCGCAGAGAACGGAGCGTGTGAAGTTAGACTACGCGGCAATACTCCGTCATTATTGGGGTGAAGTCGGGTAGTCAAAAAGGATTTAGGTACTTTAATTCACAAAAACCTACGGTAAATACAGTAATAGTACCCCACCGCCCTCGTACAGTCGCGTAGTCGCAAAAGTTTTTTCGTATTTCATTTTTTGCAAACCACCCGTACTTTCAAAAATGCGTCTTTGGTATCAAAAAATAGCTGAAATTCAGGGCTACTTTTTGATACCTAAGCGCGCATTGTAGCATAAACCAGTGTCGAGAAAAACGCGTTCAAAACTAGACTACGCGATGCTCCGGTCGTCATTATGGGGGTGGGGTACTATTAGAGCATTTACAGTAGATAAATAGCTAAATTTTCAGCTAGATCTAATCAATCGTTTTCTTTAATCATTCCATTTGAAGAATTTTCAGAAAAACTTGAATTTCTACTCAAATTCGTTTCAAAAGTTCCCCAAATTTGCTTAACCATTTCTTAAATTAGATATTATATAACTTTTATTTAGAGAAATCGAATTCAATTTCTGAAAAATAAGAAAAAGTGTCAATCTAATAGAAAGCTCAAAGTTTTTTCCTTGTTTTAAACCTTTCAGAATCATCCTTTTTTCATCCAAGCTTCTTTTCAAAATGTTGCTTATTTATGTTTCGAAAAACAATGACTTCTATCCATTTCACTCCTTCGTTTTCACGTTTTTCAAGACAAAACATTGATCATGCTTTTGAGAAAGTTGTTTTTCTGACTTTTGATTCTGATTTTCAATTTGAAACTTTCAGAAACTTGGCACCAGTCATTTTTTAAGAATATCTGGTGATTGAGAAAGAAGAAAGTGTAAAAAAAGAGACCCGAAGAGGGATCCTCTCAACAGAGAAAGAACAAGCGATTCGAGATTTGAAGGTTAGTTTGAGAGTTGCGATTTGAAATTTTGATTTAACTCTGATTCTTTGATAAATGGAAACCAGGTTACCATAATTCCTTTTTGATAAACCTTTAATAAAACGTTTTCTAAAGACTGTCGTACACTTCAGCTACTGTACTCTTTGAAATTAACTGCTACCAACATACTTCTTTGATCATAGTAGCCAGTAAAGCAGTAAAGCAGTATAGTAGTCAGTAAAGCCATTAAAGCCAAAGTAGTCAGTAAAGCCAGTAAAGCCAAAGTAGTCCGTAAAGCCAGTAAAGCCAAAGTAGTCAGTAAAGCCAGTAAAGCCAAAGTAGTCCGTAAAGCCAGTAAAGCCAAAGTAGTCCGTAAAGCCAGTAAAGCCAAAGTAGTCAGTAAAGCCAGTAAAGCCAAAGTAGTCAGTAAAGCCAGTTACTTTTAAGTAAAGAACTGCTACCGTATACCTTTTTCTCAATGCTTCTTTATCAAAAAAGGCTTTTTCATTGAATGAATTCGTTTTCAAATGATTGAAATTCAAATGATTCATATGATTTTAGTTATTTCAAAACGAGTGGAAGATTCTCCGATCTGAGAAGCCCAAAAACTTTAAACGAAAAGAGAGATGAGTGTCGCCGACGATGAGGAGGCGATCTCCATTCAGATTTTCGTACCCGAGATACAAGTTCGAGTGAGTGAAAACAAAGATTTATCTCTTATAATTTATTGTCTTTATTTATTATTGTTTATTGTCAAACTGTTCAATACCAAGAGATACAGAAAAGCTTTTTTTTTCTTTTGAGATTCCCGTTTAGAGATAGAAATAGATTTGATGTTAAACCATTTCTAGAGTTAAACCATTTGATGTTAAACCATTTCTGTTAAACCATCCTTTCTTGTGCAATTGTTTCCCTTTCTCAGCAATATTGAAAAGAAATGGTGTGCCAGAAAGGGTCGGTTAACAAGTTGTACACTACTTGTACAGTAGAATGTGAGGATTTTCTTTTTGAAATCTCAATTGTCCATTTCTTGAGATCGCCCCGAGGGTGTTCTCAAGAAATGAAGAAAGAGAAAGATTGAGAGAAAGATTGAGAGAAATTTGCACAACTGTGTCAATGGGCTCACTGTCAATGGGGACACTTGGAAGAAGATTGGAAGGGGAAAAGAAAGGGACAAATTTAAGACTGACTCTGAAAAGAAAACCCTTTCACTAACTGGGATTCGATAAATGTTTATGTGATGGGGAAAACAAAAAGCAGTTTTTATTCTTACGAATTGTGAATTTATTGGGGAAAAGAATCTAGGACTGGTTACGAGAATTTCTTTGTTTTTCTTTGAATTTCTTTCTTCAAGAGAAAAGCTTTCAATTGTCATTGAAATTTACCTTCAAGTTACTGTCGGATTACTATAGAATAGTAGGAGATTACTGTAGGGCATAATAGCTTATCTAAATAAATCTATTTAGATAAATTATCTAAATAATATTGCTGTGCTTTTTGTGCTAATTTTAAAACTACCGTCTTTCTTTCAACTTTTATCCAATCTACTTAAATATGATAATAGTTTTACAGAGCATTTCAACTTTTAGAAAACACTTTACTATACTATAAATGCCTTTTGAAGAGCACTTTACACTCAAATATGGAAACACACCCTTTCTAGTGCGCTGACTTCAGAATGTGCTTTAATATCTATAAGCACACGGTATACAGGGTTGCCGCGAATTATAGCGACTCATTTCTGAGGGTCTAGCTTCCCGAGAACTTAATGAATCCGTATGAAATCTTTTGAGGTCATTTTTAAGCATATCTTCTATAGCCAAGTCCATTTTCTAACTGACTGGTGCTTCTATAATCGTTATATAACCTTACAAAGTTGAGAGTCGCAGTAAACTTGGCGAAAAACCCAATTTAAGACTTTTGAGAGCCGTTTTTAAAGTTATTTAATGAACTTCTTAGAGGTGTTTGATTTTCTGTTTGATCTGTTTTATCTTTTTTGTCTTAAACTTGATCATATTCATTAAATAACTTCAAAAACGGCTCTCAAAAGTCTTAAATTGGGGTTTTCGCCAGGTGTTCTGCGACTCTCAACTTTGTAAGTTTATATAAAGACTCTAGATGCACCAATCAGTTAGAAAATGGACTTGGCTATAGAAGATATACTTAAAAATCACCTCAAAAAATTTCATACGGATTCATTGAATTCTTGCTGAGCTAGACCCTCAGAAATGAGTCGCGATCACCTTGTACTTTACAGGACAAGTTGCAAGTACTGTAATTTTAAAGAAGATCTCATATTTTAAGAAACTTTACTAAGAACTAAGAAACCGACTCATTTACTCAATTCTTCAATCAGTTGCGCATTTTTCATTCAATTCACAAAGTATTACATGCAAAAAAACAGGCAAGACTTTCTGAATGTGAGATTTTTGTCAGTAAAGCATAGCCCAATCATTTACCAATTCATTTGCCCAGTTTTTACTAGCTTTTGAAAAATCTTGTTGCGCTAATTGTTGTAGTACCAACGAACCAAGTCCTCAGTCCCAACGAATCCCAAGCAATCCCAAGCAATCCCAACCAATCCCTGTAATCCCGTCATTCATTCACCCCCACTCACCCTTTGCGTACAATAGAGCTCAAAAATCGTTAACTGAATACCCTTTTCTTTTTCCTTTTCTTTTCTTTATCTTTCACAATCCATGAAAGCACCAAAAATTTCCTAAGCATCAGGTCTTCTTTTCTCTTTTCTTTCTTTCTCTCGAAAATTCCGGGCACAAATCCTTTCGGCCGATGGGCTTAAGCTGCAAACAAAGCAATCTCCTTACCATCCAGGTACCCTTTCCTTTCTTTTCTTTATGCCTTCGTTTTCTTAACTAAATTTTGATTTAAGCGCAGTTTTTTTCCTTTTCCATTTACTTATCTAACCTAGGTAGATATTAGAAATGAGAAAATTCCAAGCCGAATCTGATTCCACCTTTGTTTTCTTTCTTTCTTGACTGATTGCTCTGAAAATTTGTCTACAGGCAGAGAAGGCCAATTTCTATTTGCAAATCAAATTTCAAAGCAATAGGCCAAGAAAATGAGGGTGGAATTAGATTAAAATTTTTCCAGATCTAGTAGATATATCTAAAAAAAAAAAAAAAAATACCGACTGGGGCTACCAGTGGTGAATTTATCGCATACACGAAATATATCAATCACAATACAACGACACACACAATACTAGGCTATATCTTAACTTAACCCACGTCATGACAGACGGCTCCCTAACCCTAAGCTCAATGGGGAACTAAATAGCTTTTTTGGTGGTGAAGGGAAGATGACGATGAAGGAGTGGCTTGTCACTTTAAAGAACTGGGGCCACAACCACCAGACTGCCCTCCAGAAAAACCTCTCAACCCGAAGGGAAAGGAAATCCGAAGGGGGTGGCCATGTCGCATGTGGGGTTCGAACCCTCGACCTTCCGATTAAGATAAAAGACACTTAACCAGTCAGCCACAAATTTGTCTACAGGCAGAGAAGGCCAATTTCTATTTGCAAATCAAGTTTCAAAGCAATAGGCCAAGAAAATGAGGGTGGAATTAGATTAAAATTTTTCCAGATCTAGTAGATATATCTCTTCGAATTTCTTTGATTTTCTTTTTACTTTTTTACTTTCCCACCTTTTTCTTAGCCTATAATATAGCAAATTTGTTTCATTAACTATTTTAAATACTATGAAAATATCGAATTAATAAGTGTTATGCTATCATAAACCGCTAAAGTTCTTTGCCTGAAGAAACTAGAATAGAAACTAGAATAGAAACTAGAATAGAACTAGAATTGAAACTAGAACAGAAACTAGAATAAAAACTAGAATAGAACTAGAATTGCCTAGAAAAGGTATGCATCATTCAACGTCATGTAAAAACCTCACAATCAATTGGTAGTTTGAGTACTCTTAATCAATATTTATCACTATCAGTATGACAGTATTCTTTAAAACAGAAACCAGATCCTACCGAAACTAGAATTATTTATTGCTTAAATACTTTTATTTAACTTTTTTTATCTGTAATGTTCTACTTATTTTTCTTTACTTTTCGAATCACCCAATTCCATGATCTTGATGAAAGTTCTCAAACATATTGGTGGGTGAAGACAAAAGAAAAGGAATTATGCTTGGAAGTAAAGAAAAGAAAGAAAAGAAAAGAAAAGAAAGGAAAGAAAGAAAGAAAGAAAAGAAAGGGAAGAAAGAAAGAAAAGAAAGAAAGAAAGAAAGAAAAGAAGGAAAGAAAGAAAGAAAAGAAGGAAAGAAAAGAAGGAGAGAAAAGGAAGGAAAGAAAGAAAAGAAAGGAAAGAAAGGAAAGAAAGAAGTGTTGCATGGGAACACATGCAAACCTACGACAGCTTTTACCCCTCTTTTTCTCTTTTCATCTTTTTCCCAACCTTGTGTTGTATCGAAGGATTACCCTTTGGGAAACTGGGAAAGAACCTGACAGATTCCCGTAGACTTTTCGCATCCACTTTGCACATTCATCAATTCTCGTTTCACAAATAGACTAGCAAGTTTTTTACTTTCTTTATTTTCTTGTTTCATTGTTGATTTATTTCTTTATTAACTTTCAATTCATTCCACTTATTAAGAGAATCAACTATTTACAATATAATGTTCTCAATGTTCAGAATCGATTCGGAATTTTAAAGTTGAAATCATTTCTGAATCTGAATCCTGAATCTGAAATTTGTGTTAAGATCATTACCTTGTTATAAAGATTCAACTTTCTTCTACATCTTTCTCCTTCTTCTTCTATATATTTCTTCTTCTTCTACATCCTTCTCCTTTTCCTTCCACATCTTTTTCCTTCTTCTCCTTCTTCTACAACTTTCATCTTCTTCTTCCACATCTTTCTCCTTCTTCTTCTTCCACATCTTTCTCCTTCTTCTCCTTCTCCCACATCTTTCATCTTCTTCCACATCTTTCTCCTTCTTCTTCATACAGATCTTCTTCTATATAAAATATTCAACTTTAGATATAGAATCAGATTTGATAAATAGATTTAAACCATAAGACTACCTGATCCCCAAACTCTAAAATTATTGCCTGATCACTCAAAAGTTTTTTCATCAATGACTCTGATATCTTTACTTTTCCAGAAGTGTCTCGGCGTGTCGATCGACGATTTTGTTTGGGACGTTAAGAGGAAACTTCTCGCCACATTACCACAGGTAACACAAAAGTACAATAAAACGAGTCTAACAGTAAGACAACTGAATATCTAGTCATTATCTATCTATATAAACAGAATATCTATCTATATAGACAGCTTTATCACCATCTTTCTTGTTCAGGCTCTTCCCCAAGCTTTCAACTACGGTCTTTTCCTTCCGCCGTGTGATGGTCGAGCAGGGAAATTCCTTTTGGAAGATCGACCAGTGAGAGATTATCCATTTCACGATTGTGTTCCGTATTTGGAGGTAAATTTTCGAAATAAATTCAATTAATTCAATTAATTCAATTAATTCAATTAATTCAATGAATGAATTCAGCTGAAATTCAAAAAGCGGGTCTACAAGATGTTGAATCTTGACGAGAAACAGTTGAAAGCGTTGCACACAAAGGTAAATTGATCTGAATCTTATGCTCAGTTTCTATCTTTTGACTTTCAGAGTAACTTGAAAAAGTTTATGGACTATGTGCAGAACAAAAACGCGGAGAAAGTCGAGAAAATGTGTGCTCAGGTAGAGTTTAAGCCTCTTTTCCATTAGCTGAATGAATAACCGCAATTTAAAGACTCATAACTTTGTCTAGTAATGATATTTTTGTTAACTTTTTATATGATTTTAAAGAGGAGACTTCAGGCTTTCGATTGATTTAGAATAAAGCACGACTGGACCACAAAATTCTTAGAAAATCATTCACAAAATCAAGACAAAATCCGTGTAAATGACTAGCGAAGTGTTCTTTGTGCAGTCGCGTAATCGCTTGCCATCTGGCATACCGCTCGAGTATAGAAGGCTTCCCGTTTGTCCCTAAAGCTTTCCTTTTTCATAGTCATTTTTCAGTTCAAAATAGAAACAAGGCTAAACAAGGCTTAGCCTTGGCCTTGGACTTAGTGCGAAGGCTAGCGCCTAGCATTTTGGGATTTTGGGACTAGCAAGTCTATTTGGGTTTTTAGGCTTAGGCTTAGGCTTAGGCTTAGGCTTAGGCTTAGGCTTAGGCTTAGGCTTAGGCTATCAAGCTCTTATTAAATCTTTATCAATCCAAGAATATTATCAAATCAAAATACCAAGTTGTAACTTTGTTTTAAAACGAAATATCTAGGGTCTTGACGCGAATTTCCACGACTCAGCTGGCGAGACTCCGCTAACGTTAGCCGCTGGAGTTCCAGATAATCGAAACGTTCTGTTAGCCTTAGTTGGTGGTGGAGCGCATATCGATTTCCGTAATTCCGAGGGACAGGTAACAACAATTAGCGAACAATTGGATAAATAAATCACCAAAATTTCCAGACTGCCATGCACAAAGCGGCTTTCCTTTCATCGGTGGAAAATGTGAAGACATTGCTGGAGTTGGGCGCAAGTCCGAACTATAGGTTTGAGATGAGAGATTGCAGAGAAATTGCAGAAAATTCTTTCTCTTTTTTTCCAGAGATCCAATCGGATTGACGCCTTTGTACTACAATATGTTGACAACGGACAGCAATGATCTCGTTGGGGAAATGTTATTGAGTGAAGCCGCAGATATTGGAGTCACTGATATGCATGGGAATCATGAGATTCATCAGGTGCGGAAAGTTTAAGTAAATGTAGAGGACCTGGGATACGGTAGACTTTTTCCTAGTGGTGTACGCTGCAATACTATAAAGAATCAAAGACAGTGCTCGTCATTTGATGCCTTTGCTCTATATAAGCATTTGATTTGAATTCACTGAACTATTCTTTTTCAAGAGTGAGACATAAGACTCCACTCTGTTCGGCAATCGAATAAATGTCGGTGTAGCTCATTGGTAAAGCCATTGGTAAAGCGTTCGCCCGGTAATCCTGGTGGTTGCGATCGAGGTCGCGGGTTCGAATCCCGGCGCCAACTATGACCCAGCTCCAACCCATAAAAGGACTTTCCAACTCAAGTGCTTGGTAGTACCGTACTTCAGTTCAGTCCGTAGTTCAGTCCGTAGTTCAGTCCGTAGTTCAGTCCGTAGTTCAGTCCGTAGTTCAGTCCGTAGTTCAGTCCGTAGTTCAGTCCGTAGTTCAGTCCGTAGTTCAGTCCGTAGTTCAGTCCGTAGTTCAGTCCGTAGTTCAGTCCGTAGTTCAGTCCGTAGTTCAGTCCGTAGTTCAGTCCGTAGTTCAGTCCGTAGTTCAGTCCGTAGTTCAGTCCGTAGTTCAGTCCGTAGTTCAGTCCGTAGTTCAGTCCGTAGTTCAGTCCGTAGTTCAGTCCGTAGTTCAGTCCGTAGTTCAGTCCGTAGTTCAGTCCGTAGTTCAGTCCGTAGTTCAGTACCGTACTAATTTCTTGTACTGAATATTTATACATAAGTACTTGAAACAATTTTCCATCTATCTACCACTCTAGCTAACCCCAAAATTGAAGTATAGCTCAAGTACTGTACTATATAGATTATTACAATGATCAATAATACTGCAGGCTATTGGATATAGCTGGAAAGACATGGATACAGTATAGTACGGTACAAATCCTGCACTGTATTACTACTGTACTAATAGACTAGACAAATACAGTACTGGGGTTTAAAGTTCAGCACTACAGCTTTCTGTAATCAGTTCCACCATTCAGGCCTGCAAAAACGGTCTCATCAAACACGTCGAGCATTTGCTTTACTATGGCGCCGATGTGGATGCCGAGAATGTGAATGGGAATTCGCCGCTTCACGTTTGTGCTGTGAATAACAGGTGAGTCAGGGAGAGGTTAGATCAATAAAGGAGAATAATGCATACAAAAGCTATATGTAAATAATCTTTCAGACCCGAGTGTGCCCGTGTGCTTCTCTTTCGCGGTGCGAATCACCTATCCGCGAATAAACAAGGCCAGACAGCGCTCCATGTGGCGCATATCGTTGGATCGAATGCAGTTGCCGATGTTGCTCAAGCACATGATCCATCAATGTCCGGTTGGTTATGAAATTTTTAGTTAAACAATAAAAATACTGTACTTCAAGGTAGTAAAGTAGCTACAAAGTAGTAAGTAAAAGGTATAGCTTTGAAATAGCTTTGAAATAAGCACAAAATCTTTGCGTTGAAGTACTGTGGGTCTTCAAAGCCTTATTGAAAAGTGAATCATTCGGAAAACTACCCAAATTTTATTCGTTTAATTAGTTTTTATTCAATTTCATTCATAGTTTGATTCCCGGGATCATAATGAGAAATTTAATCAAAAGAAAGCTTACCACCCTATCATAGTTTGATTCCCGGGATCATAATATGAAATCTAATCAAAAGAAATCAAAAGAAAGCTTACTAGCCTATCAAATCATCCACTTTTTAGAGAAACAAATTCTTCAATTGATAAAAAGTTGAAAGAAATTCAATCTGAATTCAATTTCTATCTTTTTAGTACCATATCGAGGCGCTCCACAATACTCGACTCGTCGCCGTGTCTCCATTTCAACGCTGAGTCGGCGTCGCTCCCTCTCACAATCCTCTCTTGCCAGTCATGATGTGGGAAAAGCTTCAATTTTAGCTTCAATTTTAGCTTTAATTTTAGCTTCAATTTTAAGTGATTTTGTAAGCCATATCATCTTTTTAGGTCTACCGAGCCTCTCCCTCAGTAAGAGCTGCATCAAGTCGTGCACCCTCGGTCGCTCCCTCACCCACTCCATCTCGAGCAACAATTGTCCCATCCGAGTATGGGACGCTGAGGAGATTCCCGGCAGAGCATGTATCTTCTGGAGCCGCTGGACATGAGTGAGCTTAGTAGAAATATTTGATTTATTCGTTGGAATTGACTCTTTGAAGAGTGAACTCTATTCACTCTATTTCTAGGTTTATTGATAAATATATCAAGGCTATCAAAGCTTGAATCTAGATTTGTAGATTTTGATAGAGTAGATAAATCAGTGTACAATCAGATTACAGCTTTCAATCAGACAAACTCTTAAATTTCTAGCCTCTTATTGCAGAATTACTTTTGCCGAATCTAATACCGAATTACTTGTAATCAAATTTGTACTAGAGATTTAAGCCTTTAAGCAAATTTCTACTATACTAAATGCTTTCATTTCTCCGTTCTTACAAGAATTGATTTGTGTTTGCAATGAAACGGTTTGCAAATTAGCTTTTAAAAGTTGTAGATTAGCTTTAAAAAGTTGTAAATTAGCTTTAAAATGTTTCCCCTCATATTCCCCCTCACAAATCCAGCTCCATTAGGCGTTTCTGGCAGTCTAGCTTTTCTTTTTTTTGGGAAGCAAAAAATGGCTATGGCTAAAGTACAAGCCGGTAGGGGAAAAGGGGAAAATTTTGAAGAAAAAGCTCAGATTGGCACTCGACTGTCTCTTTCTTTCTTTTCTTTCTTTTCTTTTCCTTTTTCATTCGTCCATTTTCGGGGAATCGAGGGAAAAGACTGAATAACTCACTGCCTAATGGACCGATCCTTTTTCTGTACGAAACTATTAGTGCTGAATAGAAAGTGCTGAATAGAAGCCGCTGAACGATTCTAAACCTGCTATTCTTGAATAATTCTACCGTAATCCATTAAACGTACTGTTACTTTTGGCCAGTACTGTAATAGAACTCAATGTTTCGCGGATACTGTATTACTATAAGTTAAAGCAATTCTTACTGTTGTACAGGGTTACTGTAGCTCTACATGAGCCATTCAACTATACTATTTGAATCAAAGCTTTCGAGTTTTTGTACAGTAACACTTTGACTATTCAAATAAGCTAGATCTTATTCAGAATTCTTATCAACAAGTCTCACCATATCTAAACCTCTTCTTGGACAACCTCGTCCAATCCTTTTCCCCAAATGTTCCCCACTTGTCCCACCCCAAACCGCCCGATTCGTCCATTTACTCAAAACAAATCCGAAGTGATCTATGCGCATTTGAATCCTCTCAGAATCCCGACAAAAACCGTGAAATTTCCCCTCGAAACTCAACTTTTGGCAAACATTTTCCCGATTCCAACACCGACTCGCTTGAATGGGTTACTCGAGTGAGTAAAAGACCAAAAACTATTTATTCTAAGCATTCAAGAATCAATCCTATATTGAAAAAACGAAAATTGCTAATTTTCTAATTTTCAGATGCAACGTACCGAGGATACTCGTGATTCCCCGTGGGCCGAAAGGATTCGGATTCATTTTGCGAGGAGCGAAACGTGTGTTTAACTGACAAAAGAGTGTCAACAGGGTTTGATGACCAAATGACATAAGCCATATCCAGTAAAAACCATTCAAAGCTAATAGAAGCAAAAATTAAAAGTAAACAAAGTCATCAGCCGGAGTCGAACCCGTCGGACTCAAAGTCCTTTCTTCGTATTCAAGCCCACTGCCGGCTACCACGAGACCTTTTCCTCTCTGGTCAGTCAACTTTTAAGTTCAGCGTCTGTTTTCTGCGATCCCATACAAAAGTTTGAGTGCTTATACCATTTGACAGAGTGCTACGTTGTAAAAACGGAAAGATTCGGAATCAGCGCAAAATTCTACGTCGACTGGTGTATGGCTCATTTCATTTGACCAAATCCTGTTGACTTTTCCTTGTGAATACAAAGAATACTATTTACATTTATGCTTTTGAATTTAAATTCAACATTTTTTTTGACTTGCTTTAAATGCAAATTCCAGACGTTGATGCTGAAATGGATTTCCACCCGTCACCCATACAACCGGGGCTGCAATTTTTCGAGGGAGTTGACATGAGTGGAATGGCCATGAAAGCTGGTCAGCATTAAAGCTGACTTTATCTGACTAGCCGACTAATTTTAAACTTTAAACTTTAGAATTAACAAAGAAAAACTAATTAATTGATGAAAATTTTCATTTATAAACCATTTTAAGGCCTTCGACCCGGCGATTTCCTGCTACAAATCGACGGGGTTGATGTGCGGTGTGCAAGCCATGATCAAGTCGTTCATCTCATTCAACAAGCCGGTGACACGATCACGTTAAAGGTACGCTTTTATATAATTGTTAATATTGGGTTGGTGAATTGAAAACTGCCGGACTTTGAACTAAAATTTATTCAACATAAAACGATCAATTCATTCGAAATAATTTCCATTATTATTGACAACTTGTGCCCATTTTACAGGCAATTTGTGGATTCCTCTTTCGTAGGATTTTGGTTTGTGTGTGAGACAAGTGTGAGACTCAAAAATCGAGTACTGGAGATGTCCCAGTTTGAGCATTTGAGCACTTTCTTCAAAAGAAACCCATTTTGGTGTCAATAGAAAAGTTGTAGAGAATCAAAAATTAGGCTTATAGCCAAATTTCCAAAAAGATACACTTAGTAGTTTCGCTTAAAATGTAAGTTTTGTGAAAATTCGTAAATTTGGCATTTCTTGAAAACCAGTTTTTGAATCGTTCTGAGAATTTGGATATAAGCTTGATTTTTGATTCTCTACAACATTTCCATTGACACCAAAATGGGTTTCTTTTGAAGAAAGTCCTCAAACTGTCACATATGACAATAGCCCGCAGTTTTCAATTCACCAGCCCAATAGATTGAGATTAGCCTTGATTTGCGGAGAAGTCAATGTCCAATTTGAGGATTCGGAGCCGGCCAGATTAGGGAAGGGACTTATGTAAAAGCCCTGCGCCAGACGACGAGTGATTACGCGGCCGCACAAAGAACACACATGACACACAAATTTTAGGCGGAGCTATTAAGTGTATCTTTTTGGAAATTTGGATATAAGCTTGATTTTTGATTCTCTACAACTTTTCCATTGACACCAAAATGGGTTTCTTTCGAAGAAAGCGCTCAAACTGTCACATGTGACAATAGCCGGCAGTTTTCAATTCACCAATCCAATAATGCCTATCACTTCGAACTTCTTTTTCAATCGATATTAACTGAAGAGTTTAGGTGATCACGGTGGATCCAAGCCAACCGTTTCCCCAAACTGGCACCATCGTTCAAAGAAGGCATCATTCAGGTAAAAAAGATCAAGATAAAAAAGATTGAGGTGTGCGGCAAAAAATAATAACGATTATTTTTCGTTTCAACTGAAGTTTTTAAAGGTTTTATTAGAGATTTAGCAGAAATTTGACTGTGATTCAGGGTTATCGAATCACTATAAATAGTTTAGTTGATCTTTGAATCTTCACCAAATTATCAGCTATCGAATGAGCTTTCATAGTTTGATTTCTCTTTGAATTCAAAGGAAAAATTCTCAGTAAAACATTTAACGACTGTACGCTTTAAAGTAATATATTAAAATGTGTTGAAAATTGTCGACTTTTAAATTTCCTTTCAAAATTCACAGTGGGGCGAATGATGGGAAATGGGCCGACAGTGCCAATGCGGCATCCAAGTACGCAAGTCACCCTGCGACGAGCCTCCGTTCATTCGGTGATTGGATGGCCGGGTAGGGGTGAATGGAGAATGAAAGGAATCGAGTCCCTCGTCAGATTTTCGGATTGATTGCACTGTTTTCTAAAAGATGCTCATAAGAAAAGTTACGGTACTCCGGCTCGTTCTTGTTTACCGTTTTCTCGAAAATCACTAAAGGATTCCCATTTTCAACAATCTTCATTTCAAAATAAGACAAACTCACTGCGATTGTTTGTAATCTGTTTGTACTTTGTTCTAAAGGGCACTTTTGAACGCTCGTCGGCTTTAACTGTCAAAGGATTATGGTAACTTTTAAGACTGTGAGAGTTGACTGCGAGAGTTGACTGTGAGAGTTGACTGTGAGAGTCGACTGTGAGAGTCGACTGCAAGAGTTGACTGTGAGAACTAGATTACGGTAGCTTTTCCAAGAGAATCTTTTAGAAAACACTTCAATCAAAAAGAAAAGAGTCGAATTGTGATTGTCCCCTGGAAAACGGTGTTGGCAGCATGAGAAAAACAAAACCCTCGATTCTCCACTCAACAATCCCTCCAACCCTGCTCACAACCTAAAATCGCGAACTTTGACCCAAACTTGTTTCTGTACAGCTTCTGTAAAGTCAAAGTGATTTCGTCGTCGTAAAGTGAGGCGCCTTTAGCCGCGTACAATACTACAATAGCATTGAACTGACAGTACTTTTCAAGGATTAGAAACCTACTACTGTACGTACTGTAGTACTGTACGAACTGGTAAGCTGGTACAGTATAATAGAGCTGTTCATTTTCAGTCTGATTGCCAATAGGTGTACAATGGAAAAACGCGATTTGACCATTTCAATGGGTACTTTTTCAAGATTTCTTGTCACATAAAGGTAGAATTTTTAAACCTCTATCTTTTCATCTGAGAAACCCTTGAAAAAGTTGCTGTTGAAGTGATCAAATCTCGCTTTTCCGTTGTACACCTATTGACAATTAGACTGAAAATGAACCTACATAAGACTCATTTCATTCTTGAGACTCATTTCATTACATAAGACTCATTTCATTTCATTGTGCTCCAGTACTAGTACTGTACAATTTCTAATATATTCAGTACTAGTGCTGCATGCTGCACGAGACTGAAATATTGGCTTAATCGGAAGCCTACAAGTAACCAGTACTTAGACTAGCCTACAAGTAACCAGTAGACTAGTCTTAAGAGGCCATAGTACTGTACCATTCTCACTCCTTTAATTCCAAAATACATCGGAAGCCTACAAGTAACCAGTACTTTACCCTTGACCAGTACAAGCACATGTACACAGACTAGTCTTAAGAGGCCATAGTACTGTACCATTCTCCTTTAATTCCAAAATACACCTCATTAACTTGTCATTGCAAAACAGTGAAAGCCAATCAAATGCATGACAAAATCCCAAAATCAAAAGCTCAACGTTGTCTCAAAAATCGAGTGCTAGTGGTGGTGGTTTTACCGTGATAAATCAAATTTCCCAATTTCCCAATTGCAGGCGAAATCCGCGAGGAGTACTACCAGCCGAGAACGGCCTCCGTTCGACAAAGGCCGTCAGCGTCGAGGAGGATCTCAGCGGCTGAATTGGAAACACTAATGGTCAGACAGGGATCACATCCAACCAATCCCCATCTACCGCCACATCCACAACAACAACAACAACTCCAACATCAGTACTCGTTTGATCAGGTTTGGTTTCAAGGATTTTAAAGCATTAATAGTCCAGTCGGTCAATGCACTTTAAAAATGGAAATACTGTATTTTCTGTAATAGTAGTGCGCACTACTATTTTTTCAACCCCCTCTAGCCTGCACTACTATTATAGACTGCACTACTATTACAGAAATTACGGTAAACATTTTCTAGCGGACTCAATTCTTCAAATCTTTTAGGCAAATCTAGCAAGAAACTAACAATAAGAATCTAAATATTTTCAGTTTTCAGTTACCGTATTCTCTCTAACAGTAGTGCACCCTAAGCGTCGTCTAAATTGCACGAAATCTCGAAAAGCGCTTATCAGAACCTATCGATGTGAGGCCGGAAAATGTAGCTGACGATGAGATCTTGTGGGGGATTTGAGTGTTGAGCTTCTGGGAAAAATTGGAAACCGTAAAATAGTGATCAACTCGGCTCGCCTGGGTGCACTACTATTAAAGAAAATACGGTAAACAAGACTTAACTTCAAAATCTGTTTAGCAAAAGGATTTTCCAAAGCAAAAGGATTTAGGAATCATTGTGCGGTGATCGGCAAACACCGAAAAAGTACACTTCGGTTGCGGATATGAAAAGGAGAAAGCAGAGGATGGTAGACAGCCCACAGCCGGGACGGGTCGATTATCAAATGGTACGTTTGAGTCCGGTAAACTAAAGCTTCAAATCTTAAAGGATAAATTGAGCTGAGTAAATCTATTAGTTTTTCTAGGGCAATAGCTACAAACAGGGTTGACATAAGAGCCAAATTTTCAAGTCAAATCAAGCCAAAGCAATAGCTCAATTGTTTTAGCTCAATTTCATTTATTCACACGAATAATTTGGCACAAACAATATAAAAATAGAACCGTTAAGCGCTAAAATTAGGCTCCATATATTAGGGCTAAAATCCATATATTAGGCTACCTTTTCGTTCCTTTTCGTACTTTCGTTTAAAACCAAAAAACATACATCAATTGAACTGAGGTTTATTTCATTAGAGAACCCAATTATTTTTCAGCAAAATAACATTAAAAAGGAGTTTAAGGCTCTTAGCAAGTGGTGGCATAAAGTCCCTTCGATAAAATCTCTTTCAAAGTCCCTTCCATAAAATCTCTTTCAAAATTTTGAAAGAGATTTTATGGAAGGGACTTTGAAAGAGGATTTTATGAAAGGGATCCCATGAAATCTCTTTCAAAATCTCTTTCAAAATCCCTTCCAGAATCCCGAGCCAATCTATGGATCTCCCGCAATGAAATCCTATGCCTCATCGCCTGATATGATGACCTATGATGATGTAAGTTGAGAAAATAACGTATGAATGAATGTGAATGCTAGTTTTTGACTTGGTGATGCCTTGAAAAACTTTAACTAATCAACTATCAACTACAAACAAAAAATGCTAACTAAATTTGAATCTTTTGCTACCAAAATGGCTTTTAACGTCTCGTAGTGTTGCCTTAGACAAATAGAATTCAAAATGCACGCTAGACTTGATCTTTCGAGTGTACTTTGTGCAAAAAGCGGAAGCACACCCTTTCCAGTGTACTGAATTCTTCACTTTATTTACTAGAATGCTCGAAATGAGAAGAAAGAAATGAGAAGAAATCCAGTGCACCAGAAAGCGTGCGTTTCCGCACTTAAACGCAAAGTACAGCTTCAGTTTCATGCACGCCAGTTGCGTAAAGATTTTGGTGATTTTAGCCTGCAAGAATCGAGCTTGTTTGCAAGCTTGTTTTGTTCGTTTCCCCTTGTCTTTTTCAGCATCCATTCCCTCCGCCGCCACTCGAGACTGACTACCGTACTCCTCAAACTTCATCTCATCGCAACGATCCATCCGATTATTCACGTCCATATCGAGCCACTTCTCGCCCGAAAACTCCACCACCGCCACCGCCGCCAAATCAGGTACCGTAATCTTTCTTGTCCTATCTTTCTTGTCGATATGCAAATTTAAACAACTTGAAACAACTTGAAATAATATCGACAAGTTCTACCGTAATCCTTTCACTATTAGCACCATTTTATTGATCATTTCCCCTCTTGTACACTCAGCACATTCTAATTTGTGGTATGTATGTAGATTGATTAGTTTTTCTGGTGCACAAAGTACTAAACCAAAAAACTATTGTGGTACTTGGGTGTACTGTAAGTGTTGTTATGTAAGTGTTGTGCCATAATCGATGCACTAAGTGTCTTGCGAAAGGCGGCTATCGTTAATTGTTTGCATATGTCCACGTGGAAGCACTCGTACTGTTGTAGTTGTACTGTTGTACTGTTGTAGTTGTAGAATTATATTGTAGAACAGAAAATAATTGCACTACCAGCCATTACTGTATTACTGTACTTACTTTTCACTCACTGCTATTGTGTATAACTATTGTGACGCCTAAATCATCGTAGTTAGTCTAGTACCGTACCTAATGTACTACTGTACTTTGTCGTTTGTACTACAGTACTTTTCGTTTGTCATAAACCTTGTCAACTACCCTACTGTACTCCTTACACGAGCACCTTTTCAGGGCACTCTCACCAACTCGACTCGATCGTTCAATCCGTACGCTCCGCCGGCACAAATCTATCAAGCTCCTCAACAAACAAATTATGGACACATTTTGCAGAATAATGTTCGCAAGAAAGAAAACTTTTTTTTGACGTAATCTTTTTCAGAATACAATCTACGCGAGTCAAAATGGATATGTGAAAAATTCACATTCACAACAACATCCCGGAGCATCGATTCCACATCTCGTTGCCAATCATCAACAAGCGCAGGGGTAAATTTGAGCAAATATACTAATCAATCTTTAAATAGAAGATCAAAATGATTTATTATAGCAATAGAAAATTAGAAAATTATGATAGCAACCATCGTTCGTTTTTCGATCTCAAACCGACTTTCGAATGAGCTTTGATAGTCCTCGAGTTACAAGGCGAAGATTACAAACTGAAAAATCTCCTATTTAGCATGAGAGCCGGTCCATCCTCCGTCTATGCGCCATCACATCCTCTTCCCAATTCAACTCCATCATCATCCACTCCCGCTCCTCCTCCACCCCCTCCTCCACCATTGCCTCATTCATCCGGTGTCGCCCCGCTTAGCTCAAATGTATGTAAACAATTTTCTATTGAACTGTTGAACCTTTATCCTTAGCAAACTAGCCTTTATAGAAAACCTCGAGAAAACCTTGAGCAAACCTTGAGCAAACCTTGAGCCTTGACCTTGCAAACTTGAACCCCACTGGTTAACTAACCCCGACAATAAACCATTTTTGGAAGCCTTCATAACGTCGTCTACTGTCGTCAGTTACTCGGTGGCCGACTGCCAAGTCGTGGCTACTCGTTGGTGGATTGGATTGGATTGGATGCTCACCTTGATCGGACGTCTATCGAGTAGTTCCAGTAGGCCCACGTGATCCACGCTGAGCTGTGCCGATTCTGGGTCACCACTCCGTGTGGCTCCACAAAACTTCACGTACTCACGGGTCTCACCGGGTTTCGTAGTTGGACTGCGCACCAAAATGTGCAGTGTGTGAGAGAGTACCGATGGGGGCAATGATTATTAGATATTTATTCCGAATCTAGCACAATACTAATCACAATACTAATCACAATACTCATACTACAAGGCGAACATGCTAGCTCCGATCCCAGTACTCGGATTTTCTTTTGCTTTTTTGTAGTCTAAACGTGTACAGATGTCAATGTGCTCCGAGCTTTGCTAATCATTTCTTGATATCATCTTTTGCGTTTCTCGATTCCAATTTTCAAGAAGACGATCTAAATCTGTTTACTAATGCTCCAACTACTTTCGCGACAACTACTTTTAGCCAATATCTAAAATTAAAACCTAAAACAGAGAAAAAAAATCGAAAATGCAAAGGAAATCAAGTGCCCGGGATCGAACCTACCCTAGCAGCTTACCACCTCGCCTCGTAGCTTAGAAACTTACCAGTCGGCCACCGAGCAACGCGAGGTTGTGGCTCCACTTTGTCTTATGAAGGATCCCAAAAATGTTCGCTCTATTTTTGTTCTATATTGGGCAAAAACTAGTTACAGATTTAACTCAAATTTGGTCCGGTAACTCAAATTGAGTATGATGAAGCAGTCAGAGTTCAAAAAAAACCCCATAATGACTCCATTGTCTTCTCCTTGTTTGACATTTGCTCTGAAATCCTATTTTCCAGGCTCCACCCCCTCCCCCGCCTCCACCGCCACCAGATTTCATGGCTCCATCCAGCTCAAACACGATTCAACGAAATGCGACCCCGTTGTCAAAGGCTGGAATCACTGCTGATGCTTTGAAGGTAGAAAAATAGCATTCTTACTTTGAAACAATAACAATTCAACGCAACTTTTTAGGCTCAAGCATTCAAATTGCAAAAACAAGAGGTCACCGAGGCGAAACGGGAAGAGAAAAGAGCCGAAAAAAGTCCCGCACAACAATCCGATTTTCAGATGGATCTGAGGAATGCACTGGCAAAACGGAGAAGTAAAGTGAGAATTTATTTCGGTAAAACAATCGATTTTTCTACCAGTCAAGTCAAGAAGTCTTATAAAATTATGCTTTTTTCAAGGTTCATGTCGACGATGAAGAGGAAGATCGACGAACGGACAGTGATGGGAGTTCTCGTTTCGGGGGACTTTCATTGAGGGAATCGGTTAGAGAAAATGTGACAACAAAGAAGCAAACACAGCAACATTCACCGCCCGGCATTGCACACAAAAAGGATAGCGGGTGAGTGATGGGAAGAGAAATCTTTTTTTTTCCACTCAAGAACAAGATTTTATAGACTTGAACTAAGCGGTTTTCTGATTGCAAAGCTTTTTCCATATCAATTATATCAATTCAAAGTTTTCTCTTCAGCTATACCTCATCGCGAACCTCTCTTGAACCGTCAGAAGTCGATGCTGGAGCATATTCAAATAGTGATCATCATGGTCACTATCACGTGGATCAATCACCATCAAGTGCGCATAAGGTGCGGAATCAAGAACAAGATAGAACTAGACTTTATAGACTTGAACTAGCGTTCTGAGACTTCAAGCTTATCTTCAAGATTATCTGTAGCTGTTGACAACTTATTTTGCGTCTTTTCAGGTACAATTGATCAGTCAATCGATTGAAGACAACTATGGTAATCGACGCCCGCCAGATACGGTAAATTTTTGACAATAAATAACTTTTTGATGTGAGCTAAAGAAGTGGGGTGAAGTGTGAGAGCTTATCAGTGACCAAAAAAATTGTAAACACTCAATGTCTGGCATACTGATAAGCAGTAATTGATGAGCATGTGTTGAGGGTTATTTAGAGGTATCTAAATCCGTAGTAGACTTGTTCTTGTATGTACTTTGGGCTCAAAAAGTGGAAACATCTCCTATCTGTCGCATGGAAGTCCTTTCAGATCACCTATCCTACACCAGAAAGGGTATTTGAGTCATAAAATCTCTCAGGTTTTTTTGCTTAAAGGTTTTTTGCCCTTTCTGGGACACTAAACTCATTGAGTGTACCAGCCGTACCAGTGTACCAGCCGTACCAGTGCAACAGTGTACTCTATTTTGAGCCGTGTTTCCAAGTGCAAAGTACAGAACAAGTCGGCTAAATCGATGAAAGCTTTTCCCTTCTCTATTCTCTTTTTGATCTTCTATCCTTTTTCTTTCAAAAATCTTTTCTTTAATGGGAGTGCACGCATTGAATTCTATTCTGTTTATTCTTTTTGTACAGATGTCCGTCTCATCTGGAATGTCAACAGTTTCCGGGAGTTCTTCAACAAATAATGGAACAATTGCTTATCGTAATGGTCATCAACCGCCACAAGTACCGCCTGTTGATTATGATGATTCGGGAAATGGGGACAGTTCGGATAATGATGAAATGAGAAAAGGTGAGGAGCAAAAGGAAGAAGGATTAGCATTTCGAATTTGGAAAGAGTCAGCTTTAACTAAAAATCGCGAAATTCAAATGAAAGCTGTCAATTTTAATTCCTAAAATCAAGCAAAACTTCCTTGCAAATCCCTCAAATCACCATTTCATTTCTTTCGCTGCACCGAGCTTTTTTTGAAAAAATAACCCAGGGATTTTTGGATTTTTGGGCTTTTTCACGTTTTTGAAGACGTTTTCTTTGGTGTTTCAGGGAAAATTTACGGTGCATGTTTGGCTACCGTATTTCTTCGAATAGAAGACCGGGTAAAGAGTATGATCGCGTACTCCTGCGTAGCAGCCCTTTTTAAAATTTCTTTTTTGCATAAAAGCTTTCAATGAAGTGTTATAGGGCTGGAAAATGGCTCAAAAATACGACATGAGCTAACAGATTTTTGAGCCATTTTCCAGCTCTATAGCACTTGATTGAAAGCTTTTATGCAGAAAAGAAATTTTAAAAAGGGCTGCTACGCAGGAGTACGCGATCATACTCTTTACCCGGTCTTCTATTCCAAGAAATACGGTAATGAGTATTGTTGTTTTCACGAAACATTGAAATCATTCAAAAATTTTCAGCGTCGAACGGCCGGCCGTTTTCTGCAAAGAGTGTAAAAGTGTGGACGAGTGACGATGTGCAACAATGGCTGATATCACTTGGTGAGTGCGATTTGAACAAAGTGTAAAGCTGAAGAAGTTCCCGGGTTTTACTTCTAGATCTCATACTTTCAAGTATTAGTATCAGAGCATTTTTCTGTCAGATCTCTTTTAGGTCTCTGATACTAAGCCGGCTTAAAATAGAGTTTACACACGCTAGTCCGCCCTAGACGTTCAGAGGTTTTCTAATCGGACTTTGAGATCAGTAAAGGGTTTTAGTCTGGCTTCTAGCAACAGCAACCTGGCTTCTAGAGCTGTATAGGTTAGATATTAGAGCTGTATAGGTTAGATCTGAGTTTCAAATCGAATCGATTCAGTCTATTTTCGAATCGAATTGGTCCAACTTGATTCAATTCAAAAATTTTCGACTTTCCGTCCGGATCCATTCGAATCGATTCGAAAATTTGAAGGTTTCGAGCCAGAAGCTTCGAATCAGAAGCCCAATTCGAAGCTTTCTCGACTTTTGGTCTAAACCGAAAACGATTCGATTTGAGAAAGCCAAACCAGGCCTATTATAGATCAAGTCTGCGTCAAGCTAGGCTAATCAAAACCCCAAGCTTGTAGAAGTCTGGTAGCTAGTTTAACCTGAGCCTGACCCACAAAGCAACCCATGCCATCAGAAGCCAGGTCAGTGAAACTGACTCTAAAACTCTTGACCTGACCTGGCCTGGCTCTAGCTCTAGCTCAAAAAAATGTCTACCCTTTTAGCTTAAAACTACAGCACATATTAGAGCTGTTCATTTCATTTCATTCATTCATTTCTAATCGTCAATAGGTTTACAACGGAAAATCCATAACGGCGATTTTTCATTTTTTTAGATAAAATATAGAGCTTGAAAAACTCTACAACAGTAAATATTAGAGCAAGAAGAAAGCAAGCAAGTGTAGCAAGAAATTCTAAAAAATTTTCCGTTGAAATGCTCGTTTTTTCGATTTACATCTATTGACGATTAGAAAATAAACAGCTCTCGTACAAATCCAATTCAATCAGCTAATCCAAATAGCTAATCCAAGCCTACAATTCCAGAGTTGAGCGAGTACAGCGGTGCATTCACGAAGCGTCGCGTCGACGGGCGAGCGTTGTCGCAAATGGATCGCACGGCGTTCACCCAGTTGGGCGTCACGCGGATCGCTCACCGCCAACGCATCGAGCACTCGATTCGACAATTCGTGCAACAACACGATGAATAAACACATTGTAATTACCGTAAATACTGTAATAGTACCCCACAGCCCTCGTACAATCGCGTAGTCGCAAAAGTTTTTTCGTATTTCATTTTTTGCAAAGCACCCGTACTTTCAAAAAATGCGTCTTTAGTATCAAAAAATAGCTGAAATTCAGGGCTATTTTTTGATACCTAAGCGCGCATTGTAGCATAAACCAGTGTCGAGAAAAACTCGTTCAAAGCTAGACTACACAACACTCCGCACCGTCATTATGCGGGTGGGGTACTATTACAGTACTTACGGTAGTATAAATCGCAAAGTAATTAGTAATCTTCATCTGATGCCACTCGCTTGTCTCATTTCCCCCTCAGCTCAACTCCGTCACTCTAAGTCCACGTTTTGCATTTCATTAAATGAATATTTTTTGTCTTGTGCCTAGCTTGTCTTTTATTTTTCCATAAAGCTCATATACCGTAATCCGATGACTTTTCACTAGATTACTGTAACTTTGTCTCAAACTACAGTACTCGATTTCTCTTTTGTAATTCATTTATGACTGAAAGACATTCCCTGTCCTTACTGTTCACTGAATATCTTTTTATATTCTATATTCTTTTTTATATTCTTTTTTTCTGTTGATATTATAATTTAGTCATCTTGTGTTTAAAGTCATTGAAGTCTTTTTTTCTGTTGTTTATTGTCTAAATTGTGCTTTTATCTTTTTTTTGTCTTTTTTTACCGTAGAAGTTGCCTATAAGACTTCGCACAGATTATATAAAGAGAGAGAAAAAGAAATAAATTGTTTATTTTGAAAAACAGTAAAATGAATTTTCAAAAACACAATAAATATTCAGCTAAGGAAAAGTAAACACTTTTTTTTTTGATTAGAAAACATTTTTTACAAACTAGCAAGCGGAAAAAAAGCGAAAAATTTAATATCTTTCAATTTTCAAAGAATAGAGCTATTCTTTTCCGCTTTTTTGTAGGCTGCACATCCGCGCGAAACAATGTTAAAATGTGTTTTCTGATGAAATTTCTTCTAATATATACCATTCGACGCAGAATTTTGTGCTGATTCCAAAAATGATAACGATTTTGAAATCCGTTCGACAAATTTTTTAAAAATCAGCTTTTTTTGAAAAGTTCAAAAGTCAAAATTGTTATTTTTAGTTCATGGAAAAATTCTATTGGGCAATCAGACCTTCTTTGGTTTTATTTAAAAGAAGACATTTAAAAAATCTTTTTAGATTTTAAAATCTAACAAATTAGTTTATAAACCCAGAGTTTCTGAAGTAGAAAGTTCGCCTATTTTCCAAAAACAAGGATAAAGTTTGGAGGTCTGGTTCTCAATAAAAGTTCATTAACAAAAAAATTCTGTCTAATATTTTTATTTCACGAACCTTTCTACCATTTTAGTTCAAAAGTAACTAAAAATAATCATTCTGCGCAAAGTTATAGCTTTTTTCTTGTCCTAATCAGAAATAGGGCCCTGTTTTCCCAAAACGCTTCAATTACCGTACCCCTGGATGCCCTCAACGTCTCGTTTTATGATATGCTCGTTTTTGAAATAAGAAGTCAAACTTTGTTTGTTTTTGTCAAACCTTATAACTAACTTCTGATCAAATGCTCCTTTTAGGTATGGCGGCAAAGAAAAGAACACAAAAGCTGCTGTTTTGCGATGGAAGAAGAGAACGGATTTGCCAAATAATATCAAAGTGAGCCAGAGAAAAATGCTAAGCAAGAGATGAAAAAGTTGTCGCGTAAAAGAATTGCAAAACATCGCCAGAGAAAGCAAAATGTAACGATTGCTTGTCGTAAAGCAAGGACGTTCGAAAGAAGTATCGCAAATTTTTTGATTCGACAAACAAACGAGACCACATATTGTCTCCACTCCAATCACTTGCACTTTTATCGAAATCAAAAATCTCTCGTGATGCCCACAGACTTTACATCAGCTCAACGAAGACTCTGTCCACCGAATATCAGATGCAAAAAATTAAGAACACTCTTGGGACGCATATGGAATACTTCATCGATAACGGAATTGTCAGACTAAAGAATTTGCTCGAATCTGTGCGTTATAGACTTGATCAAGTACCCGAACATGAAAAGAAGAGAGTCGTGATTCTGGGAGATAAGGCTTTGAGACAACAAAGATAACTCTTATGTTACCAGATAGAGCAAACAATCCCCAATCTTGTTTCAATCAACTGATTTTGGCCCTTTAGGAAGGTAGTGATAACAACGAAAGCTTGCAAAAAGTGAAGGATATTTTTCAATTGCTATCTTCTCTAAAGTGCACCTTCTTTCTCGGCGGCGATCTTTCTTTTCTTGCTTCGTCGTTTGGTCTCTCAAATGCTTCTAAATTTCCATGTATTTGGTGCAAATATCGAGCAAACAAAACCAGAAAAATTGAAGGTGAACTTGATGTTATCGACAGACGCACTTATCCAAAAAGGACTCTAGCAGAATTCTTTACTTTACTTTACAACAAAGCAATCCGTTCACAAATCGATTAAAAACTTAACTTTGTGTAGTCGTTTTTGTAGAAGACAATATGTTGAAAAATAATAGAAAATATGCGAAAAAATTAAAAAAAGGTCAAAACGAGCATATATTTGACACTGGGGCATCCAGGGGTACGGTAATTAAAGCGTGTTTGGGAAAACAGGGCCCTATTTCTGAGTAGGACAAGAAAAAAGCTATAACTTTGCGCAGATGTTATTTTTAGTTACTTTTTGAACTAAAATGCTTAGAAAGGATCGTGAAATAAAAATTATTAGACAGAATTTTTTTATAGTGGACTTTTCTCAAAGTCGAAGCCTTCAAACCTTGGTCTTGATTTTGAGATTTTCATACCTTTCCCTTTCTAAAATTTGAGTAATTCTAACAAATTGCTTATAACTTACAATAATAAAAAAAGCTGGAAGTGTCTATTTTTAGAATATTTAAAAAGTAAGCAAACTGGTCAAAGGTGAAAGATTTTATGGCCGTTTTACGAACTTTAGTTTTGGCTTTTTTGCGTTTTTTGAAAAAGCCCATTTTCTAAAAAACTGTCGATGGAATTTAAAAATGATATCGAGATTCGGTTTTATTACACTTTTTCCCATCGAATGGTAGGTATAACATCAATTTTCATCAGAAAACGCACTCTCGCGCGGATGTGGGCTGCCCCATTGATGTGGAAAATAAATTACATAGAATAATTACATATGTTCGCGATAAGATGTGCCCATATCCCTTGGTTCAGGCAGAATATTTATTAATATTCATTCCGAACAACATATTTGCTGTATTTTCCGTCGCTGGTAGTTCAATGGTAGAATATAGACTCGAAACTGATTTATCTCCACGAAGAGATCTTATAGAGAAAGTGAAAGAGATTTGGACACAATATAAACTAGAGATTATGAATCTAAAGAAATTAGAGAAATCGACTCAATAGATCTCTGCACAGTTGGGTTTTCCTTTGAAAATCAAAAGATATCAATTTTTGCACTTTTTTTTCCACTTACAAGAATAATAGGTATTCTGCCGTTCTAGCGCACCTTTTCGCCCATTCTCAATTTTCCCATTTTCAAGCCATTTTAAGACTTATTTTCATTGATTTTGTGTCTCAACTCTTCGAAAATGTCTCATTTTCAACAATTTTCAAAAATGACCAAAAGGTCGAAATGCGTTAGAGAAAAAAATGTGGTCGAAATGGATGGTCGGAATGGTCGAGAAAAGTGCGCTAACTTTTTTGAATAAAAAATAAGCTTAATAAATGCATTTTACAAAAGACCTGAAGCCTTTGACCAATTTAAATCTTCTGAATCTCGTAGAAAAGCTAGGAATCAAGAATTTCCGGGGCATCTTTATGAGAGACACTTTGCCTACTCAAATACAGCCAAGAGAAGTAGGAATTGTGAATTTAGACTCGATTAGCTGATTCCGATCAGAGTTTAAAATTGTCACAAAATGATAATAAAGTATCAAAAAATGTGAATAGTCAATCTACATTTAAAAGACAAAAAATTATAAAAAGAAAAATAAATTAACCAAAGAAAACCAAGAATTTCTAAATGGAATAATTACTGGTTCTGGATTTAAAACTATTTCAAAGCAATAAATTTATAAAACAACAGAGTTTACATATTCAGCAAAAAAAACAATACGAAGATTACTGTTTACTAAACAATGGAATTCAAAAGAGTCTGAAGATGCTCCAAATTTTTTTGCAATGTGTCGATGTATTCGTTCAGTTGGTCGGTGGGACTAACACGGAATTGTCGTTTTTTGAAGCCAATTTCTAGCCTTTTAAGGAGGCCTTTAGTTGGATCAAATTGTTCACGAGCCAATTCGATCTGGTTTGAGAGATCCCACTTATCCAAATACACCTTTGCGATCTTCAACCAGGAGTTGTCGTCGTGTTGATTTTTCACGGCAGAATATTGTTTTTTCCATCCTTTGTGTGGAAAAGTTGTGATCAGTTCGCTTTTGATATCTGGATAAATCTTGAAATCGTTTGTCGGGGCAAAGTCAACAATTGCGGCGTGCTGCGTCCCTTTCCACCTTCCTAAAATCAATTATATTATAGTTTTCAGACACTAAAACAAACCGCAGTTCTGTTCATGTAGATCAGAAATGAATAGGAGCACTCTAAGCATAACCAATTGAACAACGACATCCGCGCAAAGGCTGTTCTCATTAATAACGTTTTCAAGAAGCTCAAATCTGTCGTCCCATTGAGTAGCAATGTCTCTGAAATATGCAAAGATGTATATGTATATGTTGTGTCCGATTTAGATTGAACTTATCGCGGACGTCCGATTTAGATTACAGTCTATATCGGACGTCCGATTTAGATTCAATCTAAATCGGACGTCTTATATAGATTGAACAATAATATAAACATGTTTAATATACGTTCTTAAGCGTTTTCTGAAGTTTTCTGCATTTTCAAGGGTCTTTTATTAATTACAGTCTATATCGGACATCCGATACAGATCGAACAATAATAAACGTGCTTAATATATGTTCTTAAGCGTTTTTTTGCAATTTTCTCCGCTTTTCAAAGAAATTTTATTGTCTTTTATGAGAATTTTTTGTTTTCTTGTTTTCCTATTAAATGTTACAAGATTTCCTAAGATGTTACAAGCGTCTAAAGAGAGGTTCTTTTATGATCGTTTTTCGGTTTCACCTAATGTGCACAATTAGATTTCAGCCTTTGGATGTTGGAAAGAACGTAAGAATTCTAATTAATCCGGTCGAAAAGCGCAGAAAATTGCAAAAAAACGCTTAAGAACATATATTAAGCACGTTTATTATTGTTCGATCTGTATCGGATGTCCGATATAGACTGTAATTAATAAAAGACCCTTGAAAATGCAGAAAACTTCAGAAAACGCTTAAGAACGTATATTAAACATGTTTATATTATTGTTCAATCTATATAAGACGTCCGATTTAGATTGAATCTAAATCGGACGTCCGCGATAAGTTCAATCTAAATCGGACGGAAATCTAAATCGGACACAACATATACGCAAAGCTGTAAAATCCTTACGTGCTTGTTTTGGTTCCAGTCGATTTAATAGGAGGGATAATATGAGATTTGGGGCCGACACCGATTAATGCTAATAATTTATAGCAATAGAATTCGGAGACGTCCGGCACCTGGCCTGAGCTCGAGCCTTTTGGGCCATAATGGTGGCATCTAAACAGAAATGGATCTTGAATGAATGAATAGAAAACATACTTAATGTTGTACTTCGAAACCGAATCTTCTCCATGAATCTGTACAAACGCAAGTGTGTTCGTTGGCCTGCCTCCTAAGTCCGCGTCTCGTTCTTCGAAATAACAAGTGAATTTGGAATCTTCATTTCCTCTGTTCTGATCATGGAGACTGTGGAAGTACTGCTCCGTCGCTTTACGAATCAATTCCACGTCACCATCGGTCCAAGCAGCGACTTTAGTATGATTCTGTCTTCGAAAGTTGTTGAATTGGGCGTAGACATTGAAGAATCCGCTTTTGGTTAAACGTTCGTGATGTTGGACAGCTTCTTTTGCGATTTCAACTTTGTCCGGGCGCTGCTTCAACACTAACTCAACACATTCTTTGTACTCGGTCCACCATGGAAGATCAGCATGTTTCTGAAAATAAACAATTTTACAGAGCAATTTTACTAATTTTATTAAACTCGAGAGCAATTTTACAGAATTCACTAGCTGTATAGTATAGTAAACACTTTTCCATCATGTTTAAATAACTTTTCTGTTGAAAGTGTTAACGAACTTATGGGACACCCTAATAGTTAGACCATTGTGAAAGTGAAGAGTGCTTCTAGAACACAATTTTTAAGCGTATGAAATCTTTAAAAAAATTAAACGCCTTTCAAAAACCTTAAATTCCACACCAATAAACTTATACATCCTAACAATAAAAAGTGAATTCTAAATTTAAAAATTCAACTTACGACAACAATTTCTTCGCCAAACTTGATGGCCTGAAGAGGATGCTCAACAACGGGTAGCTCTTCATCACGGAATTGGATTTGTTGATAATCGCAAGGAATATTCGTCAGAGTCTCTATTCGCTTCACCAGGTCATCGACATGAATCTGAAATTAACATAAAATCAATTATTATCAACCATAAAAGTAAAAACCTGTGGATCCAACTCAATACGCTTGAATAATTTATCATTCTCTTCGCCGACCAAACGAATAGTAATCTTGACCATTTCTAAAACCAAAGAATTAATGAAATAAGTAAATTGAATAAATAAAACAGTTTTAATACTAAGTCGTCGATGTGAGGATTTTGGATGAAAATATGTTTATCCAATACCATCTCAATATAAGTACAAAAATAAGCTTCACTTTTCGGAAAACTTGGCTAGCTAAAATGCTTTTGAAAAACTGAGACATTACGCCAGACAATAAGATACGGAAAAGTTGTTAACAAACTCAAAGTTAAGGAGAAAATAACAATGATAATCACGGATGGGAAATCACGAAATCAACGCGAACTACAGAAGAAAAGGAAGTCTCTTTTCTATTCACAAAAGTTAATGGAAGAATGCGATGTTGGCAGTTTCTCGCCTTCCTCTGCGTATCTGCTCACAGACGCGTCACTCTCATCACTAGAGTGTGCTCCTTGTTGACAGACAATTTGTCAGACAAATTTGTCTTGACAACTTTTTTGTCGGACAATTGATCCGACAACTTCCGACAACGCGTTTTCTAAAAGGTGCGCTTTTTAAGCAAAGCTATAAAGGCCGCGCGAAAAAAAATGTGCAAAATTTTCTTAAAATGTAGTAATGGATAGTTTTATTTAAGGATTTCGATTTTTTTAGGGCGTGAAATTTGTTTTTGAATAGTTGTTAACGGCAAATGCACTAGGCAAATGTAGACAATAAGCCTGGTAAATTCTTAAATAATATAATTTTTTAATAGTGTTTCTTAACTTTTTCCGTTTTAAATGTTTTCTTTAATTTTACATAGCATTTTAAAATTTTCAAGTTTTATCGAAATTTTGACATGAGCTGTGATTTATAAGCGTAAAGGCAACTATCACTAGAATTTACCCTATTACTGGGAGAAGCATCCATTTTCTCTCACAATCACACGGTTCTCTACGCAGTACTCTAAATAGTAGGAATTATCAATTTAACCTGTTTGAAAAGGAGAAAAAAAAACAAAAAGTTATGGAAAGAATAACAGAAAAAAAGCGCAAGATTTTAATGTACATTTGCATTTTGAAAAATTTGCTGACGCAAAGCATAGGGTCACGGTCGCTTATCTTCGGCGCGCGCTTTTTAGAAAACGCGTTGTCTGCAAGGAACACACCCTACTCATCACCCTTCCACTCTAGCCCAACGCGTTTGCGTGTCGCGTCGCGTGCGCCTAGTTCAACTGGAGCAAATGTGTGATTGTGCTCGGTCACAGTGAGGAAGAGAAAAGAAGGTCTAACAAAGAGAAAGTGGTCACACCTAAACATCGAGAAATTGTCAGGGCGAAGGCGTTTCAAGAGTTGTTGATAAATAAAAGAGAGAAGAGAAGGACGAAGTGTCTTATTTGAGAACGATTTTCGTCTCAGAATTTCTTCAGTTTTGCTTCATTTTCTCGCATAAATTATCTCATTATCGCTTATAACTTGCTTCAAAGTTGCTTCAAAGACTTCAAGTTTAAAATTAGATCTTTTCAGACAAGTCCTATTCTCATAATGAGTATAGCTTTACCGGTATTTATAAAATATAACTATACTGATACCTGTAATTGTTAGGGTATTGAGCTACGACCGATCGTCATCGATGATCTCAGAGAATGACATGCACTGACATCAAGTGCATACATTCTCTACAATATTGTCAGTGATAACAATCGTATATATAAACCCTTGTATCTCTGAATAAACACTTTTGAACCTCTGCTGTAGCCTTTAACTGTAATAATATATATAATAACTATTACTAATAATGATTGTTATTTTTTTATCTTCATCATTTTTTCATTGTTTTAAATAGAATGTCCGAAGGATTCATAAGATCAAATAAAGACATATTTTGTTTCAAGTGCAAGAAACATACAAACACCATTGATACATCACAAATAATTTCCAAAAGTAACAAATTGATGATGAAGGGATTGTGTGAAGATTGCAACACCACGAAGTGTAAATTCATTCCTACAGAGTCTTCGACTCCTAGATCCGAAGGATTGAATACTTTGAAGACAGGAAATGGAATTCCTGAGCAAAGTAAAGACATCAAAGAAAAAGATAAAATACTCCTAGAAAAAACTTATTACTCACCATTCAGTGGATTTTGTGGTATCAATGAGTTAGCAAGAATAACGAAGAAACCTATCAAAGAGGTCAAAGAATTTCTGAATCAGCAAGATGTTTACACTTTACATAAGCCAGCTCGTAAAAACTTCAAAAGTCAAAGAGTTTACTTTGATGGCATAGATGATCAGTGGCAATCAGATCTTGTAGAAATGCAAGTGTATGCAGATGAAAATGATGGTTTTAGATATCTTTTAACAATTATAGATTGTTTTTCAAAGTTTGCATGGGTTGTTCCTCTAAAGAGTAAAACAGGCAAAGAAACTGCAGATGCTCTCTTCTCAATTTTTACAAAGAGTAAAAGGAAACCAAAAAAGATGCAAACTGATAATGGAAAAGAGTATTATAATTCAACTCTTCAAAGTCTCTTTAAAAAATTAGAAATTAATCATTTTCAAATTAGCATGTTCAAGATGCCACAAAGAATTCAAGATGTCACAATGTCACAACTCTGCAATTCAAGATGTCACAATAGCCTAAGCTGCAAAAATAAATAGAAATTTTTAACTCGTTCGTTGTTGTTGTTAGTTTTTTGTTGTTATATGTTGTAATTTTGCATCTATTCTGTTAACGCTAATAAATTGTTTCATAGTTGGGTTTTCTTTTCAGAAAAAGACAATAAAATTTCCTTGAAAAGCGCAGAAAATTGCAAAAACGCTTAAGAACATATATTAAACATGTTTATATTATTGTTCAATCTATATAAGACGTCCGATTTAGATTGAATCTAAATCGGACGTCCGATATAGACTGTAATCTAAATCGGACGTCCGCGATAAGTTCAATCTAAATCGGACACAACATATACATATACATCTTTGCATATTTCAGATACATTGCTACTCAATGGGACGACAGATTTGAGCTTCTTGAAAACGTTATTAATGAGAACAGCCTTTGCGCGGATGTCGTTGTTCAATTGGTTATGCTTAGAGTGCTCCTATTCATTTCTGATCTACATGAACAGAACTGCGGTTTGTTTTAGTGTCTGAAAACTATAATATAATTGATTTTAGGAAGGTGGAAAGGGACGCAGCACGCCGCAATTGTTGACTTTGCCCCGACAAACGATTTCAAGATTTATCCAGATATCAAAAGCGAACTGATCACAACTTTTCCACACAAAGGATGGAAAAAACAATATTCTGCTGTGAAAAATCAACACGACGACAACTCCTGGTTGAAGATCGCAAAGGTGTATTTGGATAAGTGGGATCTCTCAAACAAGATCGAATTGGCTCGTGAACAATTTGATCCAACTAAAGGCCTCCTTAAAAGGCTAGAAATTGGCTTCAAAAAACGACAATTCCGTGTTAGTCCCACCGACCAACTGAACGAATACATCGACACATTGCAAAAAAATTTGGAGCATCTTCAGACTCTTTTGAATTCCATTGTTTAGTAAACAGTAATCTTCGTATTGTTTTTTTTTGCTGAATATGTAAACTCTGTTGTTTTATAAATTTATTGCTTTGAAATAGTTTTAAATCCAGAACCAGTAATTATTCCATTTAGAAATTCTTGGTTTTCTTTGGTTAATTTATTTTTCTTTTTATAATTTTTTGTCTTTTAAATGTAGATTGACTATTCACATTTTTTGATACTTTATTATCATTTTGTGACAATTTTAAACTCTGATCGGAATCAGCTAATCGAGTCTAAATTCACAATTCCTACTTCTCTTGGCTGTATTTGAGTAGGCAAAGTGTCTCTCATAAAGATGCCCCGGAAATTCTTGATTCCTAGCTTTTCTACGAGATTCAGAAGATTTAAATTGGTCAAAGGCTTCAGGTCTTTTGTAAAATGCATTTATTAAGCTTATTTTTTATTCAAAAAAGTTAGCGCACTTTTCTCGACCATTCCGACCATCCATTTCGACCACATTTTTTTCTCTAACGCATTTCGACCTTTTGGTCATTTTTGAAAATTGTTGAAAATGAGACATTTTCGAAGAGTTGAGACACAAAATCAATGAAAATAAGTCTTAAAATGGCTTGAAAATGGGAAAATTGAGAATGGGCGAAAAGGTGCGCTAGAACGGCAGAATACCTATTATTTACAAGCCTGATCTTAGGAGATTTGCAACACAATTTTGAGCTTGTCCATGATAAAATTTGTAACTAGGGCTCTGTGTAGTTTTTATTTAGCCTAATTTTTGTATCATTCGACGAGGATTGCAAGCCTCAGTCAATGATACGAAAATTGGGTTGATCAAATGGAAACTTGGTGTTTGATTACGATATTTCTCTCAACTAGATGCCTTATAAAAAAAACGCCTTGCTCGCGAAGAACGCACTCTACAAAGTGGCTCATAATTAGAGCTAAAGATCAAAGGCTTTGTAGGTAGACAAAATTAAACTTTTGAGAGCAAAATTTTATTTTAAAAGCTTCTTTGGCATAAATGAACAGCAAATTAGCAATGAAATTCAAAGCGATCACTATTTTTAGCGATTGTGGGAGATTCTATACGCGTCCCACCCCTTTTCCCATTAGCAATCTAACTTTGAGCTCAAATTTCTTGGTGTTCGGGTGTTCAATTTATAAATTATTGGTATCATTGAATGAGTCAAATCTTTCTCTGTCGATTGGTGTAAAAACTATTGAAATTGGACAGCTCAATACCAAGAAATTTGAGCTCAAAATTGGATTGCCAATGGCAAAGGTGGGGTGCGTTTCAAATGTCCCACAATCTTTTGTGTGTACATAAATGAAAACGCATCTTTTCTAGTGCATTCAGCTCTTTATTCGGAGCTAATTGTTGATGAAATAGTGAATTAAGAGTGTACTTGTTTTCATTAGTTTGAGCACAAAGTCAACTTCAAGATCTTCAAGAGCTGCTTCTAAACTCTAATTCTTAAGCTCTATGATTGAATGAGTCTTTCTCTGTTGATTGGTGCAAAAACTATTGAAATCGAACAGTCCAACAGCAAGAAATTTGAGCTCAAATTTCTTGCTGTTGGACTGTCCGATTTCAATATTTTTTGTACCAATCAACAGAGAAAAACTTGGCACATCTAAAGATATCAATAATTTATAAATTGAACAACCGAACCACAAGAAATTTGAGCTCAAAGTTAGATTGCTAATGGGAAAATGGGCATAGAATGTCCGATAACGAAACTTTTCTTCCCAAATCGATCACAAAAAGCTCGATCGACCATTTTTAACTTGTGAAGATGGATTTGGCAGTAGACCTGCGTGAAGAAGTGTTTCTATAGCTGCTTTTGAAACTTATCTTTCTGTGAGTCTCAAAAGCACAAAGGGTAATCTATGTAGGGAAATCATTATCACAAATAAAACCTCTAGCTATTTACACATGTTTTATGGTACACTGTGCACTCGGTGCACTAGATGGAGTGTGTTTACACAGTCACTGCACACTCGCCATCTTTGTGATGGTGACATTTTGTCGTGAAACGGGCGCACTCGTAATCGACACGGATGCGCCTCTCGCTTTTGTGATCGCCTCGTTGATGACCACCTTCTCATTCGGCTTACAACAACAGCGACAACTTTGGAAAAACCAAATGAGAATCAATCTGAAATCTGTTTTTTTCAAATTCTTTAAATTTTTTTTTCAACTCTTAGATTTTACCCCTGTAAAATCGCCAATATCGGTATGTAGAAGCTGCTGGAAATGAACGCTTGAAGAAACTCGATCGAGGTGATCATTCCAGCGATCACAGAAACGAGTAATCCAACAGATACCGATGAGATGTGATTTAATAACATCTAAAAAAGATTTTTGACTAGATCTCTTGACTAGACTAGACTAAATCAAAATTGTGCAGAAAAGTAGCTCTTTTCTGTGAAATCTTATTTGATGTTTTGATTTTGAATATCTCTGATTCTCTTCTCCTTCCTCTAAACATCGTTTGTGTAATAAAAGGGGACGGAGCCCGCTTTGTATTGCTTTTTTTTTGGCTTTAAAACACTGAACCAACAATTAATTATATTTTATTGTATTTTCTCGCTAGATTAGTGATTGTGCTATACGCGGAATAAATATCCAAATAATCATTGCCCCATCGGTACCCTCTCACGCACTGCACAAATGGCCTCTTTGCCTCTTTTCGAAACGAAAGTAAGTGCGAATGGTGGATCTGATGGCATTCGATATGTTTATCGTCCTATCAACAAAAGATTCAGTAAAGGATACATAATTCCGACTTTGAAGTAATTGTGTTATATTCGGAATAAATATCCAAATAATCATTGCCCCATCGGTACCCTCTCACGCGCTGCACCAAAAATGATCAAACGATCTCATCCACCAAATTTTCTCGATTTTAAATTGATTCTGTTATACCTAACGATTCAAACGCTAAACTCTTACAATTAATTCCACTCGTTCACAATCAGCGTTTCTTTTAAATTAGTACAAATGTATCAAAAAGAAACATTACTTTATAGAAAAAAAAAAACAAAAAAAAAAAAAAAAACCAAAAAAAAAAAAAAAACCAAAAAAAAAAAAAAAAAACCAAAAAAAAAAAAAAAAAAAAAAAAAAAAAAAAAATTTTTTTTTTTAAATTTTTAAAATTTTTTTTTTTTTTTAATTTTTTTTTTTTTTTTATTTTTTTTTTTTTTTTTTTTTTTCTTTCTTTTTTTTTTTCATTTAAAAAAAAAAAAAAAAAAATTTAAAATTTTAAAAAAAAAAAATTTTTTTATTTTTTTTTTTTTTTTTTTTTTTTTTTTTTTTTAATTTTTTTTTTCTTCTCCCTCTCTATTTTTTTTTTTTTTTGTTTTTTTTTTTTTTTTGGTTTTGTTTTGTTTTTTTTTTGTTTTTTTTTTGTGTTTTGTTTTTTTTTGTGTTTTTTTTTCAAATTCTTTTTTATACACAATAATGGGCTATTTTTTTTATTGAAATTCCTATCGTGAAAGCTAGTTTATTGATATGTCATTCCAAATGGGGGCCAAAAGTTTGGAACAACCACCTTCCGGAACTTTCAATCTAAATTTCTTTTTTTTTGTCAATACTATTGGATTGGTGAATTGAAAACTGCGGGCTATTGTCATATGTGAGAGTTTGAGCACTTTCTTCAAAAGAAACCCATTTTGATGTCAATGGAAAAGTTGTAGAGAATCAAAAATCAAGCGTATATCCAAATTTTCAGAACGATTCAAAAACTGGTTTTCAAGAAATGCCAAATTTATGAATTTTCACAAAACTTGCATTTTAATCGAAACTACTAAGTGTATCTTTTTGGAAATTTGGCTATAAGCCTAATTTTTGATTCTCTACAACTTTTCTATTGACACCAAAATGGGTTTCTTTTGAAAAAAGTGCTCAAAAGTGCTACTGGGACATCTCCAGTCCTCGATTTTTGAGTCTCACACTTGTCTCACACACAAACCAAAATCCTACCACGAAAGAGGAATCCGCAAATTGCGTGTAAAATGGGCACAAGTCGTCAATAATAATGGAAATTATTTCGAATGAATTGATCGTTTTATGTTGAATAAATTTTAGTTCAAAGTCCCGCAGTTTTCAATGCACCAACCCAATATTTCCCCTCTTTTCTATTCTCTGTCAATTTTTCTGTTTCACTTATTCATTTACCGAATAAAGTATATATTATTATATTATAGTAGCAAGTATTTTAGTAGAGTACTCACATGATAACAGAGTCGCCTTTCCGCTTTCTCGCTTGGACTGTGCATGAGGTTGAGATCTTTCTGAAATGAAATCGTTTCCTCTTCTGAAAATAGTGAAAAATGCATACCTAGTAGAATATATTTTAATGTACTCATACTTATACTTGTTAAAAAGCTCAAAAAAATCTATTGTACCCTTCGCCTCCTCAACAACAACCACACACAAATGTCGCTAAGCAGTGTGAACACACCGATGACAGTTGTCGATCCTTCGGATATCCAAAGGATTATTTGGCAATCTCCTGACATGATTGCAAAAATTGTAAAACGTTATGAAACCCTCACCTCCAAATCCACCATCGAAATACACTTCGTCGGTGTATAAAGAACACCAAGCTGAAATGTACGGTTACTGCTTAGAATATTTTAACTATTACGGTGATAGGAATGAAACCCGTGCTCAAATATCTTTCCAAAAATGAAAAGATTGCAAGCCCCAATCAATAAGTGTTGTATACTATTAGAAAGCTCTGAATTTCCTCTACAAAATAGGGCAAAAAGTTTTTGAAATTGGATTGATTATTGGGGATTTGAGTGGTAAGAAGTAAAAGCAGGTCGAGTCGCAACCTGGATATCTGGGCCTGCTATCTGCTATGCTGGCAACTATCTCGAGCAACTATCTCCATTTTCTCGAGTCTCAACCTGAGTACTGCTGGCAACTATCGCTTTCAGCCTTTTCGCTTGAAATTTTGGTGCATTCAACATTTGTAAAGCCAATTTTTAATGAAAAAGTCCGTTTATTTAGTTGGCAACCTAATATCATTAAGCCAATAAAAGCTGAGTACGGTACATTTTCTAAAATAAGTTTTCTAATCTTTTTTGACTTAGAAGAGTCATTGCTACACTCACGCAAAAGTAGAGGTAAATGAAGGAGTGTTGGAGTGGAAACCAAAACAATGATTTGAACGATCTCCTTCTGTGACATGAAACGGTAGAATCGTCCATTGAATGCAATAGCCAATAAACGATTACAAGAAAGTGCCATTTGAGCTAATGGACATAATAAGGAAAAAATCATGTAAAGAGTTGTGAATAGTGTATCAACGAATGGCGGAACGTTGCCCATTGCGTCTGGCCTGAGAATTCAATTCGAACTTTTCCAAACTTTCTGATCCGGTTCAATTGCCCAATTTGGTATCAATCACACTGCGTCAGATTGATTTTTTTCGAATGAACACAAGAAAGAACACAGAAATGTATTCGATTCGATTTGATTCGATTCGATTTGATTCGATTCGATTCGATTCGATTCGATTAGATTCGATTCGATTAGATTCGATCCGATCCGATTTGATCCGACCCGATCCGATCCGATCCGATTCGATCCGATCCGATTCGATCCGATCCGATTCGATCCGATCCGATTCGATCCGATTCGATTCGATTCAGTTCGATTTGATTTGATTCGATTTGATTTGATTCGATTGATTTGATTTGATTCGATTTGATTTGATTCGATTTGATTTGATTCGAACTTTCCTTTTCTCAAAACTCTCACCAAAACATTTTTGGACTGATATAGCTGAGAAAGAAGACAATTAAATAAAGTCTTGACAAAAATTCGATAAAGAAATATTTCCGAACGAGAGAGCTCAATCGTTTCTGTGAAATGATCACCCACATCGCCCACAACATCAACACCAAAGCGATCAATGAGAGCTGAAAGGGGGAAGTATGAGTAAATGGGGGTAAAACAAGGCTAAACCCAAGTCAAACCAGGGCCAACCCAGGCTCAGCTCAGAGCCAAGCCAGCTTAGGTCAGTTCAGCGCTAGTCAGGGACCAGAGATCAAGCCAGTAAGCCAGAAAATGCAAGTTCAGAGGCAGGCCAGGGCTATAAGTCAGAATTACACCAAGCTCGTCGTCCCCGATCGCTTGATGCCAAAATAGAAGTTGAAGAATTAGAGATGCTGATCAAAATGGTGCAAAAATCAGCTGCTCTTACGCGCGCAAACGCGAGATATCTGGCATAGATATCTTTTTCGCCTCTCTCGTTAAAAGCGACATCTCGCTTACAAGGCTTCTCTCGCGCGATCGGAAAAAATACAAGTTGGTGGCTCAGTGGGTAAGACGCCCGGATGCAAGTCACCCTATCTATTTTTTGCTTGAGTTCGAGTCTTCACAGCGATTCTTTGTTACTTTTAACTAGTACCGTACCCCAACTAGCCCTCGCCGGTGAAATGATCAAGCGCAATAGGATCAAACCAGAGCTAAGCTAGATTTTGGTAGATTCTGACTTGACCTGAATGAAACTAGTAAGGAAAAATGGTGAACAATGCTTTCTCCTGACAAGTTTTTTTATTCAACCAACCGCAGTAATTGTTATCAACGCCTCGGCGTATCCAAGTGCATCAATAAAGTACTCAAAAGTCACATTCTCCACGTCATAATCATTAGTAGTATTGGATAAAAATCCAGTCGTTGAAAGTATCCCATAATTTGATGTAGTATTCAGTACAATAGTTGAATTCATAGCTAAAGAAGAAAGGTCAATCTTTAAAATCTAAGTGTTTCCGCAAAAAAATCACTTGGTTTAAAAACGTGGATCGAATCAAATTATGTCCGTTTAATACAATTACCCCTTTCTTTTTAATATTCAGCTAAAAGAAGATCAAGAATGAAATTGTGAAATCCTGAAAAGCATGAGAATTCTTTTTCTTCAATTCTAAAGACTTTGTTCTTTGAGCTTTGAGCTCAAAATGTAAACAAAATGCCTTTTTTCATTTGTTTTGACTACTTGATCAAGGGATAAATGTGCGTTGTATTATCATTTCGTGGGAGTGGGACAAATGCGACCTTTTTTTTGCGCACCCGGACATTTGCGCACCTTTTTTTCCGCACCCGGCCCATTAGCGCACCTCTTTTCGCGTTTTAAAAAAGCTCTAAAAAGCTAATATTAACCAATTTCTATCCCAAAAGTTGTTTTTCTCGGTAATTTGAGGGTGTAGAATCGAAATTTTGACATATCAGAGCTTGTGGAAGCGAACGGACGGAGTTATACAAAGAGAAAAATCGACAATTTTCTGTAATTTGACCTACCCGTTTTGTCTTTCAAATTGATTCCACACGTTCTATTATGTCAAAATTTGAATTCTACACCCTCAAATTACCTAGAAAAACAACTTTTTGAATAGAAATTGGTTAATATTAGCTTTTTAGAGCTTTTTTAAAACGCGAAAAAAGATGCGCTAATGGGCCAGGTGCGGAAAAAAAGGTGCGCAAATGTCCGGGTGCGCAAAAAAAAGGTCGCATTTGTCCCACTCCCCATTTCGTTTCTAGTAAAACCCTGAAAGTTCTTTTGATTGTATGATGATTGTCAAATCGTGCAATAATCGTCAAATCGTTACTTTCCCTGTTTCCCTGTAAACTTTTGTACAACTTTTTATTTCCCATTTCAGAGCTGAACAATTGACATCTTTGTGATAATAACATTTTGGCGGGAAATTGGAGCACTCATCGAAACCGCTCGAGTCGTTCTCATCTTCTCTTCGTTGCTCGCCATTTCCAACTTTCCTTTTGACGCACAACAGCGATAACTTTGAAGGAACCAGATCAAGATGAAGCTGAAATTGGAAACGATTGAAAATTGGATCTAGATAAGCGAAGAAAAGGCAAAATTTAGCTAATTTAGCGAATTTAGCTAATTTAGCTAATTTAACTAACAAGGGGAACTTCTTCAAGTTACATTTCGCTATTGATTAGATCTTTTGAGTGATTTTAGTATTGAATTAGGGCTCTCGAAAACCGCTTTCAATCATCTCAATCATCATATCATTTGCGTATCATCAGCCAAAACTTAGAAATAAGTGAAATTTGAAATTTGAAAATTTGGAAAGCTTATAAGGCTTTTATTTTTCATTTTCGTCACTATGTTCAAATTTTTGGGATTGTTTTTTTGCCTTAAATGCCTTAATTTGGCTGTATTTCTGCTTCAAATTCTACATCCTTTTAAGCAATTGCAGTTCATAAACAATCAGTAAACTGGGAGAACGATACGATCTGATCTGTTTCTTTTTCTCAGATCTGATCTTCTCGGATTTTCTCAGAATTGCGTCGTTCAAACAAATTCGATTTTAAATTTTTTTGAAAGCCTTCAGTTTTAAACTACTTTAGAACTCTTTGAGTCAAAGCCTTTTTGCATTGTCTTGTCAAGATTGACTCTTCTTTTCTCTTCCCCTTGTATTCCCTCTTTTTTTCTCTAGCAAGAAGATACCGGATGAATCAATGGTTAGAGCATCTGCTTGGAAAGCAAAAGGGTTCAATCTCTCTCCGGAAATCTTTCTTTGCCATTCTTTACTTTACTTTATTAATCAAGCCACTCACCCCTGTACCACGGCAGCTATCGGCACGTGTAAATTTGTCTGAATGACCGCTTGCAACAGCTCGTCATTTGTGAGCGATCCCGAGATTATACTGACAATCAAGCCGATGATCAACGTGGAAACATGATTGAGAAGCATCTGAAAATTTAGGAACTCAATTTAGGAGTTGAACAAAACAAAAAAACCCACATGACGACACAGTCGTCGCTCAGTTTTTTCTCCAGGATTGTTCAAGAGATGGGCGTCTTTCTGAACAAGTTTGATATTTTAAAATCGACTTTTCTGCAAACCCTTCTTTTTTTCAACATCCGCCACACACAAATATCCATAATTATCGTGATTAGACCGAAAATCGAGGCGGCAAATACCGCAATCCACGCGATTTGTGGACAATAACCTATAAAAAGTTTATGTTTAGAGTTTTTTTTCTTTTCTTTTACCCCCAAAACCGACTTCTCCGTAGCAATCGGTGTTGTATGGAGAACAAGAAGCTAAAATTTTGAATTTTGAATTGAAATTACCAAAGCTTTATTTAAAGCTTTCTTCTTTAGAAAAAGTTTTTGTTTGCTTTTCAGTAGCTAGTAAAACTAAAGCTCCATGTGTAATTGATGTAGTTGATGATGTTTCAAATTGTAATTGTAATTAATTGATAATTGTAATTGTAATTAATTAATGATTGTAATTGTAATTAATTCATGATTTTAATTGATGTTTCAAAATTGGAATTGAAGCTCAACTCACGCAACAATTGTGGGAAATGTAGAAGCAACGGCGCGACGATCAAAATCACGACTTGAAGTGTCTCCCTTTGTGACATCAAATAGTAAAATCGTCCATTAAATGCCACCGCTAAAAATCGATTTCCCGAAAGAGCCATTTGAGCAAATGGACAGCTTAACGTGAAAACCGAATAGAGATATGTGATCAGAGTGTCGATGAAAGCCGGAGTTTTCCCGATTTCCTCCGGCCTGAAATTCGTCGTCAAATTAGCAGTTTTTTTTTTTAAAAATCACTCTTGTCTTTCAGTGAAACTCACCAAAAAAGTAAAGGATTTATATAAAGTTGAAAAAAGAGTATCAAGTAAAGTCTTGATGCATACTCGACGAAGAAATATTTACGCACAAGCGAGCTCATCCGTTTCTGGCGATAAATCACCCACACAGCCCAGATCATGAGGAGGAGAGAAAGGCAGGAAATCTGGGAAAATCATCGTATATTTATAAATTTAATAATATCAATTGTTGTCAATAATAAATAAATTTAATACCGTATTTTCTCTAATAGTAGTGCACCCCGGCGAGCCGAGTTGATCACTATTTTACGGTTTCCAAGCTTTTGCAGAAGCTCAACACTCAAATCCCCCACAAGATCTCATCGTCAGCTACATTTTCCGACCCCACATCGATAGGTTCTGATAAGCGGTTCTCGAGATTTCGAGCAATCTGGACGACGTTCAGGGTTCTACTATCAGAGAAAATACGGTATTTACATATCTATTTTACGGTTTCCAAGCTTTTGCTTTATTTATGGAGACTTTTGAGCTCGGAAATCGTTTAGCGCTCTCAAAATTGATTTATGACAAAAAATCGTTAAGAAAGCATTTCATAGAAGTTGGAACAAACTCGATTTCTAGATTTTTTTTTTCCAGTTTACTAAATTTGATATTCTGAATCATCGATTCATCGGAACTTGATCACCAAATTCCGCCAAAAGAAGTCGGATCCCAGTTGTTGTTATTTACCAATAAGAAAGTCTTCACTATTTACATTATTTTGAATCTACGGGGCATTAAAAATGTTAGAAACAGATTTTGATTTCGGTTTTGGTTTTTCGACGAAAGCTTAACGCTTAACTTAACTTAAGCTGGTGACAAACTCATTTTATGCCACAGTAGACGCTCCACAAGTGTTTCTAGGCAAGCAACAGCAGCGCAAAAGGCAATCATTTTGAATAAAGTCACTTAAAGTTGTTAAGTGTGTTTCTTTCTAGTATTAAACTTGTACAAAATGAGGTCTAAATCTAGTAATTTATTGGTAATCTAAATCTAGTAATAAATATTGAAGATAGTACGCCTAATAGCCGGTAATGCCAGCCTAATCGTAGCAGGTAATGCCAGCCGGATTTGTAGCCGGAAAGATTTGTAGCCGGAAAGATTTGTAGCCGGATTTGTAGCCGGATTTTTGTAGCCGGAAAGCCGAAAACTTACAGCCATAGTCACAATTAACGCCTCGATATAACCCAAAGTGTTGAGAAAATACTCTTTCGCCTCTTCTTCTGTATCGTTTTTGATCGGCATAAAGCAACGATCGAGTTTTAAGCTGCTACCGTCGCTTGTCATATTCGAAATTTCAAAAGCTATTGTGGTAGAACTCTGGAGTACGGTAGTGGAATCAATTCTTTAGGAAAAGAAATTTTATTGAGCTGAATCAATGAAGTCTGAGTGGAAAACGTTTCCGAACAATCTGCCACGAGAAAAAGTTTCACGGCAATGAAATTCCGCGCAAATTATTAGGGTTTTCTCTTGGCTCTTTTCATATATGAATGACCCAAATTCAAGACAGAAAATGGGTTCAGAGTTCCCCGAAAAAGCGTGAATTTCCGTGTAATTCCCGCTTTTTTACGTCTTTTGACGTTGAGGTGATTTTTGCGGAGGTTAACATGGAGAAAACATCATTTTAAAAGTTTTTGTCGATGAAAAGCCTTGACAACGATTTAAATAACGCATATTAAAGCAATTTTCAGCACTTTTTCAATCAAAGAAAGTTTAAACAAATGAAATATGAAAATTTTTGATCCAATATTTAGTGTCAAAACAAGAAAAACTTCTTTTTTTTAAAATCATTTCCGTTTTCAAGCTATTTGCTAGGATTTCTAGAGGTCATTTAGGTCATTTAGGCTTTAAAATTGTTTTTGAATCAAAAAAAACTAGGGGTATTGTTAAGATTTGGTTCAGATTTGGTTCAGATATCAGAAAATCGATATGCTCAAGGCGGTTTAATTGCCCGGCGCAGTGTGCCGGATGCTGCTTTTTCCTACGAGCGATACAAAAAGAGCACATATAAGCAACTCTTAGTGAAAAAAGCTTGAAAATAAAAACCAAAATAATTCAAATTATCAAAGTCGGGCGTTTTTTAAACTTTTTAAATCAATTTTAATGGAGTGCAGAACCGGGAGGCGGCTGTAAACGTCAAAGAATGTTCTACGGCCGTAAACGCCACTTTAAGGGACTCTAAAAATACAAAAAAATAAAAATTCCATTACAATATACCGGAAAAATAGACTGAATATCTTTTAAATCTGCAAACAAAAACATCTATTCAGTTTTAACGCCTGCATACTCTAGTTTCGTATAAAAAATTGTAGTGAGAGAAAGACAAATAGTATCTTTAAGACTTACAATTACCTTGACAATGAGCAACGATGTTCTAGAGCTCCAAAGCCTGCAAACCAAGTCAGACTAGTGCAACTCCACCAAAAGAGTCAGTGACTTGACTCAACTTTGAGTCGATGTAGAGTTGGCAGATCAGAAGCTAATATCAAGTTCAAGTCTGATTCTGGATGGTTTTTGTGGGCCAGAGCAGTAAAAAAGAAGTGAATGAATTAGCAAAAAAAAGTAGATTGAGAGGGGATTGAGCCCTCGACTTTTCCTTTCCAGACAATTGCTCTAACCAGTGAGCTATCCGGTGAAGACATCGAGTAATATCTCTGTTAGTGCATTCGTAAGCTTCAAGTGAAAAGTCTAAACTGTTTCTGTTCGAGTTTAGATTTAGTTGTGATTTAAATTGTAATGATTTCGATTAGGTAGACTTCTCGATTAGTTTTTCTCGATTAGGTAGACTAGTGCAACTCCACCAAAAGAGTCAGTCAGTCACTCAACTTTGAGTCGATGTAGAGTTCAGATTCAGTTGGCAGCTCAGAAGCTAATTCAAATATCTTGAATTGGGCCGAAGCATTGAATTTTTTGGTATTGTCTTTTCGCAGTTATTCGATCAAAAGTACCCAAACACCTGGAAACTTTTTGTCACATGTCCTATTTCTTTTCTTTGTTCAAATGGACACAGATGTGTTGGCAAGAGTCCTTTTAGAAATAAGAAATTCGAGCAGTCACAAGCACGAGCAGTCATTCTTTTTGTCGTCTTCTTTATCTCTTCGTTTTCTCTGATAATCATAAGTCAACTGTTTTTTTTCTCTTTTATCTTTTTCTAGGTGTCAGTTGCTTTTTGACTCTAGTGTGATCTATTGCAATTCTCGAAATTTCATCATTAATTTTCTGTGTTCCATTTGCAGTAATCTATATCTTAAAAGTTAATTTTGATTCTAAAACATCGCTCTAACTTATCTACTTGATACTTTTAGATTTATTGAGTCCAGCACTTGACAAATGACAAGGCAGGAACAAGACAAGACAAGACAAGTTCACTTGTAGAAAAACTTTCTGAATGTATTAAGATATAACTTAAACTCTGAAAATTCAGTGCTGATTTGTGTGCTTTTCTTTTTCTTGTAAGCATCGTAAAATTCATAAAACCCCTTATTTCTTTCAATATATTTCTATTTTGAGACCATATCCGTAAGTTTTGAAGTTGGAGAAACTAGAGAAACTTCGTAGATTGCTACTTTTTTTTCCTTGACTGTTCCTCTACATTTTTTCCCAAAGACAACTACACATTTGCACTCAGAAAGCAGTTTGAATTTGAAGCAGTCTGTTTTGTTTTCAGTAGTATTTGAAGCAAATCGAGTATTTGAAATCGTAAAACGAGATATCAGTATATCGAAATATAAGAGAATATTTGAAACTTCTATTCTTTTGATTTTCATTATATTTATATTCAAATCACATCTGCTTTTGCCTCAAAATCCTCCACTAGTTTCAAAGAATTTTCAGCAATTTCCCTTTTTTGCTTTGTTTATTGCATCGTTGTGCGGAAAGAACGAAGTAAAATTCATTGGAGACAACCAGTAAACAACTCAACGAAATATAGGCATCACGGGAGAGATCGAGAGAGAAAAGGATGGTTGAAAGAGAGGAAACGGCAGGGGAATAGAGCAACATTTATCTCTGATTTCTCTCAATTTTGGCTCTATCCAAGCCTCTCTTCATATGCTCTGTGCTCATGCCTTGGCGACAATGTTAGAGGGGAGAGGGGAGAGGGGAGAAGAGGTAAGCAGAGCAGGGTGGGCGCCCCTCTGCACCCCTCTCTTTGCCCCCCTTCCCCTTTCTCTTCCAATTCCTTTTCATTTTCATTCTTTCTTTTTCTTTTCCTTCTTTTTCTTCTTCTTCTTCTCCTTCTTCTTCCTCTTCTTTTCCTCCTTCTTCCTCTTCCTCTTCTCCTCCTCCTCCTCTTCTTCTTCTTCTTCCTGTGCTCTTTCCCTGTTTCAGTGTTTCAACTTTTTTATCGAATTTCCCCTTTCAAATCTCCCTTCAAATCCTTGTATCCTGTATTGTTCAAATTCTTCACAGTTTGCGTTCAAATTTCTATTTTCTTGACTACTAGAATTTAATCTATCATTTGTCTATCTTATTTAAATTTAAAATTATTTCTTAAACCCAGATTCTTGCTGTTTTCTATGTTCTTTGCTGCTTTGTTCAGCTAATTCGACTAATTTGAACGTGATTTTTCCCTTTTAAGCATTGGTTTTGCAAAAAAAAACCTTAAATCTTATTGTTTTTGAAATAAACCCATACTCATAACATTCTATAATATTAAATTTCAAATCTTAAAGCAAAAAAAAATGATTCCTTTGTAGCAGTGGGTACAACGGGCCTGCTGTTTAACAAATTTTAAAAACAGAAAACAGAAAGAATTTTGAGCTGAGTTAGAGTGCATATCTCTTTTCATATTGAACTTACTTGTATTTACTTTTTTTATTTCATTGTCATTCGTTTTGCCTTTCAGACAAGAAAAGAAAAATGCCGTGCAAGGAGTGGAGTCTGAGTTGTTTGAAGAGTCAATTCGACACTCTCCCGGGATGGGGTCAGTCAGAACTTTGACATTAGCATTTCTAATGAAATGAAAATATGAAAACCAACTTACGGTAAATACTGTAATAGTACCCCCTCGTACAGTCGCTTAGTCGCAAAAGTTTTTTAGTATTTCATCTTTTTCAAAGGGCTCGTACTTTCAAAAAATTCGTCTTTGGTATCAAAAAATAGCCCTGAATTTCAGCTATTTTTTGATACCTAAATGCGCATTGTAGCATAAACCAGCGTCGAGAAAAACGCGTTCAAAGCTAGACTACGCAACACTCCGCACCGTCATTATGGGAGTGGGGTACTAATACAGTATTTACGGTAACTATATCTAAAGTTGTTTTTCTAAAGATTACAATCCCTAGCTTTAGGTAAAGCTGCGGTTGGAGTGGCGGCAGGCCTTGTGCTCTACATTCCTTACAAATACCTCACGACTCGACCCCGAAAAAGCCCATATAAAGAGGATTATAAGCCAGGTATGTAAATTTGATTATCTGGATGGCAAATCTACAACTTCCCTTTCATCTATAGATTTAGCTAATCAATAATCAATATCAATAATCAATGTCATACTCTTAAAAATCTATCCTACAGATCCACCACTTTTCCTGGGGACTTTGGCTTTGAAAAGCTTGAAACACACCCTTTCTGGTGCACTCAATTTGTCACGCATCAATATTTAAATAAAATACATATATAAGTTATTCGATTTTGAGTTTAACTCATTGCCAGCCATGAAAATGAAAAATTGAGCGCGTCAGGAAGGTGCGTTCCCAAATTTTGAGCGCACAAAGCACACTGACTCACCGTTTCTTTCGAAAAATGAAACCTATTCAGACTAAAACATTTCTGAATCAAAAACTCAACATTTCCTGCTCGCTTTTTGCAAGATTCCCTGATTCCATGACGTTTTCATGAGCCTTTCCCCAGATAAGCCCTTTCAAACTCCAAACACAAATAGAGAAAACGGAAAAATTGATCGAATACCCTGATAATCTTTGTTAATTTCTCCTAATTTCTAAGAATTAGTTGAACTCCTCAATATCCTTTTGCTTTTATTTATTTTCTTGAGTGTCTTTTGAGTTGTTTGAGTGGAAAAGAGAGGAGTTCCCTATTTATTGACAAAGAAGGAGAAGAGAAGAGAAAAGTTTCGAACACTGACTTGTCTTCGTAGAGATTCTTTTGAAAAAAGGATTCTAGAAAATGGAAGACTAAGGTGTTTTTGAGGTTTATCTAAATACTATTTATTATACAAGATCCATCCAATCATAGAGCTTAAGAATTAGAGTTTAGAATCACCTCTTGAAGATCTTGAAGTTGATTTTGTGCTCAAATTAGTGAAAACAAGTACACGCACACTCTCAATTCATTATTTCATCAACAATTAGCTCCGAATAAAGAGCTGAATGCACTAGAAAAGATGTGTTTTCATTTTTGTACACACAAAAGATTGTGGGACATTTGAAGCGCACCCCACCTTTGCCATTGACAATCCAACTTTGAGCTCAAATTTCTTGGTGTTGGGTTGTTCAATTTGAATAGTTTTTATACCAATCGATAGAGAAAGATTTGACGTATCCAATGATACCAAGAACATTGAAATTGAGCACCCGAACACCAAGAAATTTGAGCCCAAATTTAGATTAGAGCATTGGAGAACTTGAAGAGCATCTTTTGCTCTAGCGCAAAGACTCATAGTCAGCTGAATTCGTTCACTAAACAAAGACAATGAATACAACTAGCAATGTGCCAAGGCATCCGGTATATTCCCAGTTATATGACCGTCAGGTATGTCCAACCTGAGCCTGCCCCTGGCTGGCATTAAAACCCACCCCCCCCCCCCCCCCCTCCTTGCTGTATTTCCCCCCCCCCCCGCCCTCTCCTTTTTGGTGTTTTGGACCCCCCCCCCGGGCCTGCTCCTGACTGGCATTGGATCATCCAACCTGAGCCTAATGAACTTAGTGACTCGTTAGAAAGATTCCTGGCAAATTCTAAATTATTTTGCGTATCCAATATTGCGAAAACTTTATCAAAAGTATCAAATTTTTAAAAAAAAAGCATTCACCTTTGTTATCTAAACATTTCCATGAGCGATTTTCTTCTCTAAATCACCTCCACCCCGATCATTTCCTTTGTGAATGCCCGCTTTTTCAAAACTGTGATGGCCTTGACTTGAAAAATTCCTGAAAAACCCAAAAACCACACACAAAATAGCACTATAGGAAAGGGAAAATTATATAAAATTTGGAAATTTTTTTCATTTTTAGGCGTGGTCTACTTGTATCAATTCTATCGAACTTCAGCCACTCCAAACGTTTCAAATTATTGCCTCAAACTTGAGACATGGCTCAGAATGGCGGATATACATTACGAGGTACTGTACTGTACTCAAAGTTGTGAACAAATCTTTCCTGGTGCACTCGAATCTTTCATTTTTCACGCAGCAATCATGTATGATGTTCTGTGAAAAAAAAAGGAAGGATTTCGTACACCAGAAAAGAAAGAGCAATGGAAATTGGCTTCAGAATAACTCTTAGCTGTGTTTAAATGTTGTTTTTTTCGATTTTAAGTGAAATTCCAGATCGTGCCCGCCCCAATCTTTCTCCGGTCAAAAGAAGGTACAATGCCATTCGTCGAATTGGACGGAATCGAATATTATGATTCAGCGTTCACTATTTCGTAAGTTTATGCCGGTTTTTAGTTACAGAATGAGATAGTAAAGTATAAAGCTCTATTCTGACGACAATCGGAAACGTGTAGGAGTAGCTGGTAAAGCATTAGTAAAGGGTTGGCCGGGTAACCCCGGTGGACGCGATCGCATGATTAATCGCAGGTTCGAATCCTGGCCTAGATCGTTTTTTTGTATTCCCAGCCGCAACCCATAAAAGGAATACAGGCTTGGGGAAAAGTTAAGAGTTAAGAGTCCAGTTAAGAGTTCTTCATTGTAACTTTGAAACTCAACCATAGAATTTTCTCCATAGTTATTCATTTACCCTATTAGAACATTACTGAAAAGAAAAATTTGTTGTTTTTCTTTCGAACCACAAAGTTTTGGGTAAAATTGATCCTCGCGGAGCTGCATTTTCCCCTTTTGAAAAATTTGACTTCTTTTCACGAGAATAATGAAGAGTTTATAGAAAAAAGGAGTTTTTATGAAACGGTTGACGAAAGAAATTCAAAAAAGTTTCTTGTCTGCCAATTTCCCCCAAACCGAAATGATTTCCCAAATGAGCTGACAATAAGCTAATTAAAATGAAGAACAAATCAAATTTAGCAATCTGACGTCAGCCCTCAACAAGAGTAGCCTCGAGGATCATCTCACCGACGAGCAGAAAGCCGTTTCGAGGGCCTTCGAGAAAATGACTGGTCAGCAATTTAATTGCGGAAATTTATTACCTGATTTACCTCCTAAACCATTTATAAATAAACAATAGCAAAACAGTGTAAAACTGAATACAATAGTAATCTAAAAAAGGCTAAAAAAGCTAGTAATAAGCTGAAGGAATTTTTCCAGAGAACTCCTTCAACATCTCCCACATTCCGCTACGATTGGAGCATATTGGAGAGGTAAAAAAGTGCAATACATTCGATAAAGGAGAACTTAAATTGAAATCTTTTTCATTTCTCTTCAAAATCTCATTCAGATTATCGCCACTTTGCCAAATATTTTCGGTTTTTTGCGTCCACTCGTCGGTGTGATCGCCTCGAGAGATGTGTCGACCAGGGTTCCTTTTTGAATTTCTTTTTGAATTAAAGCTAAGACTAAAGAACGTATTTTATGAAAGTTTTCGTGAATTTTAGATGTATTATCATCAATTATTGGGTTGGTGAATTGAAAACTGTGGGACTTTGAACTAAAATTTATTCAACATAAAACGATCAATTCATTCCGAATAATTTCCATTATTATTGACGACTTCTGCCCATTTTACAGGCAATTTGCGGATTCCTCTTTCGTAGTAGGATTTTGGTTTTGAATCGAACAACTTTCAAAGCCAATTTTTGACTGCTTCTTCCGGATCGAAGTGTTCTCCCGCAAGCTCATTACTCATGATCCGGAATAAATAGTAATCAAAAGGGGCGAGGTCCGGACTGTATGGGGATGCGACAAAAGTTTCCAAACAAGGCTATTTATTTTAGAGCGAGTCAGTTTTGCAACATGAGGGCGTGCGTTGTCGTGGAGGAGAACGATCTTTGACTTGAAGGGTCTATTCTTCTTCAGGGATTTATTCACCTTTTTCAACTGTTCACTGTATTTGATTGCATTGTGCCCATTTTACAGGCAATTTGCGGATTCCTCTCTCGTAGTAGGATTTTGGTTTGTGTGTGAGACAAGTGTGAGACTCAAAAATGGAGGACTGGAGATGTCTGATGTCCCAGTTTGAGCACTTTCTTCTAAAGAAATCCATTTTGGTGTCAATAGAAAAGTTGTAGAGAATCAAAAACTAGGCTTATTGCCAAATTTCCAAAAAGATACACTTAGTAGTTTCGCTTAAAATGCAAGTGTTGTGAAAATTCGTAAATTTCGCATTCCTTGAAAACCAGTTTTTGAATCGTTCTGAGAATTTGGATATAAGCTTGATTTTTGATCCTCTACAACTTTTCCATTGACACCAAAATGGGTTTCTTTTGAAGAAAGTGCTCAAACTGTCACATATGACAATAGCCGGCAGTTTTCAATTCACCAACCCAATAAAATCAATAAAATCAAATTTTTCAGTACAAAGCCGTCCTCGCCGCCTCCGCCTATGGAAAGCACACAAGAGAAGAAACGGTAAAATTCTGATGAGAAATTTTTTTTAGGGCGTATTTTAGAATTCAGCTACTTACTAGGGAACGCGTGCAAAGTTTCCGCCACCTCGCCTATAAGGAGGCGACAAGCGGGAGGGTATGAGGAACCGCGGTAGCCTAGAGGTTAGAGCGCTAGTCTACCAAACTATACTTTCCTCGCGGATTCAATTCCTCTCCCAGCCAAAATCTTTTGCTTTTTTGTGGAACTTTTGGAAAACATTTTCTGAGCTTCCAAAAGCATCTTTGCACATCCATTTGACCTTATAATACTTAAAAAAGCCGTCTAAAGTGATGCTGGAGGGGATTTTTGTTCAACATTTTCAAGATTCAAGCCGTCAAGGGTAGAATACATTTTCCATTTGAAGACCTGACTTCTTGACAATCTTCAACAATCCTTCAAGACTCAATCTGTTTCTTGTTAGCTCATCCATAGCAGAGGCTAAAAGAGTCATTTTGTTGGATCTTTATCTTGACCAAGAATTTCAAATCATCACCAACTTTCCAGATCATAATCGGATGCGATGACTTGAAAGCGATCTCGACCTATCTCGGAAACAAGCATTTCTTCACCGGATTCAAGCCGACAAGGGTAGAATTTGATGAGTTTAATTTTAAAAATCTATAAACATATTTTTATTAAACAATGCTCTCTACAAGTAGCTCTATTTAATGAAACTTTTTTTGAACAAAAAAATAAGATTGACGATTGACGATCCCATACAGATTGACGCATGTTTGTTCGGTTTCTTGTCGCAAATCGTCTACGCTCCCTATCCAAACGAGCACACGAAATACATTCAAGAAAACGCTCACAATTTGATCGACTATGTGAATCGAATCAAAGCAAGGTTGGCTTAAGTTTAAAATTTTAAATTAAACTTCATTAAAAACACTCAACAAAGTGACCTTTGCACCAAATTTTTTCCGCAATTCGCCATAACTTTCTTCTAAATAGACGAATCAAATTAATACTGCTTTTTCAAGATATTCAAGATATTCAGGCTATTATCAATTAACTGAGTATCTTTAGATGCTTAAATTGTGATACTATTGGCCAATTGTCAAAGCTATTGAAACTTTTTGGATCGTTTGCGCAACTCGCCATAACTTTCTTCTAATTAGGCCAATCTTTATGATTTTAATGTCATTTTGTAGATCTCAAAATTGCAACAAAATGACATTAAAATCATAAAGATTGGCCGAATTAGAAAAAGTTTTGGCAAATTGCGCAAACGATCCAACAAGTTTCAATAACTTTGACAATTGGCCAATAGTACCACAATTTAAGCATCTAAAGATACTCAGTTAATTGACAATAGCTTGAATATCTTGGAAAATAGCATTAATTGGATTTCTTTGGATTAATTGGATAAAAACTTTCTTCTAAGTAGGCCAATCTTTATGATTTTAATGTCATTTTGTAGATCTCAACAGGTGCAACAACATGACATTAAAATTATAAAGATTAGCCGACTTAGAAAAAAGTTATGGCAAGTTGCGCAAAAGATCCAGTTGCGCAAAAAAATTTGACGCAAAGTAGCCACTTCTGACTTCATTTTGACAATTCTTTCTAATGACAATTGTTTAATTCTACTGAATCTTTTGGGGTTTTGTGATTTAAAGCTTCGCTGATTTTTTAAAATTCTGTAACTAACTAACTTTAAGTAGTATTCTTGACAAAATGACATCAAAAATCTCAACCCACTTAGAAAAAAGTTATGGCAAGTTGCGCAAAAGATCCAGTTGATATTTCTTTGATTTTTTTAAAAATTTTGATTTTATTTCTTTGCTTTCATTTAATTTCTTTATAGATTCTGGCCTGATTGGGAGGAATGCACAAAGAATTTCTCGACAACAACCGTTTGGAAGAAGCGAGGAAATGGGGGAAGTGCGACAAGTTCAAGAGCTGGATCAACAGCCGGATCGATTATGCATTCCCCGAGAGGCCATTAAGCCTCTCAATGAAATGAAATTAAATGAAATGAAATGTTTAGAGGGTTTGGGAAAGGGGAAAAGTCTAGAAGAAAAGTCGAATAAAATAGTTTAAAAACAATGAAAGTACAGTAATTCATTTTGAACTTTAATGTTTTTTTTAGTCTGAAATTTGAGCTTTTTTCCATTTTCAAACCTTTCCAAACATTTTTCCGTTTGACTCGTTGTAAGTCAAACGATTCATTGGTTCAACTACTTGCAAACTTTTTTCGGACGATCACTTTGAGCTTTAAAGAGCGACCTGGCTACCGTAATCTACCGTAAATACTGTAATAGTACCCCACCCCCATAATGACGGTGCGGAGTGTTGCGTAGTCGAGCTTTGGACGCGTTTTTCTCGACGCTGGTTTATGCTACAATGCGCGCTTAGGTATCAAAAAATAGCTGAGATTCAGAGCTATTTTTTGATACCAAAGACGCATTTTTTGAAAGTACGGGCGCTTTGAAAAAAATGAAATACTAAAAAACTTTTGCGACTACGCGACTGTACGAGGGGCGTGGGGTACTATTACAGTATTTACGGTAATTACAATGTGTTTATTCGTCGTGTTGTTGCACGAATTGTCGAATCGAGTGCTCGATGCGTTGGCGGTGAGCGATCCGCGTGACGCCCAACTGGGTGAACGCCGTGCGATCCATTTGCGACAACGCTCGCCCGTCGACGCGATGCTTCGTGAATGCACCGCTGTACTCGCTCAACTCTGGAATTGTAGGCTTGGATTAGCTATTAGCGCTCAGATATCAAAAAATAGCCCTGAATTTCAGCTATTTTTTGATACCAAAGATGCATTTTTTGAAAGTACGAGCGCTTTGAAAAAAATGAAATACTAAAAAACTTTTGCGACTACGCGACTGTACGAGGGGGTACTATTACAGTATTTACCGTAAGTTGATTTACAATAAACCACAAATATTTCCTTTCTTTAGCCCTAAAAATTAGAGTAGACGGAGTTTGAAGTGAAAAAATCGCTTGAAAAAAGTTTGCAAGTCGTTTTTTGCATTTTTCTTTTCATTTTTCATTTGTCACCTCTAATAGGATTATAAAAAATCGATTTTTCTTTAAATTTTAGGCCTTTTTTAAGAGATCTTAGTCTCAAATCTTGTTTTTATTTCGAAAAACTGATGAGTGAATGTTTTTTTTAAATCTTTTCTTTTTCTTGAAATTTTGAAACATTCGGGTAGCCAAACTTGTCAAATAAAATGTTAAATTTCAAAAGAATTGAATACTAAAGTGCTTTCTAAAGTTCTAAAGAGTTCTATCATCGATTTCAATATGCAAATTTTTAATCCCACCGAAAACTGAAAGGCTTTTGTTTGATTGAATCGATTTTTTTTGATATTCAACTATGAAAAAAGGATTTATCTTTACATTTTTATTGATTTTTTTACAATATTCAACTGGAATTTTGGTATAAATCGATTTTTTGGATTTAGTAATCGATTTCTTTTTTTAAGAAAAAACCCGTCGAACCGGTGATCCTTGACGAGAAATCGAAATACACTCTTTATGAAGAAGCTGATGAAGAAACGACAACGCACAAGGATAGTGATTATGATGGGTAAACAATGATAAAAGAATCATCATCATCTCAAGACTTTCAATAAACAAAACAAAAACAATTTTTCTATTGTTTTAAACAAAATGAAATCATTTTCTAGTGTCCCCCCATCGGAATTTTGATATTCTTTCTGTTTCCATATGATTATTTAAAGTTTAAGTATTAGATTGGAAACTTGAAAGTTGGTACACTAATAAGTGTACCAAAAAAGATAGAGCATGAAAAGTTAGATAGTTAGAGCAAGATTGTCAACTTGAAAGTCGGTACACTTATTCATTGCAATTTTTAGAAATAACTAATGCACCAATCTACAGTTTTTGCCAATAAAAAGACGCATTTATTCTCTAAAAAAGGCTTTTGACACTTTTAGAAAAGCTTCAGTTTTGCAGATTTCTTGGGGGAAAGAAGTTGAGGAACCAAAAATGATGAACACTCGATCAAGCGATTTGAGCACTTTCTTTCACATAAACCTATTTTGATGTCAATAGAAAAAAGATAGAGCATGAAAAGTTAGGCATACAGTCAAGTCAAATTCTCAGCTCGATTTGTCTAATTCCTTTAGTTATATGTCTGTTTAAAGAATTTTCAGAAAAACTTGAATTTCTACTCAAATTCATTTCAAAAGTTCCCCAAATTTGCTTAAGCATTTCTTAAATTAGATAATATATATTTAGAGAAATCGAATTCGATTTCTGGAAAATATGAAAAAGTGTACCGACTTTTAAGTTGCCAATCTAATATTTACAATTACAATAGAATTACACCTCCCTTGATCGTTCTGACCAAGGGAGGTGTAATTCTCAACAAAGGGTTACTTTAAGAAGTTCAAATACTATAGATCAAGATCAAGGTGAGTTTTAAGTCAAGGATTCAGGGATTTATTTTAAATGCCACAATTGCAATAAATTCTAAAGTTTTCTAAAGAAGTTTTAGCTTTATTGGTCAAAATATGGCTGAGAAAGTGCCCGTACCGACAGACAGACAGACAGACAGACAGACAGACACTGCTCTTTTATATAGTAGATACTATCCTACGTAGTAAAATGGGTATTTAAAGTGATTGAGGCTATTGTATCAAAAATGAGATCAGAAGATCATTTTTGTTGCTGAAAATGATTGTTCTCGAATTTTCTCTCTTCTAGAATCCCGGATTTCGACGAGGGTCTATACACGAATGTTTTCCAAGGCGCTGGCGGAAGTCTCTTCACGAATCAATCCAAATTCTCGTGTCCGAAGATTAAAGTCAGTGATTTTCGTCTTAGATTCTAAAAATTCTTTAGCCCGATTTGCATACCGGTGACACAATAGCCACCCTTTCGCCCGAGGACATTGAGATCATTGCGGCGATGGGTGGATCCATTGCAGTGAGTTTCTTTTGAAAAACATTTTTTGATTAAAAATCTAGAAGAATTTTGATTTCCAGTTTGAATTTTGATATTTCCAGGCTGGTCGCGGTCTCTGGGATCCTCCGCAAATCGAATTCCGGGGCGCTTCGTTCGCGATTGGTGGAGACGCGAGTATCGATGGATTATTGACGATACCAAGTGCGATTTTATTCTTACTTTTATAAGGGTATTTTTCTAGATAACTAAATTTTATATTTTTAGCTATGATAACTAATTATTCTACTATAAACATTTAGATATTCTCCTCCAATTCAACGGCCATCTCCAGGGTGTCTCGCACGGAATGGGCGGAAAGGATACACTACCAGAATATCAGGAATATCTAAAAATTGAACTAGCTTATAAAATATCCTTTAATTACCGTATTCTTAAACTGAATAACTTTTTATTACCGTAAATACTACAATAGTACCCCACCCCCATAATGACGGTGCGAAGTGTTGCGTAGTCTAGCTTTGGACGCGTTTTTCTCGACACTGGTTTATGCTACAATGCGCGCTTAGGTATCAAAAAATGGCTGAAATTCAGAGCTATTTTTTGATACCAAAGACGCATTTTTTGAAAGTACGGGCGCTTTGAAAAAAAATGAAATACTAAAAAACTTTTGCGACTACGCGACTGTACGAGGGGGTACTATTACAGTATTTACGGTAACTATAAAAAGCGAGTTTTCAGTTCAACGTGGCTGAGAGTGGAGCGATGACTGAAGATCTTCCACAACAGGTATCATTCATAGCTTTCAAAAACACGCTCCAAAGGCACGGCTGGCCCAGTGGCTTACGTGTTTTTCTCTGAGGCGAACAGCCGATAGGTGACAAGTTCAAGTCCGGCTTGAGTCCAAGTTTTTCCCTTTTTCATAAAAAATTCAGTTACTTTGCTAGATCGATGCTAATTAACCGCTACGAAAATTATTAGCTTTCAAAAGCATAATTAATAATTAATAAAACTATTTGAAACAATTGAAAAAAGCATTTAGGATTTTAGAATTTAGAACTGTATGAATTTTATATTCTAAAGATTAAATGATGGCTAAAAACCAGGCTCACGAGGTGGTGGGACGTCTTCGCGGACAAATGCCTCTATCAGTTCTCTCGAAGCGCTGGGTTTTGTTGATCATACAAATTGGCACCGAAGAGGTTATTCTAAAGTTCTTTTAAATCTTTAGATCTAAACACAAAATATCGATTGAATCAATGGTTCGATTAGAGTTGTTAAATAGCCTTCGAACAGGAGTATTTCAATCGACTTGGATCTGTGATTCAGATCCAAGCCTAGTCCAAGGCTTCCGAAGCCAGCGATCTTTTATAGGGTAAATTTGTAGCAATATCGGAATCTAGCCTCAGCTAGACATCTTTTTGCCAAGCCAGACCCAGAAAATTTGCCTTGAAACAACTATTGCACTGCAGTAGTTGCAATAGTTGCAACTACTGCAAAAGTTCTCCTTTCAGATGTGTTCCTGCCATCAACCGTCGATGTCAGCCATGCGACATACTCTGGGGATTTTAAGGTCAATAAAACTTTTGGTTCTTCTCGGAAATTCGGGTCTTTTCATTGTGAAAAGGTATTATATCCAAAACCTAAAGTCAATTTGATTCTTTTTCTTGGGACAAGGTGTTAAAATAAACCCTACCAATAGGTTTTACGACCCTGCAAACATTTACAGAACAAAAGCAATTAGAAACAAGGAGGAGCTGGAAAATGGGAGTGAAAAAAGAACGGTTTGGAAACAAACGAGAAGCTTTTGATGGGCCGGGAAATTCTTGATCGCTAATCGCTGATCTAATCGCTGATCGGGCGAAAGGAAAGCATTTTATACCGGGCGGGTATGCCAGGTCGCGAGCGGTACGCGGCCGCACAAAGGACACACAGTGATTTTTCTTCTGTTCTGATTTCCAAATGAGATTTAATGTTAAAAATTTGTGCCCGAGGTTTTCAGGGTCGTAAAACCTATTGGCGGGGTTTATTTTAACAGATTGTCCCAAGAAAAGTCCCAATATTATCGAACAGAATCGAGTTGGCTTTGGGTTTTGGATATGAAAGCTTTTCACAATGAAAAGATCTGAATCCTATCTTTCTGATTTCCGAGAAGAACCAAAATTTTGAATCTGTTTGAATTAGCAACTTAATAATTCCAGAAAAGGAATCCCGCGCTGTCTTGTGGTGATCGTCGGCCCAATTCACATCGCCTCCTCCTACTCGCAGAACGTCAATATTCTTAAGGGGTAAATTTAATTTAAACTTATAAAAGGCATATAAAAACTTATAAATTTGACTCTAAAACATTGTAAAAACTTAAATAAGCCATAGAATTCTATGGCTATTTGTTCCAGAGACGCTTGCAAATGCCTGAACACGATCACCAAAAGCGAGTACGTAAGTTTGGTGAAAGAGTGGCACGATCTCTTTCACACTGTCCAGGTACTGAAGTGAGGAATTTAATCGATTAAAACAAATCTAGGATGAGATAAACAACCTAAAATATCCGACTTTCGGCGTATTGGCGATGACTCAACTGAATATCCATTCAAGGGATCCGAAATCGTTGATCGTCGAAGGGTTGCCGCTATTGAATCGGTTAGAAATCAAGAGCCAATTTGGTCGTTTGGCTTTTTAGTACTGTATCCTTGTACTTTTCTTTTCTTTTTCTTTTTTAGTACTATATCCTTGTACTTTCCTGATTAAATCGACTAATCTTCACTTTTCAAACAGATCTAGTCACCCAATCACCCAATCTTTCAGATTCGTGCTCGTTCTATCCTAATTTTCGTGGCGTACTCTGAATTCATTGCAAACAAAACCTTCCTGCCGCACTGAATCTTTAGTTCACAAGATATTCTTTTCAGAAAAGGCCACACTTATGCTGCGCAATATGTCTGGAATCGTTTAATGATGGGCCCAAAATTCGACGTCTCCGAGGCGGTTTTCTCAAGAGATGGATACTATTGCCCGTCAATTGTAAGGAAAAAATAAAAACTTTGAAAATACTCTCCTTTCCAGGGATGTCCATATTTTCGAACACCGCTCAATTTCAACAGTTGCACGATCACCACCGAGTTCGAGTTTCAACAGTTTTTGGCCGCTCTACCAGCACCGGTCACAATGCGACCGACGAGGTGAGCGCTAAATTGATCTCGGGTTTCGTAAATACTCTAATAAAACGCCATCTTCTCGTAGAATCGCGTAGTTTAACTTCTTTTTAGAAAATCTTTTTTTCTCAGCTTCTAGAGTTTTCCCAAGTACACTTTTGATACTAAAAATACTAGATTTCAAGGGCTATCATTTGACACCATTTAGCACACTATAGCTTAAAGCAGCACAGAGAATGGGACGTTCAAAGTTAGACTACGCGAATGTACGCGTAGCTGTTGAAATTCATTATGGAGCTAGCGTTCTATTATGTTGAATAAATTTTAGTTCAAAGTCCCAGCAGTTTTCAATTCACCAACCTAATACTTTAAAAATAACTCTTCTTGAGTTTAATATACGAAATTGAAAAGATGGAATCATGCTTTAACTACCGTTTTTCTCAAAGAAAATGAGTAGTTAAAGGTAGAAACGGTAGTTAAAGTTAAGGTAGAAACGGTAGTTAAAGTTAAGGTAGAAACGGTAGTTAAAGTTAAGGTAGAAACGGTAGTTAAAGGTAGAAACGGTAGTTAAAGTTAAAGGTAAAAAACGGTAGTTAAAGGTAGAAACGGTAGTTAAAGTTAAAGGTAAAAAAACGGTAGTTAAAGGTAGAAACGGTAGCTAAAGTTAAAGGTAAAAAACGGTAGTTAAAGGTAGAAACGGTAGTTAAAGTTAAGGTAGAAACGGTAGTTAAAGTTAAAGGTAAAAAAACGGTAGTTAAAGCATGATTCCATCTTTTCAATTTAGTATATTAAACTCAAGAAGAGTTATTGTTAATGTTATATTAAAATCAAGAAGATTTAGAAATTTCACATTGAAATCCTTTGTCACTTTGTTATTTGTTCAACACTTTTATCAAGCAACTCTTGATTTGGCATCTGATTGGTTAAAAATTCAGAGTGGAAGCCATGCAGAAACACCTCGGCACAATCATCATCGTCGTCGTGTTGCTTTGCTTTTTGTCTGGTAAATTTGAAAAAGAAACAAATATCAATACTAGATATGAAAGATATTCCTTTTAACAATCATTATCCTTTTAACAATCATTTAGTCACAACCCTCGGCACAGTCTTCTATTGCCACGGTCTCAAAGCAACAAAGGGACGTTTCGAGAGTGTTCAAGGAGTATAAAATCAATAAAACTGTTTGACTAATCAATAAAAATATTGTTCAATAAAAGTGAAAAGATAAGAAAAGATAAGAAAAGATATTCTTTCAGCTTATTCAGCTTAGTCAAATTGATTTTTATTCACGGAGCAATCTTATCGTATCGAATAAATGTGTGCTCTTGCATTCCGTGAGTGAGCGTTTCCATATGTAGCCGAGCCTGCAAAGTGCTTCGATCCAACAGTGTCCATTCGCGTACCAACTGAAAGAAAATGGATTATGTTTTGAGATTTTTTTGGCAGATTTTAAAGTAGATATTAGATTAAGTCTTTTTAAGTTAAGTCTTTCCAATTTTTTTTTTTTTTTTTTTAAACGTCTTTTAAAAATAATAACGCCATCAATAAAATTTCGATTTGAACGATTAAAAAGCTTATTTGTTTCTCTACAAAATGGCTTTTTCAGAAGTTCTCAGAGAAGTTGTTTTTATGGATTTTTAAAGGCGCAAAGGCTGCTGCTCCGATATCAAAAACTTCAGCTGCTGCTCCGATACTAAAGTCCCAATTTGGACCCTTTCTTCTATACAAATCTATTTTTATGCTAAAGTAAAAAAGATAGAGCTTATTTGATTACATAAGTCTGTAAAATTTGAAAACGATTCGCTCAAGGGATTTTCTTTAAAACAGCAATTGAAAATTTTACATAAAAATGCGTTTTTTTACCGAGTGGAGGCGAGCTTTGGAGCTCTCTCAAAAGCCATTTTGTAGAAAAATTATAGATCTTTATTATAGTTTACAAATTTGGTAAACGTTTCTTTTCTATTAAAAGAAAAATTGAAAAAAAAATTGTAAAGATTTATGCATGAACGAAAGGTGAAGTCCGATCTTATAGATTACTGGATCTTGAAGAAACTATAAAGGAACTTTAAAGGAACTAAATAGGAACTATAAAGGAACTATAAAGGAACTTTAAAGGAGCCAAATAGGAACTATAAAGGAACTTTAAAGGAACTATAAAGGAACTTTCAAGGAACTAAATAGGAACTACAACGGATTAAAGGTCTTATAGATTAAAGGCCGGTTTTAGATTCAACTAGAGTATTTCCTGTAATTAATTAGCCTTTTTAGATGGTGTAACTTTTAAATAGTAGGCTTATTTTATAGGTTTCGCTTTCTAAAAACATTTTCTAAAGCGGATGGATTGGATTACGGTAGTTTTGAAAGTGGATAGTCGGAGTCGACTACTGGATCTTATTGATTACCGTATTTTCTCTAATAGTAGTGCACCGCGGCGAGCCGAGTTGGTCACTATTTTACAGTTTCCAAGCTTTTGCAGAAGCTCAACACTTTAAAAACCTACTAGATCTCATCGTCAGCTACATTTTCCGACCCCGCATCGATAGGTTCTGGTAAGCGGTTCTCGAGATTTTGAGGAATTTAGGCGACGCTCATGGTGCACTACTATTAAAAAGAATTTGGTAGTTTTTTTCTCATTTTTCTGAAAAATCTTAACTTTACTTGTCAAATCAAGTGAAAAATAGCTTTCATTTTGCTCATTTTCAGTTCCACTTTATATTTATCTTTATATTTATCTTTATCTTTATCCTTATCTCTATCTTTATCTTTATCACTTACATCATGAACGGGTAAATCTCTCGAGAAAGAGATCCGACCGATATCTCTCAATGAAAATTTGATGTAAGATGATGAGACTTTTCCCTCCTCAACAGTGACAAATCCTGAAAAGCGATAAATAAGATATTCAGCCAATCACTTACCATTATTCATTACGGTAGTCAATGCCAACTCTTTCGTGTTCGGCTTTACAGCAATATAGCCGTACTCAGAGTGCAGCTCGTCCTTGTCATTAATCGACCAGGCAAAAGCACTGAAATTTTAGTGTTTCTTTATGTTTTTAGATTTAGAAATTAATAAGAAACTTGTTTAATCATTTTTTTTAAAAACTTACGTATAGTTGATTGCTCTAACCGCTTGCATTTTATCGTCGGGCACGGTGAACTCGATCTCTTCACCATATGTGAATTTTGGAATTGTCGGGAAAATCGCCTGAAGAAATCATTGAAGAAATCATTGAGAAATCATCAGAACAATAAGAAAGAATCGTTAATAATAAATAATTAAAGAAAATGAATGAATGGAATCAATTGCCCGACCTTTCCCCCGTGCTCACTTCTCCATTTACCGATCAGCCAAGCCAACGACGCCAAATCGGGCGAAAGCCGCGTGATGTCGTACTCTGAACTGAACGCTTTTCTTTCACATTCGTTTTTTTAAGGAGTTTGGTTTTGAATTGGGGTTTGAAATAAATGAAACTTTCTTTGAACTTTGAATCTTTCACAAAGATTTTGTTCGCTTACTTCTAATCACACTCCCGCAATGCCCACAACTGAACGGGCAATTGATCCGAATGTAATCCGTGTGCTTACACGTTTGTGGATCTGTTCCCACCCAATCTCGGCAATTGTTGTCCGAGTCTCGACATCCTGAATTAGATTGAAAATTCGATTTCAAATTGCTCGATCAAACCTGCACTAAGAACCGTTGTGAAAAGTGAGAAGAAAAATGAGCAGAGAAATCGATGGCTGAGCATTCTGGAGGATCTGTAATATATTTTCATTGAATTATTGGAAACACAAAGAAAAATATGGCTAATAAAAACAAAAAAAGCTATAGCTTGATTTCGAGACAAAAACTATCGTTGAAAAATCTTTAAAACTATCGTTGAACAAAGTTAGACTAGAGATTTCAAGGGCTATCATTTGACACCATGTAGCACACTATAGCTTAAAGCAGCGCGGAGAGTGGGACATTCAAAGTTAGACTACGCGACCGTCCGCCCGTCATTATGGGGCTAGCGTTCTATTAGAGTATTTATGGTATTTTACTTAAGCAGATAACCATGATACATCTAATAGATCAGCTTTTTTCTTTAAAAAACTAAATGCTTTACAAATCTTTACGAAGCTTTCCAAAGCTTTACAAAGCTTCTACAAAGCTTTACAAATCTTTACGAAGCTTTACAAAGCTTTACGAAGCTTTACAAAGCTTCTACAAAGTTTTACAAAGCTTCTACAAATCTTTACAAAGTTACAAAGCTTTACAAAGCTTTACAAAGTATTCACTCATTTACATTAGAAAACAAACTCAGTATACATTGCATTTGCATAATAAAAAAGTGCAAAAACGTTTAAAATAAAAAGTTTTTCAATTAAAAACGTATAAATAAGGCAGAATGATTCATTCAATGATTCACTACGCGACCGTCCGCCCGTCATTATGAGGCTAGCGTGCTATTAGACTTTTTCTCACTCTTTTCAAATTAACTCTTAACTGATGAAAGCTAGTGTTACTTGTTGAAAAAAGGAAAATGAAAAAGATGAAATAGACGCGGAATCTTCTCAAAGCTTATAAAAGCTTATAGAGCTTATAAAAAAAAAAGAAAATAGAAATCTCAGACCATTTAAAATGGTAAAACAGATGTTCAAAAATGAAACTGTTCGAAAGTGAAATTCGCAAATTGGATGGGAAAGAAAATGGAAAGAAAATGGAAAATAAAAATGGCAAATCTTTGAATGAAATCTTACCTTTCACTAGATGATGATTCTTTTCTTTCTTTTCTTTTAAATGAACTTTCAGGGATATTCCCCTGGACAAAGATTTTGAGATTTTGTGTGTAAAGTGAAGACAATGAGGATATCCAGAGTGGATTTGAAGAAGAGAGAGACGGCGAAGATTTTTATCGGAAAGCTCAATGTGTGTGCAAATCGGACGAGTCAATGGCAAAATCCATCTAAAACATTTTAAAGCTCAAAAAAAGTCCAAAGTTGAAATGGAAAATGGAAAAGGGATAATTTGATTGAAAAAGATTTCATTTAATAGAAGTTTCGTCGCGCATAGTTAGTGCACTTAGTTAGCAAAACTGTCAGGCTAGGTCAGGGACGGCTAAACCCAGTCTAAAGACAGGCTCAGGTCTAGTCTCTGGCCTTACCAGTAAAAAAACAAAGCAAAACTGTGCGGGTAGTGCACGACTGCACGGAGAAGTGACAATGAAGCATATTTAGATAGAGCAGATGAACAAAAGATTTGCGCTACTTGCGATTTGCGATTTCTGCAAGAAACTCAGGCTACTCAAAAAATGAAAGCGGTATGATGCAATTAAATGCGAAGTTTTACCTTTCTGGGCGTGTAATCGGTAAGTACCCGCACAGCTTTTGGTCGAACAATGTGCGTCTTTCCTTGTCTCCAAATTCTTTCTCTGATTTCGGTAGTCGAGAAAGGTGTCACGCTTTAGAAAACAAAGTCTACGGTCGACCAACGATAAAGCAAAGCTCAAAACAAGAGTTCTCAAGTCTCAAGCCGTTCCCGGTGATGTCAACTACTATTGTACCAGTTTAGAATTTAACTTCTAACCTGGCTAAGCCAGTTTATACAAACTGGATCGTAGCTCGTAGCTAGCTAGAACCAATTTGGAGAGCCTGTCACTATATCAAAACTGATCGGACTTTGGATCAGTTTTGATCTGATATTTGAAAAATTGAGAAAAAGATTTGGTAAGCAACGAATTAATTACAGAATTACAGAATTACAGAATTACAGAATCAAATGATTCTAAAATCCTAAAAGGCTTCTAAAAACGCATCGGTTCAATATAACAATCTTTTAAAATTTAGTCGAATAGTCTAATAGCTCTTTGTTTAATCGTTTAAAGTTTAAAGCTTAATCATTTCAAGTTTAATAGATAGTATTAGCAATAAGTTCAACCGTTAACCGTTCTTTTTTTTTGTTCAAATCATAGAAATGCGTGAGCTATTGGAAACGAAGCAAAAGTTCCACGAAATTCCAAAATCGAGACTGAAAATCTCTAGCTGAACTAATGATAAATCAATTGATAGCCAATCTCTCTATTGTGAATGTGAAGTGATAAAATGTAAGAGTAAAATGGGAAAAATGAGAGAGAGAGAAGTAACCGGAACGGAAGAGAAAAATTTGAGAGAAAAGGTAAGAGATTGAAAGAGTGCCATCTCACACTTGCTCTCTCAGTCTCTGCTTTGCCCTGGGGGTTTGAAGGTTTTGAAGGTACGGGTGACAAAGTGTTAAAAAGCCACCCCTTCCCACGAACTGGTTCATGTGATCGTGTTTCTCGAACCCATCAAACACCTCCTCCGGCAGTCAACCACCCGAAATGTTGCAATTTCTTTCTCGAATGCATTCTATTTCATTGCTTTACCGCAACATGATAAACACCCTAGCAGGCTTATTCTAGACTTGCAATTATATTTACCGTGACAGGCTCTCCAAATTGGTTCTAGCTAGCTACGAGCTACGATCCAGTTTGTATAAACTGGTTTAGCCAGGTTAGAAGTTAAATTCTAAACTGGTACAATAGTAGTTGACATCACCGGGAACGGCTTGAGACACGCGGGAACGGCTTGACTTGAGACAGAACTCTTGTTTTGAGTTTTGCTTGATCGTTGGTCGACTGTAGACTTTGTTTTCTAAAGCGTGTCACCTTTCTCGACTACCGAAATCTTTCGAGTAGATATGATAGATTAGAATTGAGTCTTTCCTGCAGCTAAAAAAGCTGAAAACGAAAACTACATAATAATATTACTGTTTAAAAGTTATACATTTTAGAAAGTTTAGCTTTTCTGCATTAACTTTCTAAAATGTATAACTTTTAAACAGTAATATTATTCTGTAGTTTTCGTTTTCTAAAACGTGAAACCATTCTCTACTACTGAAATCTTGTCCTATAGCTTTTCATCAAATCCATTTTGATTAGCTTTCAAGGGGGAATGACTCCACCTCGAAGTTCAGAGTCGTTTCGTCACCGAGTGCACCTTATAGAATCGGCTATGCTGATTCTGAAGCTGTAAAAATTAACTGCAAATCTTTCGTTAAATCTTTCGTTACATCTTTCCAAAATCCTTACCGAATCCGATAAAACTAAATGGATTGGAATACGGTCGTCGAGAAAGTGAAATGATAAAACAGACTACTATCCTGTTGTTGCTGTCACTCTGAAGCAATTGAAAGCACTCACAACTAGCCAGTCAACTCGTTTTATGCTTTCCGTTCTTTTGAATTTGTTTTAATGAATATTTCGCTTACTTTTAGCAACCCATTTAGTATTTATGCGATTTGTATTTTATGCCAACAATGTGCGTTTTTATAGAAACATTCTAATCACTAAAATCCTGAAACTAGTCATATCTGTATCAAATTGTATCAAATTGTATCAAATTGTACCAAATCTGTATCAAATCTGTACCAAATCTATATCAAATCTATATCAAATCTGTATCAAATCTATATCAAATCTATATCAAATCTATATCAAATTGTATCAAATTGTATCAAATTGTACCAAATCTGTATCAAATTGTATCAAATCTATATCAAATCTATATCAAATCTATATCAAATCTATATCAAATCTATATCAAATCTATATCAAATTGTATCAAATTGTATCAAATTGTACCAAATCTGTATCAAATTGTATCAAATCTATATCAAATCTATATCAAATCCATATCAAATCTATATCAAATTGTATCAAATTGTACCAAATCTGTATCAATTGTATCAAATCTATATCAAATCTATATCAAATCTATATCAAATCTATATCAAATTGTATCAAATTGTACCAAATCTGTATCAAATTGTATCAAATTCTGTATCAAATTATCAATACTATCTATATCAAATTTCCTCTCGAAAAGATAATAGAATCAGTCTTTTTCTCTCTCAAATTTTCCCTTGGTTAGAAAAAGAAGAAGAAAACTTTGCTTTTCCCAACAAAGGAATCAAGTTCTATCAACAAATAGCACGAATAAGTAATCGAAAACGAAATGAAAGGAATGTGCGCGGGGAAATTTTACTTCCATTAATGACGTTTCGAATTCCTCAAAAAAACTCAAAGTCTAGAATGGTTCTTGATTTGAAAATTGGGCTTTATTATTTTTTTAAAAATACATTTTATTGAAAACCAATAATGTGATACAAACAAAAGATACATAATAAGACATAAAGGTCTAATTTTTATGACTCTAATTTTTATGGCACTAGTATGGACACAATTTTATGACCACTGCGCCCGTCGTTCCCCTATTACCCCTATTACCCAAATGTTGTAAAAGAAAAAACAAAAAACCCATTTCGTGGGAAAAAGAAACATTTTTATCTTGCCAGCGTGATTGAAGCCTCGACCTTCCGCTTAAGAGACATCACTTCTAACCGATCGGCCTATTATGGTTTAATTTATTGATAAAATCGATTTGAAACTTCAAAAACTTCAAAAACTTCAAAAATTCGACATTCTTTTGTCAAGCCATATTTCGAAATCTCATTGATGCAGGGAAAACAAAGTTATTTAGTTATTTATTTAGTTAACAAAGTTATTTATTTAGTTAACAAAGTTATTTATTTAGTTAACAAAGTTATCACCTTGTTTTTTGCACAAATTTTTTAAAAGATCAATTTAAAAGAGAAATAATAATGTATATCTCGTCGAGTTCTTTGCAAATTCCTGTTCTCAAAGGTCATTTCTCTAAAAATATTCTCTAATATTCGTTGTGTTGCCGAGTGAGATCAGATAAATCTTCCGGATCGACACACAATAAACGAAAGAAAACCGGATTTATTGGAAAGAAAAAGTATAAAATAATTGAAAAACTCGAACAAAGCCGACATTAATTCTCTTGATATGAGAAATTTGGACACGTCGATCGCCAAGATTGATCGAATTTCGCCCGCGGTGAGAGGTTATCCTTGTGACAGTTGATGATCTGACTGAAAAAAAAAACCTTTGCTCACTATTGGGTAAGTTTAAGCGGACAAATTATTGAATATTTTGAGTAATAGGCATTTTGATTCACAGAGTATCGAGGTATTAGAACCCAAAAGTTCAACCCTTAAAGTACTCGTACTGTACCCGTACTGTACTCGTTAAAGTACTCGTACTGTACTCGTTAAAGTACTCGTACTGTACTCGTTAAAGTACTGCCACTTCGAACCCTAGCTGTCATGAATGCCGAACCGGACTCCAGAGCCTATAAATCATGTCAGGCTAGGTCAGGGACGGCTAAACCCAGTCTAAAGACAGGCTCAGGTCTAGTCTCTGGCCTTACCAGTAAAAACAAAGCCAGAAACCAGACCAGAACTTGGCTTGGGGGTCCTGGTCTGATTCGCAACCCTGCTAGCTGAATATCTAGGCAATTATCTCAGCTAATCCTACAGACATTCTCTTAATTGACTATCTTGATTGTATCTTCTTTTCCAACTCACTCCATGTAGAGTAAACATTCATCGAGTCGATCCTCCTCATCCCATTCACAACTCAGCAAACGCGCCGAGCAAAATTGATGACATCGAGCCGGAATTTCTAGTTGTTGAAAACTTTAGCAACCTATTCCCCGCACAAACCTTTAGCCTGGCAGCACTCTGTGGAATCTTGTCCATCAGCAAGACAGTATATCCAAACAGGTAGTTGAGAAGCACAACGAAAGGCCAAAGTTGACGAGAGCTGTAGTAAATAATAACAAGATCACAAGTTTTAGAAAACAAGTCCCATTGAATAATTTCTCGCTAAACTTGTCGTTGTCTACCTCTTGCGCGGTGATATTGTAAAGACAAAGTGGGAGACAAAAGCGTGTGTCCACCGGTCCGACCGCCAAACAACAATTCTGGATTCGAGCGTTGAAAGCCTAGATTTGGTAACTCTGGCTATGATTGCTGATCTTATACTCTTTAAACAAAATTTCAAAGCTATTCTCACATTTTCACAAGAACACGGGCATTCCTTTCGTAGTACTTTTGCCGGCAATTCTCCACCAAAGCATTCACCCTAGAGTATTGTTACCGTGATCGATTTTCAAATACCAAAATTAGAAGTCCAAAACCTGAAAAGCTTTTTGAGCGCAAAAGTCTTTATCCTCTGGACAAGCGGCCTTCAAAATGTTTAATTCCAGTGCTAAATTTGGTGTAATAAGCTTTTCCAATCATAAACAAAACCTGGGATAACTCTTAAAAAGGCACTTAAAAATAGTATAGTGTAGAATATGGAAAACATTCTAGAGAATGACTACAACAGACGCTCCTCACCTAAATGTTCGTTGACCATGAAAATGTGTAAACACCATGCTCACATAAAAAACACCTGCCTTGAGGCAATATTTACTTTATTACAAAGAAAAAAAAATCGACGTGTGAAGATGTGTAAAATTCCATGACCAAAAGAGGGAATTTTAAGGAAATGGCGGAAAAATTCGCGAAACTAAGCGTAATAAAAGAAATTTGTTGGTTGAGCAAAATAATCAGAGGGCTAAAATATTGGGCTCAAAGAGCAACACCAATAGATTGTATTCATCACAATTAACGCATTTTCTAAAAGACGCACTTAGAAAAAAGCTACCGTAATACAAGTGTCTTTTCGGGGAAGCAAAGATATTCAAGATATGGGGTACGGTAATCTTCCCCTGAACGCGCGTTTTAGAAAGCACTTTAATCAGAAGAAAACAGTCTAAACACCAATATCGACACGATAAAATTAAGTTCGTAAAGCACTGATCACAACTCATCAAAAAAGAAATGGTGAAAGTTACTTGTAATATTTTAAGTCAATACACACGTAGAGAACTATGCAATTTTTGGAAACCACACAACCACACAATCACTGATTTTTACCAGCAGAACCCCTTTTGTTTAAGCATAGGTGAAGCGAACGGGAATGATCTCAATTCACTAACAAAAAGCCAGCATAAGTATAATAGCAGCAAAGATCAATGACAAACTTAGATATGTGCATATGCTGCCAAATATAGTTAAATAATATAAATATTATAAAAAAACGTGGAATTTCTCGTTAACTGATTCGTTGCGTGAATAGCAAAAAGAGGAGAGAAAGACGAAGAAGATCAAAGCAAAGCAAGAAAATTGGGAGAGTTACAAGCAAGGTATCAAGATAAATCTACATGTCATGGATGCAATCTGACCGGTCCCTGGAGAGCCTCAAGGTTTTTCCCTTCGTTGAGCAGATATTCGACAATTTGTCCCTGCATTATCATGTGAAAGGCAAGATGTGAGTTCGATTGCACTGCCACATTTTCTTCCTAAACATTTTCATTTGCCGTTTATTCTTGGGTTTATCAAATTCATTTTCAAACCCCTTACCTTTCCTTTCTTTTTCTTATCCTTGTTCTTTTTAGCCGTTGCCGAACGATCTTCAGCTCCCGATTGGAAAAGTGTCGGTCCAAACATAATCGCCAAATTGTGCGTTTGCATCCGATTCTTGTCCGCATTTTTGGCAACCCTAAATAATGACACATTTTTTGTAAACCAACAAAGATTCCCCACGTGTTCAAATGTCTTAGCAATAATTTCAACGTTTCTCGATTTTCGATTGGCAACAGCTTGATAAGCTCGTCAAAACGACGCTGCCGATGACTCGATTTAGCCTGCTCTGAAAGGTGGAGAAGTTTTGCAAGAAAATCTAAATGACTCACGCATTGCAGAGAGAAAATCCTTGTGCATTTTGATTGGAAACACAGGTTCCGCCAGTTCACGGAAAAACAACTGAACACACGTGATATCTTTTGAAACATTGATATCTTTACCTTTAGCGCTCCTGTCAAAACATGAATGTCCTCTTCGGCAACAAGTAGCTGATATCGATCTAAAGTTAAAAATTTCGCTAATAAACTCTTAAAAAGCTCACTTTGATCAACTTGACATCGAATTTTCTGTACAGATGATAAATTTCCAGATACACGATATAAACCATCGACCTAAACAAACAATAAAAGTTATAAAAACATTCAATACACCTCCAATCCTTTAGCTTCAATAAGTTCTGTGACAACTTGAATAAATCGGGGAACAAGCGTGTTTTCCAGCTGACAAATCACCGGCAGTGTTGATCCAAAAACGGGTTCCGCTAAAAACTTTGTTTTGACATCAAAATTTCACAACTTACGTTTATAAATTCCTTTCTCCTTCAATGACTCAACAGAAGGGCGAGAACGGAAGAAACTAAAACATATAATGTATAAAATATGCTTTCATAAGAAAATTAAGCAATTAAAAACAAGTGTGGGTGCTGTTTCTAGACTTTATTTGGTTGACATACGCCCATAAATGTGTTTTTGTTTGAAGTAGATCAACTTGTCTAGAATCGGCAAAGTTTACTGAATAATAACGGTCGAAATAAAAACTTACCGTCGCAATTTTTCCAGAATTGATTCTCGTGAAGGCGGTGGATCGTGGCAAACACCGCTTCCTGGATGATAAAATGTTGATGAGCCGGCTGATGACACCTCATAAACAGAAGAGCTCATTGGATCGGGTCTAAAAATTAAGAATTACCATTTTACATTACCAAAATAGTTAGCAACCTGGTGTTCCTAGTACGCTTTTAAACTCACTTATGCTCTCGTCGAATACTTTTTGTCAATACATTGTAGGTAGAGCTTGGTCGAGGAGGCATTGCGGACGGATTTCGAATGACGGAGATTGGAATCGTTGAAATACTTGCCGTTGTATCATTTGTATGGGCAGGCTAAAAATCAGTTTTAAAAATAATGCAAATGCAAAGATTCTACTTCCTTGGTTGATTCCTTGTAGATTTTTGTCAAAGAGAGAGTCAGACTTCGAATTAATTTGGTCTTGTTGGCATTAGGACTTGAATTATTTGTTGCCGGTTGCTGTGAAATTGAATGGAACAATTTGGGCTTAATGAGTGGCACATTGTCATCATTCAAGAGGTTCTTTTGTTCAAATAGATTAATCAGAGAATTTGTTCTTTTCATTAGAAAAATGAGGAAAGGTCGATAAAATTTGAAGGTACGCAAAATTTCCCTCGAAGGCTACCTACAATTTTCGGATTATCGTGTGAGGGGCGTGCTTACAAGACTCAAGAAAGAAAATCCCTGGCAAAAGTACGTTTGCCTTCGATTTCAAAGTCTTTATTTTGTATTGAATCTCGAAACTTAAAAAAATACTCACTAAATGTGCGATCACTTCACGAATCGAGTCGAACCACTGCTCAGTCAACGCATCGGTTGAGGATCGAAGGATGAGTGGAGGTGCGGTGGAAAGCGCCGAATTACCAGGTGCCGAGTTTAACTAAAATATTTAAAGATTTAAACGAATAAGTAAGCGTGCGTAATCAAAGCAAATTGAAAAGTTACGCCAAAAATTTCAGGTTCTCCATCCAGCAAATCCAACTAAACTTTTTGGTACTTAATCTCAAGTCACGCAAAGTATTTCAGGTTTAAAAACCAAACTTTAGCCGATCTAACAAGTCTAATTTATTAAATTCAATTTGCAACTAACTTGAAATATCCGTCGTTTTCTTCTTTCCTTTTCCACAACCCAGCTCACAGAAGCGCCGCGGAGCTCCATTCCAAAAAGTGGTGCCTCGTAGTGACGGCCTTGTTTCTGTAAAAAACCAGCTCAAATCCCGGTCTTTCTGAAGAAACCTCAGCACTTTTCTCGTCTTTGTACACAAGTAAATGAGCCGTTGACAAAAAGAAATAGCACGGTGACCATTCTCTTTTCTTTGCTTTTTCGGCAACCTAAAACAAATACCCATGAAACTTATAACTTTGACAACCAACCACTCTTTCCATGTATCCTTGCTTGACTGGTTTAGGTACCTCGTTATATAGTAGCATCTCTAAAATTAAATTTTGCAAGAAATCTAGTAAACCAACCATCTCTAAATGAATAGCAAGACGAAGATGGTGCCGGAGCCTATAATTCGTATGAATTACACAAAATTAATAAAAAGCAAACATCGTATTCAGGAACTTCTGAGGCGGAAGGAACTGAGGCACTCATAGCTGATATTGGCAGCTAAAAACGTACTGGTTTTAATAGGACATAGTCAAAAATTATTAAAAAATTCAAAACTCACTTGAGGAACATGAACTTGTTTTAAAGAGCCTCGATTTTTGATTACAAGTGATGGAGGACGATTTGCCGATGTGGGAATGCTTGGTAGAGGTGGCAAGTTGTTGAAGATTTCCTAATAAAATCTTATTTTAAAAAAGATGTTTTGACAAACCTGGTTATTAAAGGGATCGTTTCTGCTGTATTCTGTTGAACTTATGAGCTCGTCGCTTGATGGTATATCTAAAAGCCACAATGAAATGACGATAAAATCTTTTATTACTTTGCGGCTCCAAACTGGTCGCTCTGGAAGTGACAGATTCAACTGCTTCGTTGTCACTATCGGTGCTGGCTACAGAGTCAAAATTTTCTTCTAAAAATATAATTTTACAGCAAATTAGCTAAATTCGAACCATCCAAAGATTTCTGTGAGGGTAGAGCTCCTTCCAAATGCTTTGTCGCATCCAAAAAAGCCTAAAAGCAAAAACTATTAGAAAAAAAACAGAAAGTAAAACCTTGATTTGTGAAGGAGAGCGCATTAGACGAGGTGGAATCCATTGACACCGGCCGGTTTCCGAGTTGAAGAAGTAAGAACTAAAAGAGTTTATAAATCTTGGATTTTATTCTAATCAAAAACTCATATTTTGTATAAAATTATGCCTAAAATTATGCCTCAGTACCAGTAAAACTACTAACCGGCCACTTCGACTAATATATTCTGTCCATCCATGCGGCAAAACTCGTCGCTGTTGATCTCCTTCTGATGGCTTCGGTGATTCAATGAGAGGCGCTGCATTTCCAGTCCCAAATTCTGCCAAGTTTGCATACACGGGCTCATTATCTAAAAATTAATTTTAGCAATTGCCTTTCGTTTAAAACAAACCATCAACGTGTATAGGTGCTGTCATTTTTACTGATGCCACTTCTGGTGATGTTGAACTACCATCTCTAATCTATTAACACCAATATTATGCAACTCAAATGGTTAAGCTTACCGAATTGACTTCGGGCGATGATGAGTCACTTGAAATGGGTCCATCCATGTGGTGTACATCACCCTGCAAAAGTTGAATTGGATAAAAAGCTTTGTTATTTTCTAATTTCGAAAATTGATCTTTTGGCATTAGCTGGGTGTGTTATAACTCAAAAATTTTATTATAGCCAAAACTTTTACCTGTGCTAGATAAACGAGATCAGGATCGGGTTCATACGGTGACGCGTAGACGCTGGTGGAATTCATTCGACGAGTCGCTGTTATAGCATGTCCATAAGAGTACCTGAAATCTGAAAAATGTTATGAAATTTGATAAGGTTTTACAGAAAAAAGGAAATGCTTGCTACTTCAAATAAAGGTTTCTAAAAAAATAAGCAATTCGTCATCGTGAATCGATAACAAAACTGGTAACTTTACAAAACAAAACTTTACCAAAACATTTATTATAAAAAGCTGATGCAGTTAAAACCTATATTTCTCACAAAAACGAATCAATAGCTTTTTGCGCAGAAACGAATCGAAAAAAAGTGTTAACAAAATCATAATGAATCAAGCAATTTTCCATTTAGGGCTGCAGAAAAAAGGGAAGAAGCCAAAAAAATTTCCCCGTGACTCATCTTTTCTTCTTTTTTCTGCGCGCTGAATTTTGTGTGTTATCGAATCTATTCATGTACAAGTCGCCCCCCCCGCTTCTTGCTCATAGTTGATGGGAGAAGGGAGCCGCAACGCGTGCACGTCCCGCATTTTAGCCTCTTTTCCCCATCGTCGCCCCGCCCCGAGTACACACTATCAAACCTATCCTTAACTTTTCAGACTTTATTCACTTTTTTTCATTTTGCAAGCTATCAGTTTTTGTAGTGCCAAAAGAAACCGCTTTCGCGATCCAATGAATTAATTGACGTGACAATTGGTACCATGATTTAAACGTCTAAAGATACTCACTTAATTGACAATATACTTGGCTGAATATCTTTATTTCAAAAAGGCTATATTAATGGCTATGACATTTTCCTTTTTAATTTAAGTTTCCATTCAAAACGGTCTTAAAAACGTTAGAATTTATGCTTTCAAAGGCTCGTTTTTTAAAAGTATCATTTGAGAACCATTTTCGGGAATCCTTAATTTCTCTATGTTCTCTTTCCTAATAATTTTCATTTATTCTTGATTTTTAGAATGGCCGATGAAGAGCACTCTCGATCCGCGGCTTCCGACGAAGACGAAGAATTCGATGTGCCCGATGATGGTTACGATGATGAAGGTATGCTTTAAATTATCGTAAATAATCTGCCTTAACGTCTATAGTTTAAGTCTAGCCTGACTTCTTGTTGCGCATTTATGATTGGTTTATGTTGCATTGATGTATGATTTATGTTGCACATTTATAAACAATTGATGATAAAAAACTTTTAAAAAAATAATTTTGAAATTTAGTAACGTTAGACGAGGAAGAAGCGCTTGGTGAAGGAGCGGCTGGAGCCGATGAATTGGCAGCGCTTGAGGAGGAGGGTGAAATGGATATCGAGGTGCTTTCAAATTTAATGATTTTTGTTCGACTAGAAAAATTTTTATTAATAAGCTCTAGTAATTATTTGAATAAAGTGTCTTTTCCAGGAATTACGACGACGATATGGATATGGGATGCCACCTGAGACAGCGAACGGCACAACGAGTATCGAAGAAGTTGCATGCGTGGAGATTCAAACAGAAGTGGCTTCTACAAGTAAGTCTTGCTTTTTAGTAGGCAAATTTTCTTGCACATAAAAATTAGGGCAAGTGTATGCTTTTAAAAGCTATCCCGGTCCTGTTATTAAAGTGTAGGAAAGGTTTTTAAAATATTCATTTTACTAAATATGTAGGTTCAACTCTCAACTTGCTGAGCTACTACGAACATCACGGAGGAGATGATGAAGAAGACAAAGATTACATTCCATATGACAAGAAAGAGGTTTGACTTTACAAAGAGAAAGAGTGTTTTACACTAAAATGTGTTTAGCCTCGAGTTGATCCAGTGTTATACCAAATAACGGTGCCAGACTTCTGTACATCATCAAACGAGCTGCAAAGGGATTACCCGTGTACGGCGTTGTGGATATCTTCAAATAAACTAGGTTTTTTTTGCTAGAATCTTTTACAACTTGTTGTGAGTTTTTCAGAAGACGCTATGCTGCAACTGATTCAAGAACAGATGAAGGCCAAAAACCCTGAAATTCGACTCGAAAATTGTTCAATGGTACTCGCCTCTAAATGTTTTGTATGTTGCTTTTGTGACTAATGCAATAGTTAAAGTAGTCTAGTTTTAAGGAAAACTAGAATTTAATCAAAGTTAAATGTTAATTTTAGCAATCCGACAACGAAGACTTGCTGTTCACCATTCTACAAGTTGGCTACGATGGAGAAGCTGCACTGAAGGCGAGCTGCGAAAATAAGATTCAACACGCAAATTTACCGATTAACACGGTTAGTTGATCTCTTGTGATATTTTTAAATTTGTATAGGTATTTTTTTAGTATAAGACAATGTGCAATGCATTTTGTTTAGTGGAGTCGCTCATATTCTCCTGATGGTGATTGCGAGCATGATGTCGCTTTCAGTAACGAAGAAAAGCAAATGTTTGATGTCTACTACAAAGAATTCGGCAAAAATTTTCTCCAGATTGCTCAGAAGGTAGAATTTTTCTCAAGTTTTAATCTAATCAAGCTACTGGTTTAGTTTCCCGAGCGAAAAATGGGAGAACTCGTCGAATACTTCTATCGCTACTTTAAACGCTCCGCTAGGTGAATTTTTAATTTTTTCGCTATTGAACGTATTGTTTAGACTGGAGAAATATGTACACAAAGGTTACATTAAAGAGAAGGACTGTATCGACGTTGCTGAAAATGTAAGTTTTATCGATAACTCAAATTGTGTTTAAATCTGAACTAAGCTTATGGTTTAAACTGCAAATTTGCAAATTTTCAGATCCGTCAACAAATCAAAACGGCTGAAAATCGAAAATCAAAAGACATGTCAAGTCTTTGGGAGGGAACACCGACAAAGGATTTGGTCTGAAAATTCCTTCAAAAAGTTTCCACTGTATACCTTTTATATTCAATTTCAATGTTCTGGTGCTTCTACATTCATGATTTTAGCTTTATTTCCCAAATTTTTAATTACTTAGCTTTATGTGTGTTTCTTTTGTTACTTTTGCTGACTTGTACTTTTCCGAAAAAAACGCAACAATTTTTGCGAAAAGTACACGTTTAAAGATCCTCAATTTTTCACACGTCTCTTCAAAAAGTGCGTTTCTCTTTTGATCTTTGGCTCATAACTGCCTCCACTTGACACATTCAGGATTTGTACATACAGTTAGACATTAGAAACATTTTACTTTTCTTTTTTTACGAACCGGTTGAGATAATTTTTTCGATTTCACCCAAAATTTGACACGTCTTGACCAGTATCTCTTTTTATATCTTGGTGTTGTTTTGTCAATAAATTGTTTTGCAAATGTAGGGTACACTTGAAGTATACGATTTTCGTTCGGATTTTGGATAAAGGATTAATTTGAGTCAAACGTTGACACTTACAAATAGAAAATCGATATAGAAACGTGCAGTCATTGGTTGAAATGGATGTGAATTTTGATGACACCCATTTTTACGATTCGATATTGGAAGATTTTGAAGGTAAAGCCAAATTCAACACCCACATCAAAGCATGTTAACGTTTGATCTATTTGGGTCAACAGTTTCGGACCGCTAAAATCCAAGTCATAAACAGATGATGCCTTGCCGTCAAAATCTCGCCAGGGCGAAGAAGAAACGCACGAGGCATCGAAACGACTCGAGGAGATCGTTCGACAAGAAGAAGAGGGACATCAAGACGTGAGAGAAGTCGCTGTTCAAGCAATTCAAGCACTCTTACAGGATCCCTATTTGCCGTCCAATCGACGAAGGATTAATTTGAACCGGAATGTGACATATTTTCAGTAAGTGGAGATTCCCAATAAAAGATATTGATACAAATGAATACTTCCAGAAACACTCAGATCCAGCAATCTTTCTCCCGGACCCCATCACAACAATATTTCTATGTGGAGCCACCAGTTGTAGACGAAAGAAGAAAAGAAATAACGACAAGCTCCATACAGGTTAGACTCAAAAATCGAAAAATATCTAAAAACTTCACAGAAAGCTGATGCCGAAACTGGACCCAAATCACTGAATCGACTTTCTCTCAAAATCGGCTCAAAAGTTTTTCGATACAAGGTAAAGGAGGCAGAATAATTTGTACTTAAATTTCTAGGTTGTAAACATTGCCGACATGCCATCGACAAGCAGTGATTATCAAGTGGATGGACAAGGTTTTTGAATGAGAAAAAAGAAAGAATCACGAGAAAAGCTTTAGATTCATTTGCATGGGAATCAATGAATCAAGTGGAAGTGCAACCGGTTGCCCAACTTGTACCCCCGGTTCGGTTGCGACTCAATCGATCGGTCAAGCAAAGTTATTGGTAAATGCGAAGACTGGAATCAGCATCAAAACAAATTTTAGCTGCTCGGAGTGCTCGGCCACTTTTCTAACGAAAGGCCAACTGATGCGCCACTTGAGCTCGCATTCATTTCACAAGTTAGTAGCGAAAAATTTTACTGTGATCAATTACAACTTTTAACAATCTATGTACAACTTTTAGACCTTTCCGGTGTTGCTATCACAATTGTGCAAAAGCTTTCACGACAATAGATGGCCTGCGCTTACATGAAAAACTGCATCTTGGTACTTTTTAAAAGGTGAAAGCTCAAAAATCACTTTCAGAAGGAAAACAATACGAGTGCGAGCTTTGTCATAAGACTTTCTCTCGACAACATAATCTCATCATGCATTTACGTTTGCACCAAAGTGGGCGGTAAGTGCAAATGAAAAATGACAATGAGAGGAAAAGAGTTTAGCCGACATTTCTGCTCATTTTGCGGGAAATGGTTTCGCTTGTTTGTGTCCATGTACGAGCATCAGGTGAGTGCATTATCTAATATTCCCGTAAATACTGTAATCGTACCCCACCCCCCTCGTACAGTCGCGTAGTCGCAAAAGTTTTTTAGTATTTCATTTTTTTCAAAGCGCTCGTACTTTCAAAAAATGCGTCTTTGGTATCAAAAAATAGCTCTGAATTTCAACTATTTTTTGATACCTAAGTGCGCATTGTAGCATAAAAGAGCGTCGAGAAAAACGCGCTCAAAGCTAGACTACGCAACACTCCGCACCGTCATTATGCGAATGGGGTACTATTACAGTAGGTAGTCGATGTCTTTGATCCTATCTGAAAAAGGATCAGTACCTTTTCTGGAACTCCACACTTCCAGAATCTCTGCTCTTCTCGTCTTCCTGGTGAAGTCCCACCCTCCGAGAAACCACTTCGCTACAAATGTACTTATTGTGAAAAGATGTTTCACCATAAAAGAGACAAGGTTTGATATGGGTAAGATGTTCAAACAACGACTTTTTTAAGCAAATTCATGAACGGGTTCACACAGGAGAACGACCATATTCTTGTGGGTATTGCGGGAGAGGGTTTTCACAATCTCAGGTTTGGGAAATTGCCAAAGTGCAAACTGATAGAGGAATTCTAGGCTTTAACGGTTCACATTCGATTGCACACCGGTGAAAAACCGTATCAGTGTAAAACGTGTGAACTTTCTTTCAGAGATACGTAAGTTTTTTTGAAAAGCTTTTGATTTCATAAAGCATCTATTTCAGATCAGCTTTACGAAAGCATGAGTTCAATCATCATTGTGGCATCAGGTAAACAAATCAAATTAGACTCGCATTCTAGTCATTAATAAAGGATTTAACATCTCCAAATATCTACAGGACAAACAATTTCCATGATGAAACATTTATTCGAAGATTTTCTCGAAAAATCACCTTATGTTCTTTTATCCATGTGTCCCATTTACGATCTATTTGAATCATTTTACCTTGAAGAGACACCGAACAGATTTGCCCACACAATCTGAAAGATCATAGTTTAGAAAAGTTAAAATTTTATCTTACCTGGGTAAAGAAAAGCGGCAAAATGTAGGCCAGTGAAGCTTCTGCCACCGAGAATAATTTGTCATGAAGACAAGCAGTAGTCATCTAAGCAAACAATAAAAATGAATAAATTAAAATAAAACCTGAAAATGAACGGCACCAAAAAGTGCGTGAAGTGCGGCAAAAGCGCCAACGGCGAGTGAGATACGACCGAGTGGAAGAAAAGCACATAAAACGGAGATCGACAGTGAGAATACTCCAACAGCACCTGAAAATAAAACAATTCGAACAGCTCTGCACAGTTTATTAAAAGACTCAGGTTCATTTACCCAAATAGGAATATCGATCAGAGACGAATGGCGTCTTGATGAGTGCGTTGTCAAGGATGAGTCCCAAGAAAAGTGGCTAAAACAAAATACAATGAAGACTCAAATAATAGTCACCTGAAGAAAGAGAATGGCGGGCACCAGTGAGAGCACTTTTGAGCTCAAATGTCCAGTCAAAATCCCCATGATGGCGCAGGCCTAAAATGAGAAATAAAGTTTAATTTAAAAATAGAATACTTTAAAGAGTAGCACACGTCGCTCAATATCATCTATAGCTAAAAGACAGAATTTTAACAAATCAAAAACAAATCTACCAGGCGTTTTCTTGGTCACGATGTAAGCGTGAATAGGGACCACTATGAGCAGCAATGTTTCGATAGTTGGATGGAAAACTAAAAAAACTAGTAATAATGATTGATACAATCAAATACTTGAATCAAGAATTGGCGCCAAAGAGGTAGCTCCGGCCAGCTCTCCACACCCGGCACCAACCAACAGCACCTAAAAAACAAGTAGTAAGCAACAAGTTGGTAAAGATCGTACCGCAATGCCCAAGTACAACTCGACGAGCGTATTCTTCGTGTCGGTGTTCAACTTATCCACCCCATCAGTGATTGCCATTGCTGCTGCAGCCTAAAATTTTCACTTTAGACGAACAAAACCAAAGCATACATAATCTTGTGCATCCTTGAAGGCCGGTTCAGCAATTTCACGTCCACGATTAACAGCCGTTGCAATCCGAGAAAACACTCTTCCACCTTGATCATAATAAGCAATACCTGAAATAAAGAGTTTTAATAACTTTAGTTATAAAGAAAGGCATGAAAATTGTTCCATAAAAAAGCGTAGACACAGCAAAAATATTCTAAAAAGTAAAAATCCAAATCACTCCTCACATCGTCGACGCATCGTCTCGATGGTTGTTTGCATTTGCTCGATCCAATGAGTACCGATTTCCATTTTTGTGGGGTTTCTCGAAAATCTAAATAAAAGATTTAAGCGGTGATTAACTAAGCCTTCCTGTAAGTGATCAAAAATAAATGGTTTTGCAAATAAGAAAATGTAAAAAGTTTTAATAGAACTTTAAAAAATGTACCTGTTAGTCTTTGCGAAGCCGTAAGAAGAAGCCGTGAATCGAAAATGAAATTTTTTCGACGTTAGATTTCAAAGGAGTCAATTTAAAATGCAAATTATTACTTTTGGCGCGAATTTTCAGACAGTATGCAAATCTAGAGCTTCTGAGAGAAGCACGAAAAGACTTCAAAAGATTTTAAAAGTTTCTTCATCGAGTTTTGCTCGGATCTTTATCTTTGGCGTTTTATAATCATCGTCGACATGGATAAGGTAAGGAGTTTAATTTAAACGAATATGCAAGCAATTGTTTTTAGTTAGAATCGTATGTTCTGGGCACCGAAATCACTTACATCATCACTCTGGTCATCACCACCATTCTCTCGTTGATTGCCTTTGCCCTCGCCTACGTCAACTCTTGTATCGCCAGATTCACGGTATAGAATAGCTTTTTAAAATTTACTTTTGATTTTTTAAGGTAGTACGCCCGATGCATCGAGTGAATCAGAAGATGGAACTTTGCGATAAACTCATTGCTTCGAGAAAATTGTCCGACGATATACTTCGTATGGTTTAGTATTTACTTACCTACTTCCTTTATGTACTTACTCGATCAACGGTCTATGCAGCGAAAATTTTCCTTTCTTAAAGGATTGACCATTCTGAACTTTGATATACCTAAGTATTGCGATTTGTTTAAACATCTTTAAAGGAACTAATTTTTTAGAACGCATGGCTGTGGTGGCGAATTTCGACTTTGCTGCCATTGAAAAAGAGAGAAAAAGCACCAGAAGCGGCGAGTCTCGTAAAAGGCCAACATGATTTGTGACCAATATGACGTAAAAGAACAAGGTACTTGTGGAGTATCGGGGGGACCGGGTAAAATTTTAAGATCCGGGGGGGTAAAATTTTAACTTTTTTATACTTTTTTTAAACTTTTTGACCATTCTGCTACTTTTATCAATCTTTTGCGCCTATCGCTTTCAGAGTTTAAAAGAAGAACGAAAATATTGCTCATGATCTGATTAATGGTCTAAAGATCAATAGATTAACGCAAATTCCGTGAAATTTTACATTTACCATAGGCTTTGTAACTAAAAATGAAATTCTTGAGGCAAATGTTTAACCTTTTGTTAAACCCTTAAACTTAAACCTTTAAACTTATATCATTTTGCGTTAATTTTAGCGTTTTAAATAGAATTTCATCAATTTAGTGTGAAAATGTTTGCCGCCAACTAGGATATTATAAACATTTCTAATAATGACATAAAAAATTTTTGTAGAAGTTACGTTTTTGATCGAGTATCACCTCGAATCACGTAATCAAGTAATCACCTCAATAAATTGAATATCTTTACATTTGAAGGGAATTTGCCACCAAATCACTTAAGCGGCCGAATATCTTTAAAAGGGGTCGTATATAAGTACAGTAAACTTAACCTAATGTTTGAACTCTCAGCTAACTCAATTGGCGATAACGTATATGCCGCTTTTGTGACCCCGATGGAAACGATACCGGCCTTGAAGCGATAAACCCATGCTTTTCCGACCATTAGTATACAGGTTAATCACGATGCACATCCGCGCGAAAGTGCGTTTTCTGATGAAAATTGATGTTATACCTACCATTCGATGGGAAAAAGTGTAATAAAACCGAATCTCGATATCATTTTTAAATTCCATCGACAGTTTTTTAGAAAATGGGCTTTTTCAAAAAACGCAAAAAAGCCAAAACTAAAGTTCGTAAAACGGCCATAAAATCTTTCACCTTTGACCAGTTTGCTTACTTTTTAAATATTCTAAAAATAGACACTTCCAGCTTTTTTTATTATTGTAAGTTATAAGCAATTTGTTAGAATTACTCAAATTTTAGAAAGGGAAAGGTATGAAAATCTCAAAATCAAGACCAAGGTTTGAAGGCTTCGACTTTGAGAAAAGTCCACTATAAAAAAAATTCTGTCTAATAATTTTTATTTCACGATCCTTTCTAAGCATTTTAGTTCAAAAAGTAACTAAAAATAATCATTCTGCGCAAAGTTATAGCTTTTTTTCTTGTCCTACTCAGAAATAGGGCCCTGTTTTCCCAAACACGCTTTAATTACCGTACCCCTGGATGCCCTCAGTGTCAAATATATGCTCGTTTTGAACTTTTTTTAAATTTTTTTTCGCATATTTTCTATTATTTTTTCAACATATTGTCTTCTACAAAAACGACTACACAAAGTTAAGTTTTTTTAATCGATTTGTGAACGGATTGCTTTGTTGTAAAGTAAAGTAAAGAATTCTGCTAGAGTCCTTTTTGGATAAGTGCGTCTGTCGATAACATCAAGTTCACCTTCAATTTTTCTGGTTTTGTTTGCTCGATATTTGCACCAAATACATGGAAATTTAGAAGCATTTGAGAGACCAAACGACGAAGCAAGAAAAGATCGCCGCCGAGAAAGAAGGTGCACTTTAGAGAAGATAGCAATTGAAAAATATCCTTCACTTTTTGCAAGCTTTCGTTGTTATCACTACCTTCCTAAACGGCCAAAATCAGTTGATTGAAACAAGATTGGGGATTGTTTGCTCTATCTGGTAACATAAGAGTTATCTTTGTTGTCTCAAAGCCTTTATCTCCCAGAATCACGACTCTCTTCTTTTCATGTTCGGGTACTTGATCAAGTCTATAACGCACAGATTCGAGCAAATTCTTTAGTCTGACAATTCCGTTATCGATGAAGTATTCCATATGCGTCCCAAGAGCGTTCTTAATTTTTTGCATCTGATATTCGGTGGACAGAGTCTTCGTTGAGCTGATGTAAAGTCTGTGGGCATCACGAGAGATTTTTGATTTCGATAAAAGTGCAAGTGATTGGAGTGGAGACAATATGTGGTCTCGTTTGTTTGTCGAATCAAAAAATTTGCGATACTTCTTTCGAATCGTCCTTGCTTTACGACAAGCAATCGTTACATTTTGCTTTCTCTGGCGATGTTTTGCAATTCTTTTACGCGACAACTTTTTCATCTCTTGCTTAGCATTTTTCTCTGGCTCACTTTGATATTATTTGGCAAATCCGTTCTCTTCTTCCATCGCAAAACAGCAGCTTTTTGTGTTCTTTTCTTTGCCGCCATACCTAAAAGGAGCATTTGATCAGAAGTTAGTTATAAGGTTTGACAAAAACAAACAAAGTTTGACTTCTTATTTCAAAAACGAGCATATCATAAAACGAGACGTTGAGGGTATCCAGGGGTACGGTAATTGAAGCGTGTTTGGGAAAACAGGGCCCTATTTCTGATTAGGACAAGAAAAAAAGCTATAACTTTGCGCAGAATGATTATTTTTAGTTACTTTTTGAACTAAAATGGTTAGAAAGGTTCGTGAAATAAAAATTATTAGACAGAATTTTTTTGTTAATGAACTTTTATTGAGAACCAGACCTCCAAACTTTATCCTTGTTTTTGGAAAATAGGCGAACTTTCTACTTCAGAAACTCTGGGTTTATAAACTAATTTGTTAGATTTTAAAATCTAAAAAGATTTTTTAAATGTCTTCTTTTAAATAAAAACCAAAGAAGGTCTGATTGCCCAATAGAATTTTTTTTCCATGAACTTAAAAATAACAATTTTTGACTTTTTGAACTTTTCAAAAAAAGCTGATTTTTAAAAAATTTGTCGAACGGATTTCAAAATCGTTATCATTTTTGGAATCAGCACAAAATTCTGCGTCGAATGGTATATATTAGAAGAAATTTCATCAGAAAACACATTTTAACATTGTTTCGCGCGGATGTGCGATGTCACTTCCAACCGTAATCTCAGCTGTGATATTTCAAAAACTATATTTGCAAAAGTTATAAGACTAGTACAAATTCACAACAACAAAAACACAGATATTTACAAAGCTAAAACGAACAAAAATACAAATAAAAGTGAAGCCCTGGGCCATCATGTCAGAACAAAGCTATAAACAAAAATCACAAAAGAAATCTCAAATGGTTTTCCATGTTGACAAATTAGAAATAGCGATGATGACGTGAGCGAGAACCATGGTGTCCAGAAAATCCGTTGCGAGCAACTTCGTGATGAGATGGACGAGCCAATTGCTAAAACATACATTTCATGTTTATTTCCTAAAGCTTTTACTAACATTGTTCGAGCATTTGCTGCAACGATAGTTTCCTTCGCAGAACGTCGTGGCCAATCAATAACCAACTTGCCAAAGTGACGAAATGTATTGTAAATGTCCGCTTAACATCAAGATTTTAAGTTATTTACAAAAACCCAACCTTCTTGAACATCAATAGGCAATCCTCCAATAAAAACTTTGCGAGCGAATACTTCGTTATGTGAGCTCTGCTTTTGTGGGCCAAACGAGTTGTCAGCGCCACCAAGAAGAGCATAGTAGTCGTTGAAAATATCTAAACGTTGTGCATTTTAATTACTGATATACGGGACCCACGATTAACGGTCGGAGCCACAGTCTCTTTGAGTTGTCCTTGATTCGAGATAAAAGCGTTGAAGCAATATTGGCTTTTAAGCGTTGGGCTCATTGGAAGTCCATCATGTTCTGACACAAAAGTTGGCGACCCAGGCCAGCACTTCTTCAAAGCGTGAATCTCCTAAAATCCAGAAATTACCAAAAAGAAAACAGCTTTACCTTGTTAGGACTGCTCTTATTGGACGTGGTTACATAGCCATCATCATAAAGTTGAGGAATGGTATAACCTCCATCAGGCGATCGCTCCACCAAAGACGGCATCCCGTATTTACGAGTGTTGATCAACTAAAATTACCAATAAAAATCAAAACGTACAATCTATTAAATAGTATCCAAGAGTTCTGTGTCTTATAGTTAACAACTAAAGCTAGAAAGCGGCATGAAAATCTGCTTTTTTTCGGCTAAGCCTCATTTAAAAAGTAACAGAAAACCAAGCATCACCCAAGAAGGAGATTCATGTTGCTTGTAGATTCCATCGTGACACGATCCGACCTTCTGCTTGGCGACTTCCATCTGTTGCTCCATCCAATCTCACAGCACAGCCAATGGCAGTTTGTCGAACTCTAAACAAAAAGATGAAGTCAATCAAATTGGAAGATGGAGTAGTTGCTTCTTGTTGAAAAAGTACGACACCAGAGCCCGTATGCTACGCTCCGGGAAAAGTTCCCGCGCCGTCTCTGATCTTTACGGCGGCATCTTTGATCTTTCCGACAAAACGTCCATAGTTTCCCGCGGAGCGGACTTTTCCTCGGAAAGTTTTACCGGAAACATTCTAGAAGAAAGTTACATTCCGCGGGAAAACTATGGACTTTTTACCGGAAAGACCAAAGATGCCGCCGTAAAGATCAGAGACGCTGCGGGAATTTTTCCCGGAGCGTAGCATACGGGGCTCTGGTGTCGTATGAGTGTTTGTTTGAGAGTAAACTTAGACTACGTGACGCTCCTATAAGGGGGGGCTTTTATTAGAGTATTTACGGTATATCGGTAAAGATCAGAGACGTCGCGGGAACTTTTCCCGGAGCGTAGCATAGGGGCTCAGTACGTTTGTTTCTGCGCCCCTATTTTTAGCATTAACCAGCGCTTAGGACAAAATGATGAAATGAAAATTGGCTTTTTTTGGCACCTAACCCACATAACCTATTCTGCGCTCTATGTGACTGAAGAAATTGAAATTGAAAAGCACAGCGAAAGGATGCGAGAGGAAGTAGGAGGCTCACGAGAAAAATGAAAAAAATGAAATTTTGGTCAAATTGGAGAAAAATGAGACAGAATCGAGTGCAAAATAGAAATGGACGAGGGCACAAAATAGAATTTAACCTTTGGCAGCCAAGTGAAAACAGCCATGTTCTGGGGATCCATTTAACTACCGTAAAAGCTGTAATAGTAGCCCCCCCCCCTATAGGAGCGTCGTGTAGCCTAAGTTTACACTCAAAGAACCGCTCATATCTCGGCGCCCAGACATTTGTTTCAGCGCGCTTAGGTATCAAATTAAAGTAGAGAGGGTGGGTGATTTTTTGAGATATAACACATATCTTTAGCATTAACCAGCGCTTAGAACAAAATGATTGAAAAATTATAAAAAATCGGCCGATTTTTACCACTTTTCAATCATTTTTCTCTAAGCGCTGGTTAATGCTAAAGATATGTGTTATATCTCAAAAATCACCCATTTTCTCTACTTTAATTTGATACCCAAGCGCGCATGAAAAATTCTTCAAAAAGCCTTTTTAAATTTACACCTTTTGTTTTTAGTAACAGTTCAAAATGTTATTTTAAAAAGAATAAAATCTCTTGGTAAAAATAAAAACTTAAACTAGTCTTCGAAAAAATGCGAAACTGTGTGTTGTCTTATGCCTTAAATGCAGTGCAAGACTTCTTAAAAAGGTTGGAAATTTTTGATCCGAGTGATTACATACCGTAAATACTGTAATTGGACCCCTCGTACAGTCGCGTAGTCGCAAAAGTTTTTTAGTATTTCATTTTTTTCAAAGCGCGCGTACTTTCAAAAAATGCGTCTTTGATATCAAAAAATAGCTGAAATTCAGGGCTATTTTTTGATACCTAAGCGTGCTTTGTAGCATAAACCAGTGTCGAGAAAAACTCGTTCAAAGCCAGACTACGCAACACTCCGTACCGTCATTAGGGGGTGGGGTACTATTAAAGTATTTACGGTACAAATGTTCATCAGAATTTTAGCTTCAAAATACATGGGAAATTTTGTTTTAGCTTTCATTGAGAAAATGAATCATTTAAAATGTGCGAGAACTTCTTGATCACCCAGTAAATATGTTAACAAGAAAGACTAATGATTGGGAAAGTTCCCTAGCTAAAGTCATAGCTTTTGTTTACTTTATGTTAGTGTCGGATAATGGTGGAGTTTGAACATCGGTTTTTTTTTCTAGCAGATCTGGCACATACATTAGAAAGTTAGCTGTGTTCAGGTTAGCATTTTTCTAACTTCAGATTCAGCATCTACGCTGAATCTGGAGCTGAACTCTGTGTACAAATTTGCAGCTCGAAAAATCAATTCCCTGATTTTTCAAGAAAGCCAATAATAGACAATAAACTCGACAAAAACCATTTCAGAAGTCAAAAAATCCTTTTCTGATATGCAAAACTTTGTTATTATGTTTTTTATGTTCATAGCAAACCCAAAAGAGCAACTTTTTTTGAATTGGCTTAAAGCCTGATTGTTGGACCTTTCTTTATCCCTCAAGACAATAAAAAAATGTATCAGGACAAAATTTCTTTTGTTGATTTCGTTGAATCGGCAAAATGTGAAAATTTGATGGGGAGAGAGAAAAGAATTTCATCCCATTTTCTTTTTTTCCAAAATTTTCCCCTCGAGGCGTTTGAAAAGAAAAAAAAAGAGACAATTGTTGTTTCTTTCTCTTTTTGTCTTTTTTTTTGCAGAGATTTCCTCTTTATGGAATTGCTTTTTGAGCGCTTAAAACACAGTGATATTTGGGAAGAGTTCACACCTTTTCAGATCCACAAATTTGCGAGAATTGATGAAAAATTTGAATGAACAATATACACAGATACAATTACCGTACTACTTGATTGATAACATAATATCATAACATTGTCTACTATACAATTGAAAATGAATGAATAATCAATTAATGACAACACTTCCGACAAATTTCACATTGTATCTGCCGGTTAAGCGTTGGATGAAATCATTTTTTGACGATGTTCAATGTAAAATGAGTCGCTTTTAGATTCATCACCGTCACCGTCAATTGATGGTGGTACACCGTGTAGATCAAAGCTGAAGTTTGTGATCAGAGCTAATAGTTGTCGTGTACTTTGTGCTTGAACACGTAAACGTATCTCTTCTGGGAACACGTAAACGCATCTCTTCTCAAGCGATTGGGTAATAGAAATGGAAAATTGAGTATACTAGAAAAGAGGTGTTTCTACAAGCACAAAGTCCACGTCGAACTCGAGATTTTTGTGTAAAGGAATTAATGAATTTAATGTGCGAGAAAGGATTTGTTTTGTTTTTGTTTCGAGCACAAAGTACGCTTGAAAGTGTTTTGCGGGTTCTGTCTGTCCGTCTGTCTGTCCGTCTGTCTGTCTGTCTGTCTGTCTGTCTGTCTGTCTGTCTGTCCGTCTGTCTGTCCGTCTGTCCGTCTGTCTGTCCGTCTGTCTGTCTGTCTGTCTGTCTGTCTGTCTGTCTGTCTGTCTGTCCGTCTGTCTGTCCGTCTGTCCGTCTGTCTGTCCGTCTGTCTGTCCGTCTGTCTGTCCGTCTGTCTGTCCGTCTGTCTGTCCGTCTGTCTGTCCGTCTGTCTGTCCGTCTGTCTGTCCGTCTGTCTGTCCGTCTGTCTGTCCGTCTGTCTGTCCGTCTGTCTGTCTGTGCGCGCTACTCCTCAGCCCCTAGAGGACCGTTTGCAATTTTTTGCGCCGTTGAATAGGGAATTACATGTAGTTGTACAACGTGCTTTTGGATTTTTTTAAAAAGCACAATTCGAGTCGCACAGAGAGGTCGAACCTGGACCGTATGGGCGATAGGCCGGCGCGCTATCCACTGCTCCACGGGAACAAAAATCGTCCAGAAAAACTCGCCGTTAGGCGAGCCTCTCGGCTGGTCTACAATATATAAAGAGACGTCTGTCAGTGTGCACTACTCATCCGTGCCCAGTGGGTTGCTTAAAATAATTTATAGTTTGTTTGTCTTAGAATTTTATGTAGTTGCGCAGCTTCTTTTTAAATTTTTAAAAAACCAACAGTGCTGACACGGGCGGGAGTCGAACTCGGGTTGTGTGGGTTAGAGACAATCTCGCACTGCGCCATCTAAAAGAGCATGGCTGAGTGGTAAACGCGCGCGCCTTTCAAACGAACCTAAGAGAGAGGTCGCGGGTTCGCCTCCCGTCGCCGCCAATTCTTTTGCTTTTTGTTTCAATTTTTTTTTTGCTGCGAAGCTTCTGGTAATACTAAACATTATCATAATACTTTATTGAACGTCTATTGTTTTATATTGTAAAAACTGGACTCTCCTTGTTTGTTCTCTGTCGATTTGTGTCTCTTGTTAGATTTCTGTTAGAAAAAACTTCATGTTCAAAGTCGTCGATGCTCTAGCTTTATCCTTTATCCCTCAAGACAATAAAAAATGTATCAGGACACAATTTGTAGAAAAAAAAAGCTACGACTCTAGCTAAAGAATTTTCTCCAATTCTCCAATCATCCTCTTTATGGAAGTCTCCAAAAATCTCACTATCGTTTCTCCGTTTTCTTCGATCACATGATTTAATCAAAATCCAGACTAGAGACGCGCAAACTTTTCGATCCTTTTCCTTTTTTGGGGAAATTCGATCTGGATGAACATTCTTTGTGAAATCATCATCACATAGCCAATGGGAAAATTCCGCAGGATTTTGTAAGCTTTTAAAGCCTCTCTGATTACCGTATTGCCTCTCTGATTACCGTAATGCCTCTCCGATTGAGCTTTTTTGCTCCTCAGAAAAATCTACCGTAATCCCAGCTACCGTAATCCCAGCTACCGTAATCCCAGCTACTGTAATCCCAGCTACTGTAATCCCAGCTACTGTAATCCCAGCTACTGTAATCCCAGCTACTGTAATCCCAGCTACCGTAACCCCAGCTACCGTAACCCCAGCTACCGTAATCTCAGCTACCGTAATACCGTAATTTTTAGGCAAAACAGATACCAAATGCCTTCTCCTAGCAATTGATTGTAGATAAAAGTTCATTGGTTCAACGATGAAATGAGTACAGTAGAATACGGTAGCTTCTAACGTAAGAACACCTTTCGAAAAAACTTTATCCAACGCAGATTTCAGTTAAACTGTAAAATTCTTAAAAAAACTAATTGCACAAAGGATTTTCCGAACAAAGATTTTCCCATTTTCTCAGTTTCTCATCAAAAATCTCGAAAATCAGCTCGCAACAATAAGAAAAAAACTCCGGAGTTCCCCGGGAAAAGAGAAATTTTCAATAGAATTTGTTTGTTTTCTCAATGGAAAACGAAACAAAAACAAAAATCTCTCTCAATTTCTTTTTCTTTCTGTTTTTTCTGTTCTTTCTGTTCTTTCTTTTCTTTCTGTTCTTTCTTCTCTTTCTTTTCTTTCTTTTGCTTTATTTTTGTAGGCGGAGAAATACTCCCATTTTTCCTCTCCTCCAGGCATTTCTCTCAATCAACACACACAAAAAAAATGATTCATAAATAAATATTCGACTCAACCAAAGCCATTCACTCAATTCTTGTTATAAGTATTACTTTCTAGCAAAGAAAAGTTAAGATTTTAAATTGAAATATTCAAGTAATGAATTTTGAGGGTATTGGCCATTCTATTGATTCTCAAAGCGCACAAAAAAACAACCACTTTCATCATTTTTTTAAAATTTATTTTCTCTCTATCAGCTTTAGTCTTTAAAAATGTTTTCAGTGATGGTTCAATTGATATCTTCTACAATAATCTTTCTAACAGTCTTTCTAACAATCTTTATTCAAAATGTTTTCTCTGAAAAACCCTGTCAACAAATGACAACATGTGCTGTGGAGAAATGTCTCGATTATGGTAAACTTAAACAAAAGTCTAGCTGCATATCTATAAAGTAAATCTTTAGGTAAACTAAAAAATGATCTCTCTGCAACAGCTCGCGAGGATTTCTTTGAATCGGTGGTTCTCAAATTCGACATGTTATGCATCGCTGTCAAATGCACAAGGCAGTGCAAGGTTTGGAAAAGAGTAAAAATATTAAAAAAAAATATATTCAGGCTTGCAAAGTTTGCCACTACGCGCTTCAACAAATCCAATCGCTTGTAAAAGGAAGAGATTCGGGTGGGTTTGAACATTCACACTTTCTGCTATATAAAACTTTTAAAGATCAATGAATTAACTACCGTAAATACTGTAATAGTACCCCACCCGCATAATGACGGTGCGGAGTGTTGCGTAGTCTAGCTTTGAACGAGTTTTTCTCGACACTGGTTTATGCTACAATGCGCGCTTAGGTATCAAAAAATAACTGAAATTCAGGGCTATTTTTGTGATAACAAAGCCGCATTTTTTGAAAGTACAGGTGCTTTGCAAAAATTGAAATACTAAAAAACTTTTGCGACTACCCGACTGTACGTTTACGACTACGCGAATGTACCGTAAGAGAATGTTCGTAAGAGAATTCTATTACACTATTACAGTATTTACGGTAGTTATATCTAAACAAAGTAACTTTTTCAAAGTTATCTTTTTTAGAAAAATCGATGTGCCCTCGTCTTGAGGGATGTGTTGAGAATTGTGTGAGAAGCGAACCGGGAAAAGTAAACTTGAAATTTTTCGCATTTCTTTCAATCCATTCCAGGCAGTACAATGTGTCGCCGCTCGTTGCAATATTCATTGTTATGATGGAGATTGTCCATCGTGTAGACAACTTTCGAAGAGAATGTTCTCAAGGGTGTGCAAGGTAAAAAGAAGTGAAGGAATTGGCAAAGGGAATTGAACTCTCGACCTTTCGTTTTCGCTTTCGCTTTCCGGGCGATTACTCTAACCACTGAGCTATTTGGTACTTTAACTTGCCAAGAGGAAAAAAGGAAAGAAGAAAGAAAGAAAGAGAAGGAAATACCCGGGTCTTCAGAACCGTGAGCTTCTGCTCTACTTGAAAATCAGAAGGTGTTAGTGAAGTAATAAGCAATAAAGTAATAAAGAAGTAATAAAGAAGTGAAGGAATTGAATCAAGAAAGAATGATTATATTATTATTAAAAATCTAAAGTTTAAACTAGTTTTGGTCGGTACTTGGCTAGGCCGAAATCGGGACATTGTACTTTGTCATTTTCTGGCATACTTGTCGATTTTTCGAAAGACATTCTTCTCATTGTAGCGTCAAGAAATCAAGTATGACAGAAAGCGTACAAGAATGACATGAGAAGGGCACAAACGCAAGTCTCCTAGTGCACATAGGGTTGTCCAGACAGTAAGTCAACCGGTGAAAAGCCAGGTCCAGGTTTGCTGATCTACTGATTCAAGTTTAGCTCGCCAGAAACCCATAGCCTAAATACCATTACATTAAATTTCGTTGAAACGTTGAAACCATTTCGTTGAAACGGATGCTGCTATGCCACGGATGCTGCTGAGTGGTTAGGAATCTTGTATCCTAGTCGGGAGGTCACGGGTTCGATCGTAATGGCTAGAAAATTTGGGTCTGGCTCTCATATGGGTTTTGTTTCTCTGCAACAAAGGGTATTAGGGCAGTTGAGTTATATATGTCGTAGCCGATTATGAATTTCAGCCGATTATAAATGAGCGGGCCCAGGAGCGTCCAACCATCAATTATTTGGTATCATTCGACGCAGAATCATTAGTAATTATGTTAAATTTTTAAAATTAGAAAGATTGGATAAAAAGAAAAAAAATTATGAGGCCTCAAAGTTTCCTCTTAAACAAGTTTCCTCTTACACCTCTTTTTTTTTGCTCTAATTTTTTTTCTTTTTATCAAATCTTTCTAATTTACAAAATTTAACATAATTATTAATGATTCTGCGTTGAATGATACCAAATACTTGATGGTTGGACGCTCCTAGACCCACTCATTCATAATCGGCTACGGGGGTCCCGCCGATTTTGAATGAAACGTTATAGCACCGGTAATTTTTAACCTAAACTCACAAATTTGGTACCAATCGACGCAGAATTTAATTCGCTACAGGATGATATAATATTGTCCTCATACATTAAAGGGTTTCTCTACTAGATTTACCAAAAAAGATTTACCAAAAAATTTCGTTCATAATCGGTTACGACATATATTTGTTTATGTCATATTATTCATCTTAAGTAAATCTATCAATCTATCTATTCATTCATCTATCAAGCTTTACTTTATTTCTCGATCTCCAATTCCAGGATCTTTCCCTCACCCGTTTCCCTCAAGTCTCATATCAAGGTGAATGTCCGGATCTCTTTCAAACAATGGCTGATGATTTTGTGATGAAAAAGAAGAAACGGGTTTAGGAATTGAATTTCAGAATTGCTTTGTTTGTACATATTTTGTGAAATTATCTGTACTAAAATGTTCTTTTTCACCAAATCAAACGGGTATGGCTCGTCGGTTTTTAAATAAATGGTGAACAAAGATAAAGACAAGACAAAGAAACAACAATCACAAGAATGACTGTACTTTGAAGAGAGCAAACTGTGGTAGCTTTTAGAAATATGGTAGCTTAAAATACTTTCCGAACTATCCACTCTTTAGAAAACGTATGACTGGAAATAAAAAAAAAAACGGGAAACGGGCTTTTATCATGAAAATTTGAGTATTCAATTAAGGAAAAACATTTCACAAACGTCAAAAACGGTGAAAAGTGATCAAAAATTTTGCGAAAAGAAGCTTATTTCATAATTCGAAGCCCTCAAAAAGAAAAGAAAATGTCTGAATTTTTTAGAAGAAAAGAATTTTTCTAATTCTCCAAATTTTGAAAGAACAAAATTTCCACGAAAGTAAAATTAATTAGATTCACTTGATTATAAAGTTTTCAATCTGAATCACTCAAAAGATCGATCAATTCTCATTTTTTTTTGCCTAAAAAACACGTTTCGATAAGCTCTTTTTCACAAAAAAAAAACAGAAAAAAAATCATTTTCTTTTTTGGTCTTATCTAACGTTTACCGGATTTTCTCTAATAGTAGTGCACTCCGGCGAGCCGAGTTGATGCTTATTTTACGGGTTCTTAGCTTACCTAAAAAGATTTTAAGAAAGATATCTTTAGCACCACACTGAGTCGAGTTGATGCCTATTTTACGCTTTCAAAGTTTTCACAGAAGCTCAACACTCAAATCCCCCCACAAGATCTCATCGTCAGCTACATTTTCCGATTCCACATCGAGAGGTTTTTGATAAGCGGTTCTCGAGATCTTGAGGAATTTAGGCAACGCTCAGGGTGCACTACTATTAGAGAGAATACGGTAACTGAAAACTGAAAACTAACCCAATTTCTTTCAAATTCAACTTATTATTTGTTTGAGTGTTTTGTCGAAGCTTTTTTTTTCAAATATAAAAACAAAATCCTTACGTCGAAATCCTTTAGGGTACACCTTTTTTTTCAATCGATTATTATCGATGCTGATCACGTGGGGTTTGGTCCAGGACTTCCTTGAGGAAAGCCGCTCCTGTTGGTGAGTGAAATATATCAAGATACCGTATTTTCTCTACTTGTAGTGCACCATGAGCGTCGCCTAGATTGCTCGAAACCTCGAGAACCGCTTATCAGAACCTATCGATGTGGGATCGGAAAATGTAGCTGACGATGAGATCTTGTGGGGGATTTGAGTGTTGAGCTTCTGCAAAAGCTTGGAAACCGTAAAATAGTGATCAACTCGGCTCGCTGGGGTGTACTACTATTAGAGAAAATACGGTATTCATCATTTTTCAGCGCGATTTCAAAATATCCCAAATAAAAACAGAAATCAAATCAACTTTTGAAGATTACCGTAAACTTGCCTAGTTTTAAGTCAATCTTTTCTCGATTTGAATTCGATTTTGTACAGGTTCACGAAAAGTTGATAGATCGCTCGCTAGGATTCAAAAAAAAGTATCGCTCGCGAAATCGCTCGCTTTCTGGCAAACACGCCTGGCATAAAGTGCTTTCTTTTTGGTTTCTTTTCTTTCCGAGATTGAGTTGAGCGTCTTGTTTCTCGATTCTCCTAGGACTCCGTGGTCCGACCAGTTTCCATTTTAGATTACAAATCACCAAATTCGATTAGGCATACACAAATTTTAAGCTCATTACATTTGAGTGTATTTTATAATAAAGTCTTGTATGTATTTCTCTTAGTACAATTATTTTTAAAAGTTTATTTGACAAAAAGAAACTGAAAAAAATAGCATCACAAAAGAAATAGAATGGGGAAAAGTTAGAAAAAGGGTATTGCAGGCTAAAGAAACGCCTTTAGTACCAAAATACTTTTTTAAGAAGCACCTAAATTTTCTGGTATGCTGGTTACAATAGGATTGGGGGGAAGAAAAGAATAGAATAGAATAGAACCTGGATTTTCTGATATTCAGAGAGAGAGAGAGAAAATGGGATCGAGAGAAAGCGAAAGAGCGAAATGAGCAAAAAGGACTGATATTTGATGGGGATGAGTGGGATTACGGTAAAACGGGGGCAATTTATAGGAAAGGAAACGAAAAAGATACCCGTGATTTTGGGGAAGAGAGGAGAGGAGAGAAGGGAAGGGAAGAGAAGGGATGAGATGAGAAGAGAGGAGAAGAGGAGAGAAGGGAAGAGAATGGAAGAGAAGGAAAGAGAAGGGAAGAGGAGAGGAGAGAAGGGAAGGGAAGAGAAGGGAAAGGAGAAGAGAACAATTTGGAGAATACAGAGAATTATTCTTTTTATAAGAATACATATAAAGTGAGAGTTGAAAGAAATTTGCATATGAAAATGAAACCCGTTTAGCGACAAAATGGCTATTTGCATATCAAACAATTTGTAAACAAAGTTGTAAACAAATTTTGTAAATAAATTTGCATTTAAGAAAAAGCTGATTGATCGTAGCTGGAAAGGTACTCGACGACAGCCTAAAATCGAGAAAATTTCAGTAAATCAAACGGTTTTTTTCGCAGATTTTCTGTAGTTTTATTCTTTACCATTCAGATTACTGTAGTTTCAGTCTGTAATTTGTAATTAAAGTAGTCTAGCTTACAGTACTTTGTGTGCTTGCAGCTTGCAGGTAAACACACCCTTTCTAACGCACAAAATGCCCCATTTTTCTCACAGCTTTTGCGAGAAAAGGAAAAATGAAGTGCACTAGATAGGTGTTTAGCCATTTTTGAGCACAAAATACAATAGATAAAGCTTAGCCTAGATATTAGATAATTAGGTCAAGCTCTTCAATTCGATCAAGCTCTTCTATTAGAGAAAGCTCTTCAATTAGATAAAACTCTTCAATTAGATAAAGTTCTTCAATTAGATCAAGCTCTTCAATTAGATTTGCTCTTCAATTATTGGGTTGGGGACTATGCCTCGGCGCCGAAAATCAAAAAAATGTCTAAAACTTCTATTCGACTTTGTCAAATAATATGCGTTTGATATGAGTAGAATGGTTAACTAATTCTCTACAAAATGACATTTAAAAGAAAATTCAAACAGCGCCTCCGCTCAAGAAAAAGCCATTTTTTCACAAAAACTACAAACTGTCATCTAGAAAAAACCATTGGTGGGATCTTCCTGCAAATTTGGCAACTTAAGTAATTGAATGTGCTCTATCTTTTTTATATAAACACCAAAGAAGGTTTATGTGAAAGAAACTGTTCAAATGATGAGTCGGACTCTTTGCCATTTTGACTAGCTGTGTTTGGGAGTTCATAAACTCCACGAAAGAAAAGCTTTGTGGAATCTCTCAAAAGGCATTTTGTAGAGAAATAGTGGATCCTTTTGATGAAACCAAACGTATATTTAAAGAAGGCTTTATGTGTGCAAAAAGTCCCTTTAAAGTTTGGCGCCGAGTCATTCTCCCCAACCCAATAGATAAAGCTCTAATTGAATTCGAAATTTCACTTGAATTCTTTGATATCAAACCTGATACAAGAAATGATAGTGCTCCTTGTCGCCAACCATATTCGAGCGTTCGGTTCTCAAAAGTTTCACCTGAAAGCAAACTTTATTGTTTAAACGTTTCGGCTAGATAAATTCTTTAATGTTTGACTTTCTTATCTCTTCTTGGGCAAAGATTGCTCGGAGCATCTGCCCGGTGAGCAGAAGGTCGAGGGTTCAATTCCCCCCCTCGTTTCCTTCTTTGTCATTCATTTCTTGACTTTATTACCGTAGTGAAAACATCAACGACATGCTCTTCGTGAATTCGATCGATCAACAAAGCGAGAGAGATGAAAACTCCCGACCGAATTGCCCCTCCACCACAGTGAACAACAACTGGACCCACCACACCGAATTGCGCTTTCGTTCGGTGAACCTAGAGTTTGGAAATTAGTTATAGTTAAGGCTTAGGCTTAGGGTTAAGGTTAAAGTATTACTGTACTGTATAAATACTGTATAAATAAACCTTTTCTTTAGTTCTCTTTGTAATAGCTTTATACTTTTGACTACGTAATGAGTACTGTTGACGTAATGAGTACTGTTGACGTAATGAGTACTGTTGACGTAATGAGTACGGTTGACGTAATCAGGTACTGTTGACGTAATGAGTACTGTTGACGTAATGAGTACGGTTGACGTAATCAGGACTGTTGACGTAATGGGTACTGTCGACGTAATGAGTACTTGTCAGACAGCTTTGTTTACTTCTATTTATTTCTTCTACTCTATGTTTACTTCTATTTATTAGTTTACTATAAAATATTATAAATTATATTGTAGAGTATTGTATTTCACCTGTTGAATGAAATCCAAAAAAGTGTCGGCAGTCCTCGGCACTCCTTGTTCAGGCCATTCCATGTACTGGAAGTGGCGAACCGTCCGGGAAACCGTTGACTGGAAAAAGAGCTTTTTAAAAACTTATATTATATTATACTAAAGATCTTTTCTCTTTATTTACCTGTGGATCCGAGATGCGGAACTCGCGCAAGATGTACTGTGGCATGTTGTACTCGGCTACTGGCTCGACGATCACTCCGCCGATTTGGACTCCTTGATCCTGGGGCCAGTACTCGAAAGACCATTCCTGAATAAGTAGAAATAGTATCATAAAGACATAAAGCTCTACGCGGCAATGGGACACGTGTCGGTGTAGCTCATTGGCAAAGCGTTCGCCTGGTAAGCGAGAGGTCGCGGGTTCGAATCATGGCGCCGGCCAATTTTTATATTCCTAGTCTCAACCCCCATAAAAGAACCGTCCCGTCCAACTATAGTAGTTCTGCTACACTAGGACCGTAATGTTTACAGGGTTACGGTAGCTTTGCTCTGTGCTTTTTAGAACTGACAAGGGTCGACTGGATAGGCCAAATGACATAAACTATAGATGATTTGACGCAGAATTTCACGCTGATTCCGAATCTGCTTTCCGTTTTTGCTAAACGACACTCTATCAAAAGTTATACGAGTTTAAAGTTTTGTTTTTTTGTTTTTTTTTTAAAACTCGTGGTTGATGATCTTAAAATCAGACTTCTTCAGTCGCGTAAGAGGTGTAGGGGTGGCCGAGTGGTAGTAGGTTAGAATACAAGGTGAGATCTGCGTGGTTCGAACCCGTCAGCTCATTTTTTTTAGCCATTTTTAGATTTAACTGACTTATGTGTTTTTCGATTTAAGCCCGCTACTTTTAACGAATTTTTGAGTCTTTTACTTGCCACTGAATTTCCTAGAACTGCAGTAGACAGTTACGGTAGTTACAGTTACAGTAGACAGTAATAAACTGACTCGATTGCACTCAATAGTCTTGCACAACATGACAATGATCGCCGCTTCACTCTCCCAAATCATCCGCCAGAAATCCTCGACTGTCGCCTGGATTGGCCCTTGTGTGCCGATGTAAGCATTGCGTTCTCTGAGAAATTTTTTATTTTCGAATTCGTTTCCCTTTCACTCACCGATATCCGTCAATCCAGCTCGCATTGATGTAATCACTTCCCTCGACACCCGGGAACATTTGTAGAATCATTCGATTGTTGTCGAATGGAACGGGTGCGAGTTGACGATTCTTATGCCGATTACAGCCAAGACTTGCCACACTACATCTGGCGGTCGTCGTCTTCATCGTCGAGAGGTGCTGAAAAGGAAAAAAATCGCAGACTATCGCAGAAACATTTCCCAACATTTCCCAACACTTACCCGAAATTCAATATCAATTCCCGAGCCAACTTCGAGATTTTGCGTATGTGAGAGCGCTTGTACATGTTGATATAAACGATTCGCGGGCACCTCGGTCGATCCGCTGTTCACCGCATCCAGCACAGCGTCATGAATAAAAATGTACTGATCTTCGGTCTAAATTTTCCCCTTTTTTAGCAAGGCCGATATTTCTCAATTTACCTGCACCATGTAGCTTCGTTGTGCTCGCAAATTCGTCACACATCCATAGATATCGACAGTATTCTCGTATCTCAGCCTTTCCAACATGATATCGATCACGATGAAAGCTCCCGTCCGACCGATTCCAGCGCTGAAAATGTGAGCTCTTTTTCATCAGGATCACGGTAGCTTTGTAGAGACTACGGTAGCTTTTCTAGGGCTTACAGTAGCTTTGTAGAGACTACGGTAGCTTTCTAGGGCTTACGGTATCTTTGTAGAGACTACGGTAGCTTTTGTAGAGACTACGGTAGCTTTGTAGAGGCTACGGTAGCTTTTCTAGGGCTTACGGTAGCTTTACTCACCTGCAATGCGAAAGGATCGGCCCGGCATCGGCCGGGTTCAACGTGCGCACACGTTTCAAGAAAACGAGAAACGGTGTCGGATGATCGGGAACCCCGTGATCGGGCCAAGCCGTGTACTGTAGTTGTCTCACTTCACGCATCTAAGAAAAAGAAACTTCTTCGAAAGAATCTCCATTTTCAAACCAATGGCTCTCCGAGCGCCTGTATCCGGAATGTTCTCGAGGTGTAGTGAGCGAAAATCGTCGTTTCGAGTAAAGTCACCTAAAGATTACTGTATCTTGTTCTTGTTCACAGTAGCTTTTTACCTGGATATCCCCATATGTGACCGTACCCCTCGAGGGCCAATATTGATCGCATTTCACTCGGGATCGCTCCTCGAGATTCGTCAGCATCACGATCATCGCCGTGCCCTCCTCCCAGACCTAGATAGGGTTTAGGATGAAGGTTTTGTTTAGAATTGAATCAGATCCTGAGTACTATGAGTACTGTAGCTAATATTTACATCACTACATTTACTAACCATTTCTCCAAGCCCCCCCCCCCCCCGGCCCCCCCCCCCCCCCCCACCCCCGCCCCCCCCTCCCCCCCCCCCCCCCCCTATCCCCCCTTTTTTTTGCCCGCCCCCCCCGCCCCCCCGAAGAACCCAACCCCCCCCCCAAAAAAAATAAAATAATTTTTAAAAAAAAAACCCCCCCCTTTTCTCCCTTTTTAAAAAAACCCCCCCCCCCCCCCCCCCCCCCGCTCTTTTTTTTATTTTTTCACCCCTCCTTAAAGGTTTTTTTTGGAAAAAACCCCCAAAATTTTGGGGCCCCCCCCCCCCCAAAAAACCCTGACCCTTGAAAAAAGCGCCCGAAACTTGTCCAAAAAAGTTTTCCGGATGATTTTGCCTTGTAGATTTTTATATCTAGTCATAGCGCTTATAAATCTAATAGATATATATAGGCTGTGTCGGATTTTGATTTCCGTCCGATTTAGATTCGAATTTAATCGTACGTCCGTAGATTGAACTTATCGCGGACGTCCGATTTAGATTACAGTCTACATCGGACGTCCTTTAAATTCAATTATAAATCTTATAAGGATTGAAGAGTAATTTAAACATGTTTTGTATCATGTTCTTAAGCGTTTTCTGACTAGTTTTCTGCATTTTTCAAGGGCTTTTATTGATTACAGTCTGTATCGGACGTCCGATAAGATCGAACAATAATAAAGGCTTAACATATGTTCTTGAAGAGTTTTTTGTAGAAAAACGCAGCAAGATTTAGGGCAAAAATACGCTCTACAGAACATATTGAGCACGTTTGATAATTGTTCGATCTGTAGCGGACATCCGATAAATACTTTATCCAAAATCGGACGTTTCCGCGATAATTTTGCAATCTAAATCGGACGGATATCTAAATCGGACAAACACATATATATATATATATATATATTAATATTTAAATCACCTCGAATGATCGTAGGCGACCACGTTGGCGTATCGATTTTTGTGCTTATTGTACTCGCTGTTTGAGTGCTCCCACGTGAAGTGTTGGCCCGTTTCGATTGATTCGAATTCCTGAATTGAAAATGAAATGAGGTTTGCGTAGCCTGTAGGCTACGTAGGTTTTGCGTAGCCTACAGCTTACTGTAGCCAGTAAGCTGTAGGCTTATTAGATTTCTCTATAGTCTGCCAGTCAACAAAGCTGAATATCTTTCTTTCACTTGAATTTTCTAGCGAGCTGGTCATTTTTTCAGCATACTGTAGTGATACTGACTTTAGCTAAAACTCAATAAAAACTATTCAGCTAACAAAAAAAGCTATTCAGCTAACCTGCTGAAAGCCGAGATTGTTATTGCCGCGTAGTCGCTCGATGTGCTGAGCGAGTTGACTAATCGGAATCGGTGGATGGGAGATCGTGTTCGCAACCACTAAAAATCGTCGAGCTAAGTTGAGATTTTTGTGATTTTTTTCAAATCTAGCTATCAAGCGTACTATAAAGTATTGTAAAATGCTAAAAGAAGCGATGAAAAGACCTCAAGACAACATTTCTTTCCTCAAAAATCTCGTCAACTCACAATTCGGCAAAAGTGACGTATGAATGGGCAACGGTGCGTATGCGTGCTCGCCTTTCCGTATCGTTCCATTTGTATGACTTTGCATTGTCATCCCATAATCGTCCATTGCTGACTCCATCTGGCCGTTCAGCTAGAAGAAATATTCGAGATATAACCTTCATTTCTTCATTTCTTTTTACTTGATCATATGGATTCATGATCCTCTGCGATTGGCTGTAGCTCTCATTCGGCAAAAGTTTACTCGTTTCCGATGGAAGTCCGTTGATTGGACCGCCTAGGGCTACCTGGAAATGTACGGTGCATTATGGGGTTACGGTAGCTGGATTACTGTAGATTTTTAATAGCTGGATTACTATAGAGTTTTCGACTTTTGTATCACTTTGGTCTTTTGGTCTTTTTGAAAATTTTCATTTATAACTGAACCGGTCGAAAAACCCGGTTAATCGGTTAAAGCCAAGTTTTTCTAGTTGGGTTTTCGCATCGCTGTGGCGCAGTTGGGAGCACGCTGGTCTCCAACCCACAGGGTCCGGGTTCGGATCCCGGGTGTTTCCCCCAACTTTTTCCTTTGAAAATTCTTTTTAAATAGCAAAACTACAAGATATTCTAAGGTTTTCTAAAGAAGTTTCAGCTTTATTCGTCAAAACATGGCCAGGAAAAAACAGACAGATACTGCTCTTTTATATATAATTAGAAAATTAGCTGACTTGTGATTTGCTTTAAATAAAAACCTGATAGTACAGCTAGCAATGCATTCTTACAAACCTTTGTGATTGATCCGTGTCGATGTGTATGGGGTAATCGCTTTCGACTGCATCTCAACCACCAGCAAACCAACATGAAAACGATGATCGCGATGACGAAAAGCGCCACCGCCGGCCCGATAAACCACATCCCTGTGGCGGCTTTGTTCTGAAAAATTCAGCTATTTTATGCTTTGGATTTTAGCCTTTTAGATTTCTTGTGTTCATTTGATAAACACATCCTTTCTAGCGCACGCGAATTTCTTACAATTTCCCACGTCCATTCAATTATTGGATCATTCAAACAATCAATCATTCAATTCACAGATTCGAGTGCACCAGAAAGGATGTGCTTTTAATTTTTGGAGCACAAAGTACGCAATTATGTTGAAAAAGGATAGGCTTCTTGTCTACCTTTGTCAACGCCGACGATGACATGAACATTTCAGTTGGCGACGAATCGGTGTACAGCTTCAACGTTTTCTCGGACATCGGCGGTCGGTGTTCCCACTAGAAAATTGAAATTTAGATAATAGATCCAGATTTAGATAATAGCTCTAAATTTTCATTGAAACCTTGTTCGTTTTCTGTTCGGCAGCGAATGCACGGGTCATCAGTCGATATTTTTGTCCTGGCTCCATCGGATAGTTCGTGAAACCGTCGTAGACCTGAAAAATCTGTTAGATATATCTATTAGTTTATTAGATATATCTATTAGATAGAAAATTAGAATATTATTACATCTATTAGATAGAAAAACTAGAATATTATTATATATATATGTTGTGTCCGATTTAGATTTCCGTCCGATTTAGATTGAACTTATCGCGGACGTCCGATTTAGATTACAGTCTATATCGGACGTCCGATTTAGACTCAATCTAAATCGGATATAGATTGAACAATATTATAAACATATTTAATATATGTTCCTTAAGCGTTTTCTGTAGTTTTCTGCATTTTTCAAATGTCTGTTACTGTCTTTTTCTGAAAAGAAAACCCAACTATGAAATAATCAATAAAAGACCTTTGAAAATGCAGAAAACTACAGAAAATGCTTAAGAACATATACTAAACATGTTTATATTATTGTTCAATTTATATAAGACGTCCGATTTAGATTGAGTCGTCCGATATAGACTGTAATCTAAATCGGACGTCCGCGATAAGTTCAATCTAAATCGGACACAACATATATATGTCGTAACCGATTATGAACGAAATTTTTTGGTAAATCTTTTTTGGTAAATCTAGTAGAGAAACCCTTTAATGTATGAGGACAATATTATATTATCCTGTAGCGAATTAAATTCTGCGTCGATTGGTACCAAATTTGTAAGTTTAAGTTAAAAATTACCGGTGCTATAACGTTTCATTCAAAATCGGCGGGACCCCCGTAGCCGATTATGAATGAGTGGGTCTAGGAGCGTCCAACCATCAAGTATTTGGTATCATTCAACGCAAAATCATTAATAATTATGCTAAATTTTTAAAATTAGAAAGATTGGATAAAAAGAAAAGAAATTAGAGCAAAAAAACCGTTTGTTTAAGAGGAAACTTTGAGGCCCAATAATTTTTTTTCTTTTTATTAAATCTTTCTAATTTTAAAAATTTAGCATAATTATTAAGGATTCTGCGTTGAATGATACCAAATACTTGATGGTTGGACGCTCCTAGACCCACTCATTCATAATCGGCTGAAATTCATGATCGGTTACGACATATAGATATGATCAATTCTCAATTCCAATGATATTCAAGATCTTTCACCCTCTCGTCTCCGATGATGAATTTCCCTCCAGCTGAATGAAGTGATCGCATCGCTTCGGCTCCGATTTTCGCTGTGACATAAACGCCATCAGTGTGCTAAAAGTTTTTATGGAAATTCTTAGTACAATAACAAGCGCTTGACACTCACCGATGAAAGAGCTCTTTGCTTTCGTGGATACGAGGGATATTCATGAGTGAGTACGTCATCGGAGAAACGAACCGACTTTTTCACCTAAAGTTGGTAAATTCAGCAAATTTTACCATTTTAAACCATTTTTAAAAGGATTGCTTTAAAGATTTGTAAAAAAGCAAAAAAATTCTCCCCGGCCGGGAATTGAACCCGGGTCTCGCATGTGACAGACGCGGATACTAACCACTATACTACCGAGGACGCGTGAGACCCTCCCCGAAACTCGCCTTTTTCGTCGGCTGCGCGCTGATCATTCGTGCCAATTGAGCACGTTTTTCGGTGGTGGCCAACTCCATGTCTCTGGGTTCCATGTTCACGACGTGTTCCTGGAAATTCAATATAGAATATTGACAATTTTAAGTATTTACAAATCTTATTAACCACTTATCTTATTAATGATAAAGCATTTCTCCCTTAATTAACCCACGAAAAGACATCTATTCTAGAAAATAGCTTATCAAGATCAAGAGTGCCAGTAAACATTGTGATTCAAAGAGTTTAAAAACCCAAAAAAAAGTTTCCTAAACTTTCAAATCGACAAAGAGATATTCAAATGAAATAATATTTTTCATATTCTTTCAAAAATAAAGCCAATTTCTAGATAAGGTTCCACGAAAATTAGCCCTAATGAGCAAAAATCGGCAAATTGGCAAAAAAGGGATTTTTTTTGAAAAGAAATTCTTTATTCAGCAGTGTTCTGAATTTTTTAAATCCTCAAGTCTTTTTTTTGTGGGTACAAAAAGGATTTTGTAAAAGTTTTTTTTAAAAATGACTCAGTGATTAGTTTTGAAAAAGGATTTAAATACAAAAAAGCTATAAAAGTTTTTCTGATTCTCTAGCTGGATATGAAGATTCAATTGATCTGATAGATTCAATTGATCTGATAGATTCGATTGATCTGATAGATTCAATTAATTTGATAGATTCAAAACATGAAAAGATATTCAATGAGAAAATGAGAAGCTTATACTTGTTTAGGTATTTCATATGTCTAGATATTATTTAGATTTTAAAAAAAAACTTACATATGATACATTGCCCGGGATTACGACAATCCAGTAATGAGAGATCGGGCCGTACTCCTCGCTGGCTGGGGTCGGAGTGATTGAGAGCTGGAAATAGTAGAGTTCAATTTACGATCATATAGCTGAAAGATTTCGTTGCAACGACTTCAATAAAATCCCACAACTGTAAAATTCCTAGCCAGAATCAGGTCAGCCAAGTCCTGGTCGCCTTCTGGACTAATTTTTGGCCTTGCCTTGCCTGGCGAACCTAGCCTGAACTGACTCACAGACTTACAGACTTACTGAACAGGTCCTAAGATCTAATTATATCAAGTAGGTATTCAAATATGTATTAGGTAACAATCATATCAGATGAACAAGGCTTTTTCAAAAGCCAGGCCAAGGCAGACCAGGCAAGGATTAGATCACAAGCTAGGTTCAGTCTTGCCCCAAAAATCTTAGCCAGTTTTGAGCACAAAGTGCGTAATGAAGACAGGAGCAAGGCAAAAACGAACCGACTTTTTCACTTAAAAGATTAGATGTTAATTTCAAAAAGTAAAAGACAATCTCCCCGGCCGGGAATTGAACCCGGGTCTGGCATGTGACAGACGCGGATACTAACCACTATACTACCGAGGACGTGTGAGACCCTAGTCGAAACGCAGCTATACCAGGATAAGTCATATGGTTCTAGGATCCAGATCTCTGCTAATAAACACTCATTTCCTCTGGCACCCACCTGTCCCGGTTTGACCCATTCGGGCGGATTGTCGATTCTCGGTGCATTGACAAGTGGTGGCCCAGTTGGATCGGTTAAAACGATGACTTCTTTCGGCCAAAATTGCTTATTCTGTTCCCCGAGGACTCCAACGGTGAATGTGTAGCGCATGAATGGACGAAGGTTGATCCACCTAGGGAATTGTATGTTAAAACCAACAAAACAATTAAGACTTTAATCTAGTCTATTGCTTTCAACTCACAAGTACTCCCTGGTGCCCGAGTCGGCGTCCTTTTTAAAGCCAGGCGTGAACATTGTCTTCACAGCTAGTTGTTGATCCATGTACTCTTTCTTCCCAGTGTGATTTAAATAGAAACCGGTGATTCGGCCAGGTGAATCGTATTCCCAACTAAAATCGAGTTTTGAATAAAGGCAGTACTTTACAGTACTTTAAAGTACTTTACAGTTCATTTATCAGTTCTTTAAAGTACTTTAAAGTACTGTAAAATATGTAAAATTCTTTACAAAACGAAATATAGTAATAAAATTAAATACTGTAAGAGATATTGCATCTTCCATTTAATTATTTAATAAACAAAAAAACTCACGCTAGCATCACTGAGTTACTCGTTTTCCACTTCACATGCAAATTTCGGACCATGTAGAGTGGAGTGAGTTGAGAGATTGTAGATGGCGGGTCAGAGCAGGAACCTTGTCGCTGAAAATTCGAAATTATTAATCCCTACTGAACTCAGAACAGTCTAGTACTTAAAATTCGAGGCATATTCTATCTTCCACTCTTTTCATTACGTCCTTTGTACTCAAAATTCATTGACGAACGCCTCCAGGTGCACTAAATCCATGCTCTCTTTTATCTCAATGATAGGCGAGAAAAATGAAGAGCTCAGTGCACCAGAAAGCATCCATTTATATTCTTTTAAATCCAAAGTGTTTTCTTTTGTTTTCCAAAGTGATTTTTTTCCCCTTAGTTTTGCATATCTTCAAAAACGAAAGTATTTTCTTCTTTTAGTGTAGTAAATGGGTACTTTGAGTAGGCTATTTGGGAGGAAACGGGGAAAGGGTAAAGGATTCTAAAGGAGGGAAAGGACAAGGTAGGTCCCAAGATAATTGCCGCCTTCATCCCTTGTGAAAAAGGCCTTCTATAAAAGTGGAACTCGAAAGATTTCTCGAGCAAGAGCGTTTTTCTGGAGTTCCCTTTACTTGAAAACTCGTGAAAGTTCATTTTTGGACTATTCTTAGATCTAGAATCTAGATAGAGCCAAGATAAATGTAAATTGACTGTAAATTGACCATTTTTATCCAACAAACTTACATTTTGCCGAATCGCAAGCACACAGAAAGCGTACGGTTTATGAGCGGTCAACTGGCCGATTTCGAGGTGTCTAGCTGATGGTGACATCACTGTACGGGCTGTCCATCTGAAAAAAAACAGTGATCAAGTATTCAATCTAGAATTTATAGTATGTAAACTATATCTAAATCTAGGTTTTTTTTTTAGTCTTTCAAATTCTGGAAACCAATTCTCAACGCCACTCACCTCTCGGTGTCTTTTGTGCCACGAGGCTCATGAATGTACTTCACTACGAAGCCGTCGACCTGACAATTTCAGTTTTGATATAGTCTATATATAATCTAGATATATAGATAGATATGATGTCTAGATAAATTTATCGAAATTTGCATATTTATCACTTTTCACTCACCTGTTCCCCATCGAAATCCCACTCGATCACCGCCGAGCTGTTCGACGTGGCTTGCACTCGGACATTTGTCGGTGGACCAACCAAAGCTAAATAGATATTTAGCTAATAGCTAATAATACATAGTACTAAGATATAGTACTACGGTAGCTAATAAGATATAGTATCAAGACAAGATCTTGTTTTTAAAAGCACACAACATTACACCAAACAACAGCAATACCAAACAGAGTCATAAAAAAGATATAGCCAACCTAAACTGGCTTATTAATCAGCCATTAAGGTTAGAGCCAGGCTAGGCTAGGTCTAGAACTGTTTCAGGTCCAGGCTAGGTAAAGAGCTGGCTGGCCCGCTGGCCTGCCAAAACCTGGCTGGCCCACTGGCCGACCAGAACCTGGCTGGCCCGCTGGCTGACCAGAACCTGCCTGGCCTGCTAGCTGACCAGAACCTGGCTGGCCTGATGGCTGACCAGAACCTGGCTGGTCCGCTGGCCTACTAAAATCTGGCTGGCCCGCTGGTTGACCAGAACCTGGCTGGCCCGCTGGCTGACCAGAACCTGGCTGACCTGCTGCCTGGCCTGCTGCCTGGCCAGAACCTTTGATTCGAACCTAATCTTGCCCAAACTGGCCTAGCTAAAATCTGATTATAAGTATTAGTAGCACAAGTACAAGTGACAAAATACCAATATCCGTTTGCAAGAGTCCTTTAACAACAGCTCCAAAAACGTTGCTTGGGGGCATCTTCTTCGGCGTCTTCGGCGTCTTCTTCACATCTAATTGTGGTTGTAGGTAGGCGTGGATGCCCACAGAAATCTCCTCTTCATCATTTTCTTCTTCTTCTTTTACATTCAACTCATTATTTCGTCTTTCATCTGTCATCCATTTGTCTTCATCCATCCATTTCCCCGCTTTTTCTTCTTTCTTTCGATTTTCGGGTGACCGAGATCTGACACAGAAAGTCGAGTTTATTTTTGAGCAAAATTAAAAACTAATTATCCTTGAAAGATCTAGACTAGCAATAAGAGAAGACTTGATAAAAGATGCCTCTCGAAAAGCTAGCCCAACTACCCCAGCTACCCCAGCTACCCCAGCTACCCCAGTTACCCCAGCTACCCCAGCTACCACAGCTACCCCAGCTACCACAGCTACCCCAACTACCCCAGCTACTCCAGCTGTTTCAGATTAAATTAGGATTACTGCCTAAATGTGACTAAGTCTGTGCCCGTTTCCTTGTAGTTTTCAGATCTTTTAAACTACCTGCTATTTGCTAGCTTTGTCGCAAAATCTCCATTTGCAAATGGTAATCGTTGTCTTGTTCTGACTCTTGTCCCTCCTCTTGTCACTCTTTCAGCACTTGATCTAGCCGCTGGTTGACTCAAATAGAAAACATCGGAATAGGTTGAATTGAAATAGTGATCGAATGATTTTGGACTTGCAACATGATCGATCATTTTGTGAATCGGCGAGAGAAGTAAAGGTGGAAGTGGTAAAGAGAAGGACACCTTGAATAACAACAAAAGAGATGTGGGGAGGAGAAAAATTGTTGGAGAACTCATAAGGGAAAAGGACAGCATTGTGTTGGAGTCCTTGTGTCCAAAACTGAAGAAGATTCTGAAAAGAGCCTTTAAACGAGCGGACAATTCATTTCTAATCGGCTCCTCTTCTCGTTTTTTTTTCGCCCTGAATCTTTTTGCTATACTTTTGCAGTAGAATATTTGTGGGAAACGAGTTCTGGTATTAATGGAGTTGTTGTTGTTTTAAATTCGATCCGTTTTACAATAAATAACAAACAATAGTAGTTCAGCAAGAGAAATAGAAATAGAAATAGGAATAGGAATAGAAGATCGAATTCGAATTCGAATAAGATCAACAGAATAGTGTTGTAACAATCTTTTAAAGATGAATCAAAGCTTTTAAAGATCTAAAGAATGTGAAGAAGTAGATGTTGAAGAGAGATTGCAATGGAGAACCAGTTACAGGAGTTACAGGAGTACAGGAGTACAGGAATACAGGAGTTACAGGCTACAGGAGTTACAGGAGTACAGGAGTACAGGAGTTACAGGAGTTTCGAAGAGTTGTCAAGAATTTTTAGATGAAAATCTATTTAGATAGATGAATATTTCTTCAGTAACATAGTAGAATATCATATAAAAAAAAGAGAAATTCGATGGATAATAGGCGGAAAGCTCCGTTTCGTGGACCCAATTTTGTCTAAGCTTTGGGGATTTCTTTCTTTTCTTTTTCCTTGCTGCTTGTCTCTTTCTTTTCTTTTCTTTAAGTACTCTGATCTACTCGATTAAGACGGAAATACAAGAGGTCAAAATGAAATGACCAATTTTGGACCCTTCCCCAGCTATTGGGGGAAACAGATGCTCAGTTTTATTGGTCGAATTGGAATTGGCAATAGAGCTTCTTTCAGGGTAATGAATAATAGATATTATAGAATATAATATAATATTATAGAATAGAATATAATATAATATAGTATAATATAATATTAGATAGTATTAGAAGTAATATATAATATAGTATAAGTGTACGAAAGATTGAGTTAAAGTTTGAGCAATTTCAACTCCAAAATTGGCTCAAAGTTTAGCTGAACAGGTGTCGTTTAGAAAAAAAGAAAAGCTCTAAAAGAGTTTGAGCTCTTTCAAGAAGTTCAATTTCAATAAATAGATTAAATTCGAGAGCTTAAAAATAGAATTAAACTCAAATAATAGAGTTTTTGCATAGAATGCACAGCTAAGAGTTCTTGATAAAGAAATTTCATTCAAAGTTTAGAATAAATAGAATGAATAGAATAGATTAGTCAGCTTTTGAGAGTCAGCTTTTGAAAGTGAGCTTTCGAAGTGAGCTTTTGAAAGTCAGCTTTTGAAAGTCAGCTTTTGGAAGTCAGCTTTTGAAAGTCAGCTTTTGGAAGTCAGCTTTTGAAAGACAGCTTTTGGAAGTCAGCTTTTGGAAGTCATCTTTCTTGACTAAAAATGACTTGTATAGATGAGGAATTTAGCTTGTTCTTCCTTACGAAATCTTCAACTAGTGATTGAGCACTTGACGGATTTGGGATGACTAGTCAAAAGTCGAAAAAGCTCTCAAACTTTTGACCCATTCACAAAATGCTTCAAAATCTATGGGCGGAAAGCTCTTTTCAGGTCTTTTTGGGTGATACTCGATTCAGCTTTCCATTTTGACATCCATCAGCCTCTCCCCCCTTTTACATCTCATTTCAACTTCTGAATTAGACATGCTCGCGTGCCTCTTTTCCCCTTTCTCTATTTTCTTTTTCGCGTTTAGTACACAAATTTTCGAAAAATCCCCTTTTGAAGCTGAAAAGTATTAAGAGATTTTGACCGTTTTGCTTGAATGAGCAAGATTTGAGCAACAATGGCAACAACAATGGCAAAAGTTTCATTCCTCGAAGTTTAAGGGATTTACAGAAAAGCAGATAACTTCAGTAAAAGGAAACCTTAGCTAACAACAAGTATTAGCTAAACAGTGTCCAATTCAACTTATACAATTTGGCTCTTTGTTCATTTAGGCTCAACCAGACCTAAGCCAGCTTTGGAGAAAAAAAAATCCATACATAAACTTGCACCAATCTGGTTCTGATACAAGAAAAGGATAAAAAAGGTAAAGGAAGGTATTATTGAATGTTTTTGAAGTGAAAACGAAGCTGAAAGTCCAAGGCTAAACTTCAGCCTAGGAGTCTGTTAGCTAACAGTCAAAACTACAACTACAACCACAGCTAACTTCAGAACTACAACCACAACCACAACAAACAAAAAGTTACATACAAACGCAAGTCTAGATATTTTAGATAAAGACCTAAAAACTACAGGTACAGTAGCTTTTTTCGATAACCAAAAGCTCACGTCGTTTAAACGGCAAATTCACAGTGCCATCGATCCATCTCGATTGAACACTTTCCGTGGTGGATGTGAGAAAATCAAAAGGATCCTGGCTTTTCCCAGCCAGCGAATAAATCGTCCACGCTTTCACAGTAACGGGCGAAGATTTAGGGAAAAGATCGCCTGTGCCCGGTGCCCTGTTCAAGATTGCATCAAAAATATCAGCAGTGTCCGCTTCTTCGATCATTTCGGTTGTGTCAAGAAGCGATGAAAGAGATGACGAGGAAGAGGGAGAAAGGGAGAGATCTGAGATTGGGCATAGGCTTTTTGAGGATAAGGATTTCATTTTTCTCACCTTTTAGACATCTCGCTATATGCTAACGAGTAAGTCAAGGGATTTAGGGTGGGAGAAAGGGTGGGAGAATTTTAAGATTCAAGTCAGTTTCAGCTATTTTTCTTATACAATCTGTTGGTTTTTAAGCGGTTATCATTTTTAAAAGAAATATGGAATGTATTGAAGAATTGAACTTGAAGACTAGGAGACTTGAACTTGAAGATTTGGAGAATTGAACTTCAAGACTTGGAGACTTGAACTTCAAGACTAGGAGGCTTGAACTTGAAGAAATCTGTCTTGTTTTAAGCTGTGATCAGGGTTATTCTAAAGAGTCAAAAGCCATTGTTAGCTAGATCAAAATAAAATGAATGTCAGAGTCAAATTTTCCGAATTAAAGTTGAAAATCCAAAATCCAAAGATTTGGCTTTATCTTTGTAGCATAGTACATGGATTTTAAAGTTATCTATGAGATTTATAAAATCAAAACTAATAAAATAGATGCACTTCCTAGGTTTGAATGCTTTGAAGATTAAAGATTTTGAAAACAAACCAATAATTCCAACTAAAGTCCAGGCGCCATAATAAACGAAAAATTCAATGCCATTTATTAGAAAACGTTCGGATTTCGGTTTCGTTGCCCATTTCAAGATTTTGAGTGCAGAAAGTGTTTGAAGAAAAGGGAAAAGAAAAGAGAAATGAAATGAAAATGGACAAAGGCACTTTTTCTTTTCTTTCTTTACTTGGAAATTTTGACTTTCTTTAGGATTCCAGAAATCTTAAGGGACTAATATCGAGGGGGTTTTAAGGGCACTAATATCTAAAATCGTTCGTCACCATCCGAAAGACTGATCAAGCCAAAAATGTCTTCAAAAGAATGTGTTAAATGTTATGGGGGTTCAGGAATTTGATAGAAAGATAATTTGATAGAAAGAAAGGCTAATTTGATAGAAAGATATTCAAGCTTGAAGCTTGGGATTTGATTAGGACTTTAACAAAAAAGGATTTAAAAAAACTAATATCTAAAATCGTTCGTCACCGTCCGAAAGACTGATCAAGCCAAAAATGTCTTCAAAAGAATCAAAAGAATTTGTTAAATGTTGTGGGAGTTCAGGAAATCAAAGGCAAATTCTAATTTGATAGAAAGATATTCAAGCTTGAAGCTTGGGATTTGATTAGGACTTTAACAAAAAAGGATTTTAAAAAACTTTAAAACAACCTGAACTCATTAAGACACTTTCCCTTTTTTTTCGTTTCATCAAGACGAACCTTGTTGCTGAGGGAAAAGAAGATTTTGTTGATTGGTGGAAGAAGGGAAAGAAGAGGAAGAAGAGGAAGAAGTGGCGAGTGGATTCCCAAGAGATGATGATGGTGATGATGGAGATGGAGGAGCGGGTGGAGATGGCAATCCACTTGATCCACCTACTACCACAAGTTTCACTTGGTTATCGATATCTAAGACACTCTAAGAGCTTTAAATCTAAGACAAAGCTTATCAAGAGGGAGATTTCCTCTTGATAAGCTATTTGCGTTTTTTAAAACGTGTCCAGTTTTTGAAGATGACCAGAAGTTGCCGTAAGTTGCCAATCTTGGTGATTAAAGGCAGGATTACGGTAGTTTTCAAGAAGGGACATGAAAGAAAATTGATACCGTAAATACTGTAATAGTACCCCATCCCCATAATGACGGAGTGTTGCGTAGTCTAGCTTTGAACGAGTTTTTCTCGACACTGGTTTATGCTACAATGTGCGTTTAGGTATCAAAAAATAGCCCTGAATTTCAGCTATTTTTTTGATACCTAAACGCACATTGTAGCATAAACCAGTGTCGAGAAAAACTCGTTCAAAGCTAGACTACGCAACACTCCACACCGTCATTATGGGAGTGGGGTACTATTACAGTATTTACGGTAATTTAAAAGAAACTAGAATTGTTATCGATAACCAAGCACCTTTCTCCCTTCCCTGTTGCAGTTTCGCTCTCATTCGACCCTTTTGTTGTGCTCTTGTTAACCCTTTCGATCCGCCTTTTGAGGCACGTTTTGAACGCTTTTCTTCATGATTTGATGGCGGTAAAAAAGCCATTTTAGTGTAAGAATTTGTGGGGAAGAGTACTGAAAAGTTTTTAAAAAAGGCAAAATCAAAAAGAAGAAAAAAGAAAATTGAAAAATATAAAAATTAAGTCAGGTTTTTTGGAGATTCAGGTAAGAGAAGTACATACCAATTATATAATTTGGTTGTAATGTTGGAAGAAAATCTTCGAAGCAGTGCTGATTAAAAAAGGAAAAATTTTTGTTCAGCATTAGTTTAGACTTCTAACTTTTTCTAATTTTACAAAGACCATAAGTACAAGTATCATAGCACAAAAGAGACTTAAGCTAGTGTTAGACTTAAAAAGAAATAAAAAAGAAATAAAGAAGAAAAAAAAAGAGACATAAAAAAGCTATTCCATTAAAGCCCTAAGGTCAAGTGGCCAAATAGAGGAAATTTGAGCAAAAAGCGCATAAACAAGAGCAGATGAAATGTGAGCTTTTCTCGGTTTCTTTTTCCTTTTTGATCTCTAAAGAAATGTGAAATATCAAGAAAAAGGGGTTTGTGCGGGGGTAAAATAATGGAAATTTGGCACGCGAATTGGGAGAGCCAAGGCGGAGGCTGATGCTGAGGCTGAGGCTGAGGCTGAGGCTTCATTGTATCCCTTCTCCCCAAAAATGTATCCATCAGCGATGTAACATTTGCGCGGAAAAAGAGATTAATTGAAAAAATGGATTCTCGCTGTCCAAAATAATTGCTTTAGAATGGATATTTTTAGTCAAGGATTGTGGAGGATGGAAAATGGTAGATTACTGGCTGGTGATGGATACGAAGCTTAGAGAAGTTCTGATGAAGCTTAGATAAGTTCTAATGAAGCTTAGAGAAGTTCTGATGAAGCTTAGAGAAGCTCTGATGAAGTTTAGATAAGTTCTAACGAAGCTTAGATAAGTTCTAACGAAGCTTAGAGAAGTTCTGATGAAGCTTAGAGAAGCTCTGATGAAGTTTAGATAAGTTCTGATGAAGCTTAGATAAGCTCTAACAAATCTTAGATAAGTTCTAACAAAGCTTAGATAAGTTCTAACGGATCCTAGATAAGTTCTAACAAGTCTTAGATAAGCACTAACGAATCTTAGATAAGCTCTAACAAATCCTAGATAAGATCTAAAGCTTCAAAAGATATTCAGTTAAACGAAGAATTCAAAACTGATCAAAAGGATTTAAAGCATTTTTTTCAAAAATAGCTACAGCTCACTGAAATGAAAAGAACTAAGCAAAAAGTTGCGAGAATTTTACTAGATTTTAACAATATTCAAATAACCTTAACAGTTAACGAAGTTAGTGCAGAGGACTTTTAAACCTTTAGCTATTCAGCTTAAAGTTATGCCCGTTTTCCTAGAACAAAAGAAGATCTGTAAATGAAAAGCAATCAACTTACCTACCCTTTTCCCCGTCGTTCCCTATCTTTTCCCATTCTTTTCCTTTATCCAATTGCCTTGATGACTCCAATTCCCTTCTCTCCTATACCAATTTTTGAACGCATTTTTCTAAGGTCCCCAGGGATTTAAAAAAAAAAAAGCTACAAGTACAAGTAAAAGTTAGACAGAGTAAAAGTAATATTTTCTTTTATATTTAGGATTTGATTGTCTTGTACTTTGCGTTGAAAACGCATCCTTTCTGGTGCAACAATTTCCTCACAACTTTATAGGAAATTTGTGAAATTTGAAGAATTCAGTGCGCCAGAAAGGTTGCGTTTCTACGTTTGCAGGGCACAAAACGAAAGTAAAATTCATTTTATAAGCGTATCTCATCTGGTGCACTACCGAGAGAAAAGCAATAGAATGGGAAGCAATAGAATTTCTAGCAATAGTGCTAGAAAAGGGTTGCAATTTATATTTACAAATATGTACATAGTAATGTTAAAGATATACTTTTTATACTTTAATCATTTGTAATCTTAAGACTATGCATTCATTTTATAAGCATTCATTTTTCTGGATTCATTTTTCCGAAAAAAATCCCCCAATCACCGAGGCGAATGATCTGATTCGTGCAAGAAAGAGAAGACATTTTTAGATAAAAAAAGAGAAGAAATTTTTGTGGGTTTTCTTTAAAAAGAAACCCGTTAATATAAGCTCAAAAAAGAAAAGATATTCAGCTGAAAGAATGGGGAATTGCGAGAATTCATTTAGTTTCTTTTTAGAGGGATTACCGAGGGCTTAGCGAGTCCAGAAAAAAACATTGATTTCCTAGGGAAACAAAAGATATTCAAGATATTCAAGAGTTTACCTGAAAGATTGAATCGATTGAATTGACGGGTTATGGTAGATTCGAATGACTTTATAGGGTAGCTTTTCGAGACAGATTACGATAGCTCTTGACGTACTTTAGAAGACTTTTTATGGCAATATTGGTAAGGTATTGGATTACGGTAGATTTAGATGCTTCTAGGAATAAGGACAGTAAGATTACGGTAGCTTTGAGTACCTTTGAAGGAATTTAGGAGATGCACTCTTTGGGAATTGAATAGGGATCAGAATACAGAGATTACGGTAGTTTTGAATGCCTTTTAGAAGGTGCACTCTTTGGGAATTGAATAGAAATCAAAATACAGAGATTACGGCAGTTTTTGGTGTACTTTAGAAATGAGTCTTACGGTAGCTTGAAATGCCTTTAACACAAGGTTACGGTAGCTTCGGTGGGCTTTAGAAAAGAGCTTGCCAACAAGTTTATAATAGTTGTAGGTAGTTTTCGAATTGGATGCTTGCTAAAGCTATAAGCTATACTTGTTATTGTTCTCCGAGGCCGTAATGTGGAAAAAGATTTAACGATGATTGATGGAGCCACAAATTGGGCTCACTTTTCTTCTGTTCTGGGAGATTTTGGGGA